CAGCAGGTAAATAGAAAGCCCTAGCAGGCGAATCCAAAGTCGTCCCTAGATCGGAAATATTCGGTAAAATGTTTGTGAAGGCCAATAAGACGTCGCAATATTCATTCAATTGCATGTGCCTGGTCATGTTCAAGTTCAATGAGCAAGTTGAGGCACACCCCTGCGTGAATTTGCTGATGTAAGCACTTCGTTTTGGCCTGGGCTGTCACGGTAATCATAAGTGGTACTCAGAATAAATCTTGAAACTCCTTGAAAACTCGCCTAAAGCTCGGCTACTTCAACAAAACACAGCATGAGCATGTGCTGCAATTGAAAGTCAAGCCGGCATCGCACATCGGAGTTCGAAAAACATGCCTGTTGTTCACCAACGTGCTCGCCGGTCTGCACGACTTAGAGCCAACGCTCATCCATGCGCGAGGGCGATGGACCATCTGCCATCCACCTGATCAGCGGCGCCTCGCCCTTACCGGCAAACGGCCTGTCCACCTTCCGCCTCCTTATCTGTCTCCATGGAGGCACCCTCACGTTGGAGATGGAGTCATCGGACACCATCAACAACGTGAAGGCGAAGATCCAGGACAAGGAGGGCATCCCAACTGACCAGCAGCGTCTCACCTTCACTGGAAAGCAGCTCGAAGATGGCCGTACTCTCAGTGACTACAACATCCAGAAGGAGTCCGCCCTTCACTTGATCTTGCGTCTCCGCAGAGGCACGCAGATCTTCCTCCCGACGCTTTTCATCCCCTGCTCAGCATCCCCCCCTCCTCCACTCGGCACTTATTTGGTCCCTCCCGCGCTCCTTACCTACAGCTGATTTCATTCCCGCGGGCCTTGTTTTTTTTACAATTTTATTAATGCTTTCATTTGGAATACAATTATGTTGGACCGCTACTCTACCACTTTCCCCTATGTACATAGCACGCTTTGAAAAATCACAAGTGTCGTTTTAAAGTCTGACTACATGCCGACGTGTGCCGAGCGCATTTCTCTCGGACTTGCGCGAGTTCTTTCAAACTTTAAGCGGGGAGTTGAAGGGAGTTGAACGCAGTTTAGCGAGTTTTCAAGAGTTTCAAAATTTATTTTGAGTACCACTATAGTGCAATACTCTCCAAAGTCACTCATTTAATATTGTCGCCGCGAAGCATAGAGTCTCACGGCTCGCCCTAAAGGTACGGTCTTACTTTCTACGAGGAACACACACTGTCAGATATCCAATCCTGCCACACGTAGCCTAGAACGTCAAAACGTTCGAATCTGAAGAGATTATATCTACATATAATCTGACACGTAGAAAATTTCAAATATCCGTGCGACCGTGCCCCCACCAACGTTGGATCCCACGAGTCTAAAGTTGATGAAGAGCGGGGGTCTGGCGCGTCTCGTTGCCTCTTCCTGCTCATAATAGTACTTAACATTCTTACAGCCCTCAATGAACCCATATATATTATCCTGACTGGTCACTGCGCAAACTCGTACATAGGATTTCCTCCGATCTGCCAAGGTGTTCCATTCACCCTGTGGCCCAACAGAATAACTCCCGCCATCCCCCGGGCCACACCGTACCCGCGCATGCTGGCACATGCAGCGATGACTGCTCGTTGACGGAACTCAGGGCTGAAGGACATATGTTCACCGATGATAAAATACTGTCGCTCAGCATAAGCAGTATCCCTTTCGTCAAAAAGGTAGGAGTCAGGCAAATTTCATCTACTTCTGTAACGAACAAACGATTATTGACACCGACCCGGAAGACCATCATGGCTCAACTCGGTGCCTAGCCGCGTATCTCCTTACAAATGCGTAACGACTCACAAAGCTTTCAGTTTATTTTCCTCCGGAACCAGTGAACGTCGGGCGGAATGCATCATTCCTATGACCTACACAAGCCACTGTTCTCCCTCAGTTTGTTTGGACAGTGTCCCTATCTTCGCGGGTGTGTTACCCTTCCAGGTGAAATTAAACTTGTTTCTGCAGTCTGCCCTTCGCAATTTGACAAAGGACTGTTGTTTCATTCCTCGCAGCGGCAGCATCGAAGAGTGTTTCCTTCTACTTGTACAAAACAGGTAGCATGCATATGTCCATTTCTTCAAAACAAGTAAATCAGTCTAGTGCTTGCATATTACATGACATGTATATATTGCCTAGAATGCTATATCACTGCAGATAGCGTTACATATATTAACAGCGAAGTTGCACATCCACGCCCAGATTCAATTTTCCATCGGATTATCCCATGAACTAGAAACCCCACATTCATCCGTGTGGTCTAAAGTCACCAAGGGCTTGACACATGTACATATGTCAAGTTCCATGTCATCAGTGCGCACACCATCGAACGATCTGAGTCCAAATTCAGGATCAATATGATTTTTGGGGCTGAGCGGAGAACGGATAGCGGACACCACGTCTCGAGCATTTTGTGGGGAACGCGCGGCGACTATGTTGTCCAAACGTCGGTTCTCTGCTTCTGAGAGCTCTGTATGTAATGGGAGCGGAGGAACAACGGAACGAGTGAACTTCAGCGTAAGAGCAGTAAAATTCTAGAGTGGTGCGCACCTCGCAGATGGATGAGAATCCGTTGGCTCATAATCCATATTACAGCAAAACCTATTGATGCCCTAGTGGTTCCCTGTGAGCAATCCTGTGATGGACATTGCAAAACCTACCCTGCGGCCTAATAGGATGAGATCAACATAAGCGCACTAAGCTTCCATGAACCATGGTATATAAGCCGTACCTGGGTCTGGATATTGGATGTATGATAAAGGACAATGTTTAATATGTTCGATCCTGATGAAATACTACTCAGTGGTGTGCCAAGCACAAGTAGAGCATACCCACCTGTCAGCACGACGAAATATCCAATGCCGTCATAGATCAGGCTGAGCAAGATGAGCGACTCTGCATTATTTTGAGAGTATCGAGGGACTTACACCCGTACCAGCTGTTCCAGTCTAGCAATAGGTCAGCAACTCTAATCGTTGAGGAAGAGGATAGGTGTACGCACCTGTTGCTGAGAGGATTGTAGCGCAGAAGATATACGGTGGAGATGGTCAATACTGCAAGGTCATACAACATCGAAACGGTGTAGTAGAACCATGCCGACAGTATTTTACCAGAATTTCCTGGAGTGCAACTGTGATTCATGAGGTTTTGAACAACACATTGGTACAGGCACCACTTACTTTCCCTAAAAACTACGCTGTTTGCGTGAATCATGTTACGAGGAACATTGACTTACACTAACAACGACAGCTGTTGGTTCTGATGTCAACATGAACTCGAGATCAAAATATGGGCCAGAGCTCACGTATCCGGTTGAACATATTGGTGAACCACTCCAGCTAAACTAGGTAAGAGAGATGTTACACAGGAGTCGTAACAACACACCGAAATTGAGAGGAAGTATAGCACCACTAGTGTAATTCCTATCCGCCTATCCCTCCTTGCAATATTGAATGTCCTATATGACGTAAAATTCTGTAGAGCCGGCTGCCCACAGGACACACCTGACACCTAGGATGACTTGTGATATCATAGTCTGCATAACTACAACATGTGTGAATAGAGTATTGGTAGGTGAACGTCGATAGGACAGACCTTTGAAGACAGGCGCAACCATATAGTAATGTTTACACGTTTCTTGTGTGAAACCAGTGGAGAAGACTCCGTAATTACTGAGTATCATGACCATGATACTACCATAGCTTCATAAAAGTCAGCGAAAAGTTGCACGATGGGATGAGGACAGACGTACCGTATGAGAATGAATAAGATGCAAGCAAGGCTGTCGGATTGCGGTTGTCAGTGGTGGTACGCGAATACCTGTATGTACATACCGGAGACGAAAAAGTGACGATTGGCTTCGGTAAAACCGCCATTCTGCAGGGAGGGTAATGATATAACTAAAGAAAATCGGTCATGACCACGGTACCGTGGCTGGAAAAAAACCTTACTCATATAATGCAATGGAGATTGATGCTATCCGCAGATACTTCTCCGTTGCTTGGTTTTCCACGACCGCAAGTTCTTTCATCTATGAAATGAACCAGAAAATTCAGATCAAGGTTAGTCGGTATGGAGTTGCGGATATAATTGTTGCGTAAGTTGGGCAGCGGTCGCGGATTCGAATTAGGATGGGGGACGACGTAGATAAAAAAAAAAGTAAATGTAAATGTGGGAACGACTGTATGTGAGTGAGTTGATGGCGAAGATCGATGGACAGGACGCTTCGCGTTGAAGCAGCTTAGGGAGGCAAGATTAAGAGGATGATTGGCAAGGCATTAGAATTTGAATCGGTGAATGGGTGAAAGACCTGAGTACATAGGCAATGGAAAATTGACCAACTTATTAAGCGATCTTGTTCCTCAATAGCCTGTAACCCCCCGTAGCCGATCCAACGCAGTGGTTAGTTAACCTTTTGGCGTGAGATGCGGGCAATTAGCTAAGTCACAACATTGACGGGTGCCTCAGGGAGTCACAAACGTTAAAACAAGCTTATAAAGGAAGCGTCGAGTGATCGATCATGCACATGACATATGTGCACTATCTTTAGACATAGCCGCTTATTTTAGTAAATTCCTTTCGATAATCAGCGCCCATCTAGCTTGTCTCCCCTTGACAATATATACTACAGGCTATAGATAACCGGTTGATGGGCTTTTCTACACGGTCTAGCCTTCCAATTGCCGAGCACATGTTACCGACACTCGCGCACGACAGCTTTCATATGCATTCCAAGAACCGCTCAATGTGCGGTGGCATGTCAGATGCACATCGTTGTTTGTTCACCGAGGTCATGTGGAGACGATCACAAGCACCACTGTGGGGAATAGTCACCTTGCTTGTTTAAGTTTCTTGCTCCACCATATGCCGAACCCCTGCCAGCAAAGCTTCCGACGGTTGATTCGCTTGCTGCGATTTGCACCGGGCTGTGGTGGTAAGGTGTACGTTTAAGTCCAGTACCGCACCTCTAGAGCACTGAGTTGGACATCTGCGTCCGACCTCACCTGATCTATCATGAATCAGTGATTGGCTACAAGAGGTCTGAACTAAATCACAAATATCTATCTTTTTTAAAGGCGATGTCTTTCTCGTCATCCATCACCCTCGAAGATTTAAGCGTCTTGTCCGAGTCCGCGGTGATATGCTAACCTTGTCGTATACCGCATTGGAAGCATGACTGCACAATAGTACTCAGAGCTCTTGCAAACCGTACTCAGTCTAAAACTTACTCAAACAAACTTATCATGGCCCATCATAGCGATACACCGTGTGTGCATAATCCAACACCTGAATTATTGCAATATCGGTGCCAAACACACCCTAGTGTCGGAAGTGAGAAAGAGGACTAGGAACGATGAAATAGGCACTTTCCAATTGTCTTGCCTAGTATAAAAAACTTGTTTATCCAGATCTCTGGTATTCCTTGCCAACTTCAAGGTCCAGCATAGCACCTTTCCTGGAACTCACAGGTAACTATACCGCATAGGAACAATTATGCTTTACAGCTGCAAGCAAGGCCTTCGTTGTCGATGCGCGACCCCAAGTTCCGAAGCAAGAGACAACATCAAACACTCGTTAGTCCCCTATCAATGTATCTACATCTAGTCTTGTCTTCAAGTCACATCTCGGAAAGGTTTAGCCCAAAGGTTCATCCACGGACCACGGGTAGGCAAACGACCAATCATGTGCTCACCAGATGCCGACTTGTGAATGTCGCGTCTTACAACTTTCATCGCAGAACGACTCGGAGGCAATACGACAGTCTTTCTCGTCGTTCTTCACACGAAAACACCAAAAACAGCATGAATAAATTGCATATCCAACCTGCCACTTAAGCACCACTCCGGCCTGCAGCTTTGATGACGGCACCATTAGCTAACTGCGGCAATATCTTGTTTGGTGCTGACGAAGACGGCGCTGGCAAGAATCCCGCTCCGACTAACCACGCAAGGTACCTTCCCATCAGCTGATCTGAAACAGTGAACGTGCACTGCTGCCCTTGGGAGTGCAACAACGCCATAGTGTTAGTGGCGTCAAGCTCGGGAGCTTTCGTACTCGTCGGTAAGTCATCGAGAACGAAATGGAGGAGGGGGAAAAGAGCGTTATCTTGGGCCTCCATGACGTGCTGCTCCAGCTTGCGACGCCATATGAGATACTCGCATTGCTGTGTAGGGAACCCATACTCGGCCAATGACGAGAGGATGTTGTTGAATGTCGGGGGAGGCACCGCAGTGATGTGCAGTACGCTTTGCGCAGCATTTGGCAGGGGCTCCACGGCAGCGAGGGCAGTGCAACGAGCAACATGATCCACAGGCACCATGTTCACGGTGTTGTTGATATCTGGGACAAGGCCGAGCTGGACGCATCCCTTGACCATGCGCCAAATAAAGTCGTCGGTGTTGGTCACTATGAGGCGCCGCAATCAATCTGTCAACATCTCACAGAAGAGGAGTTTCATACCTGCAGTGTGAGAGTCGCCAACAATATAACCGGGCCGCACGATATGGCCCCGTAAGCCCCTCCTACCAGCTTCAAAGAGCAGCTTCTCCGATACCCACTTGCTCTGCCCATAGCCGGACTTCAGACCCACTTTTGCACCATCCAGGTCATCATCTTCCGGAATACCTCCCCGCGAGTCTTGAGACTGTGCTAGAGTGTCGGACAACCGCACATAGTGCTCGGTGTCGATCGCCGATGTGGATGAAACGAAAACAAGCAGCTTTTGCTTTTTCGTCGAGGCAAGTTCCACAGCAGTCAAGGTACCGATCACGTTCGGTGCACGAAGCCTCTCGTACGGGTACACCCAATGCACCTGCGCAACACATCGTTAGATATCATCGCATGCATGCGAAAAGGTAGAGTAGCTCACCAGGGCACCATTGTGCAAGATGACGTCCGCCTCAGCAGCGACTCGTGACCAGACTTCATCGCCCATACCGAACAAATCAAGGCCAAGGTCTCCAACCACCACCTCCAGTCTACCCGAGGTGAACCACTGCTCATCCCAAACGCCTCGATCATTGGACCCTTCTCTAAGGCGCGCCACACCTTGTTCGACGCTGGGCGCGCGTACGAGACAAATGACCTTCCGAACCCTATCAAGGCGCTGGAGGAGATCGCGTAACACAAAAGCCCCGAGATAACCAGTAGAACCCGTCAAGAACACAGTTACAGCACCCGACTTGAAGTCCTCAGATATCGGCGAGTACGAGGGTTGCAAGCGTTGAACGAGCGTCTCATAGTCCTGTCCGTACTGAATAGCAGGATTCAATTTCACGGACGCCTTGACAGGCGTCGCAGGGCGCGTCTCAGCGTCCGCGTAAGCGATACCAAAGTCCGGATCACGAAGCGCATCTAGCGCACAAGCGAGGCCCGTGATAGTTGGCTGGTCGAAGATAAGGCCAAGTGGAGCTTCGACAACGAAGATTTTGCGGATCTCGAAAATGAGACGCGTGGCAAGGATGGAGTGACCGCCCAGGTCAAAAAAGCTTTCGTCGAGGGGGATAGGCGTGGGCGCGTTCGGGAGGATACTAGCCCAGATAGTGCGCATGGTTTGTTCGGTGGGGCTCGCTGTGCGCCTGTTAACAGTCTTTTTGGGTTCGGAGTGCACAGCGTGGGCATGTGCCGTATCGGGGAAGGGAAGTGCGGGTTTGTCTATTTTGCCATTAGGGTTGAGGGGCATACGATGCAGCGGAACGAACACTGTAGAAAGAGAGCTAAGTAAAGGAAGTGGAGCAAGGCAACGATCAATCCTACATGATGGTATGCTGTAACTAGGCAGTTTCTTTTTGAGGTGCTCTCTAATATCCTTGATGAGCCGTCTATACTTTGGACTCTTGCCATCAACCTCTTCGTCATCCTCTGTGAGCTCGCTGGCAAATCCATCCAGATTCGAACTTTGCAAAGGCACGAAGTAACTGACAAGGATCTTTTCCTCGTCCTTGTCTCTCCGCACGAGTGTGACGTTTTCTCGCACAAGCGGGTGCTGGCTCATCAACGTATCGATCTCCCCAAGCTCAATCCTGAAACCACGGATCTTGACTTGGTCATCTGCACGCCCTGTACACTCAACGCGTCCATCAGGGAGATATCGACCAAGATCGCCCGAACGGTACATCCGGTCACGGATGCCCTTCCAATGACGTGACTCGGGCCCAGCGAGGCCCTGAGGTGGGTGTAAAATTGTGTCCCTCCAGGGTAAAGTGGAAGGAGAGAACCAATTGCTAACGAACTTCTCGGCGGTAGCTTCGGTATCGAGGTATCCCTCCGCTAAGCCTCCAGATCGCACATAAATCTCTCCGACCTCTCCCACTGCGCAAGGGACATTTCTGTCACTGCGATTGACAACAAGGAGCTGCACGTCAATCATGCCCTCTCCAGCTGGCATGATGTCCTTCTGAGTGGCGAGGAAAGTCGCGTCCACGGATAAGGGTGGAATCGCGAAGTAAGATACAGCGCGTTGCGTCTCTGTTGTGCCGTACATATTGATGATCTGCACATTTGGGGCGAGAGCTTGGAGGCGGAGGCAATCGCGCTTGGTTAGGACGTCACCGACGAAGAATGCGTTCTGTAGGGATGGGATCTGGCGCGTTGCTTGTGCAGAGAGTAGCTGACCCATGGCAGGGGTTAGGTGCGTGACTGTAACCTTGCTGTCGTCCATCCATTCTGCGAGACGGCCGGGTGTACCGATGTCTTCCGCGGTGGGTACATGAAGCTCTGCACCCAAGAAGAGGGGCGTGAAAACTGTAACGTTAACCTCATCAACGGATGTATCTGCTTGAAAATATAGTACGTACTATCACGTTGGATGGGATCGTGGGCGATCCCGCTTAGCATTGTGAACTTGGAAGTTTCAGTGAGTAGGAAGCGGTTGCCCATCCAAGGGAAGAAATGCGTGAGACTGTAATGGCGTCCTCGAACACCCTTGGGGATGCCAGTGCTTCCACTGGTGAAGGACAGCGTGCCGATGCTGTCAGGACCTAAAATAACATTAGGATCCGTTTCTGCGAGACGGACCTGCGCCTTCAAAACATCGATTCCGTCGTTCGCGCCTCCGAGTATTTGACTTGTGTGAGAAAATTCGAGCGCGGGTACCTCCACACGGATTTTGAGTTCCCCGGATAGGAATTCGCGCACAGAAGGTGAAATTTTGCCAGCACCTGAGAGGACAACAAGGCCACGAGGTTGAGCTACCCGAAGGTATATTATCTGCCGTGAAGGCGGATATGCAGGATCTGACTCGGGTCACAAATGAAGTAAAAAAAAACACAAAAGATCATACCTATGACCGAGAATGTCGCACCGCTTTTAAGAACTGCCATGACTGCTACGACTAGCTCGACACTACGATGTGCGTAGATCATGATGACTTCTTCCCTCTTCACACCACCCGCTAGGAGATGGTGCGCTAGGATGTTGGAGGCTCTCCGAATGTCTCCGTAAGTGAATGTTCGCCTCGTCTGCGGTTCGCTAGGAATCGATGCAGGTATACTTTGAATGATGCACGACCTATCAGGCCAATTCTGTGCATTATGAGAAAAAACATCTGTGATGGCTCCCTTCCAGTCACACCAATGTAAATTCGCTGTTGGGTTGGGCAAGCGTTCGCGTTGGGCAGCCGTCAAGAGAGGAACAGCACCGACCGCCGCAGTTGGATTAGTGGACACCTTCCTTAGAAGTACAGAGAGCTGATCGACGATAAACGATATGCGGGCGGATGTGAAAAGCAACGAGTTAAAGAGGATTCGAAGGGAAATGTGGGGAGCCAAGGAGGCGCGTGTAGTAGTAGGGGGTCGGGTGACGAAGATGGTAAGATCGGACGTTAAGCTAGTTGATCGGATAAAGTTATCCCGTGGCTGATCTGTTTCATCGAAGAAACGGACACGGAAAAGGGGACGGGATGCCTCGACAGAGTCGTCTTTGTCCTTGTGTAAAGCCCGTACGATCGTCTCATAGGGCAGCAGATCTGCTTCGGCCTCGCGTTCGACGTGCTGAACACGGCGCACGATAGTCCAGAATGAATCTGATGGCTCCACTGAAAGTCGAAGAATCAAAGGAAAGCTTGCAGTAGCAGAGGAGGAGCCAATCACGAAGTCTGTATCACCAGTGTACCTGTGTAAGAGGACGAGAAAAGCAGAGAGGAGTAGATGGAAGGCGGATGGTCTAGTTTCAGAAGTCTTAATATCGTCCTCTTCACCATCTTCGCTCTCGGCATGAAGAGCAAGCTTCAAAAGACTGAGTGATGTCTGCTCTGAAAGATCTGCTAGATGAGCGGCTTCGATGAGTTTATTAGCACCAGTCGATCGCGGATAATCTGTGGGCAGAGACATCACAGGTAGATTCTGCAACCTCGCAAGCACTCTGGAGAGCGCATCTGAGGCCATTTTCACGGTTGAGGATAGGAGATCGTGAAAGTAGTCGAGAGAACAAAAATACACACCATAAAACTTTGTGACTCGTTAGTCTTGAACGCGCTATAAGTAGCTATTGCATTACGGCCGAAACTCGCTTGAGTTCTATTACTTCCGAGTCCAACAGAATCATTATAAACTTGCAATATGTTTTCGCACTTCAGAAGTTTATATATCAATCCGTACGTAGAGCAATATGCAACCCGCGGTAGCGCAGACTCGCAAGAAACATGTCTGCGACTAATACCTTCAGTTGTAAAACTTTCGTGCAAGCATATCTGGCCGCCGCGGAGTCAGCGACAGAACTCCGTGCTAATTCTGTTCAACGTTCGATATTCAACTGGCAACTGCTACTTTCTGGGAAGAGCGCCATCATACACGCTCACAGGATTATGGGGTGCGCCAGCAGCTACCAGCGCCTCCTCAGGACACCTGGGTCAAGGTTGGCAGTGCCAATCTGCCCCCTTCCTGAAGACCTCCAAGATTCGAACTTCCTCCACGTTGAAGCCTCGGATTCTTCTAAAACTATCACCGTAGTGGATGGGACCTTTTCGCTTCCTAGGTCAAGTTTGGCAAAGCCAATTCGGCCTCTTCCTGAAGAATATACAAATTCGGAGCTGCAAGTTGAAGTCCTGGATCCTTCTAAAACCATACCCACATCGGTTGGGATATTCTCGCTTCCTGCAGAGTTGATATGTCACATTCTACTTCTCCTTCATTTCAAGGATCTTTCGTGTTGTGTATTAGTCCGTTCTTCCGTGTGGCTTTATGGTTCCTATGGGCCGACTTTTGGATTACGCCAGGCCTGCAAAACCTTCTGGCATGTGGCCCAGAATTTCGCCGACATTCAATGCCTATTCGAGCTCTATGCTCAGGGCTTCACGGAGACTCCTAACTCGGACTGGGTCGACGTTTCTAGCAAGATGTATTCACCCAAGAGATTGGCATCCATGTGGCGGTCTGACTTCCATTTGAACCCCATTTTTGAAGTCACAGTGGCGGTTGACATCTCCGACGACTCTCTTGACATGCAATCCGTGAAGTGTGGGCTTTGGTGGATGTACGCTGACTGTGGACTCTTCATTCGGGGGTGTGATACAAACACCAAACCAACCCAGATGTGTCTGAAGCAGAGATATACCTTGCTGGCAGACATGCCCTCTCACACGAGATCAGTTGTCGTTGACCCTCTTCAGGACCTTGCGGTCGCAGCGTCGTACGAGGCCCTTCATGGGCAAGATCGCCACGTCTTTTCGGTGGCATTTCGGTTGGCTTCGTCACAACGTTCACATCCAGGTTCTGCATGCACTTCCTTGAAGTGTGAGCATCCTTGTTACATAGTACCTGATCAATTTTTTCACTTTGTGGGTCGGCCTGCGATCTGTGGGGATCGTGTAGTGGTACTCTATTACACGAGTGACTTCAATTCACTGGGGAGATTATCGGCGTCGAACATCTTCATACAAGTGATAGATTGGAGGAAAGGACGTGCGAAGGGTGTAAGTTCACTCTATTCTTGAAGTTCTGCCACTAAGCATAAGTAGTATCCCTTATATGAATTAGGTGGTAGTGAGGCAAGTTTCCATCTACTTGACGAACATAGGATCATTGTCGTCGGTCCGGAAGGCCGTATGGCCTTGTACACATTCCCAGAACTCGATGGTCTGCCTCAGTGCCGAATTGCGTATGTTCTTCCGAACGTGCGACGCCCTGGCATCTATTTCAATCCAGGACAAATGAGCGTCAGACCGATCTATGTGATCCATGCCTCCCCATCGTTCCACGGTGCGGCGGCTCGCTCAAACCTTATGCCCGACTACGTGACCTCTACGGAGTCACAAATCATGGTTTTGGAGGTCTTGTCGCGCTCATTGCAGGTGATTTTAGTCGTCGATATGGCCATTTTCTCAGTAAAGGCCACACTCAGAGATATCCGTCGAGATTCCCTGGTCGGAGTGGGGACCCAAATACGCACGCTGCTTTCCGCATCATCCAAGCCACCGAATCAGCGTATTCGGTAGCAAAATGGCATGTGCTCTGCCTCAGGATCGTACCCCTGAACCTGGACAAAGGCTGGAAGAACTCCCTGCCGAGGGTTCCTTCTATGTGCACATCTGGGACTTCAATAGAACCATTGCTCACTCGGAACGTTCGGATAATGTCTACGATTGCAATTCACCAGATCGTCTCATCCGCAGACCCGGTCGGCTGGCTCAGACGTGCTTCAACGAAGACGATGGAGACATTATCACGAATCATCCTTACACTACTGCTGTCTGCCCCACGGGTTTCTCGACGCGTTACTTTGACCGGTTTTTTTTGGAACAGGATCGACTTACTTTAATATGGGTAGGCATTCTTGGTATGGATACAGGAATGTCTTAACGTGATTAAACTACAGGCTCGCCCTAGCTCGGTTCAGATTCAAGTCGTTTCCCCCTCGCCGATGATGCCAGCTTCTGAGGTTGGCCCCGACATTGAACAGGGCCGAGTAACTCATAGCCCAGAGCTGCAGCAGACAAAGAAAATGCAAGCTCGCTACAAGACGAGCATCCTTGGACTATTCTACCCACTGAGTAAGTTGTGGAGACGACCGAGACACCTCAAATAGACAGTCCCTACTCTGGAACTTGGATGCTCCATTTATTTCTTCAAACGAGCAGACGAGGATCGGGGCTAATGTTGTTTGAATCAACTATCGAGTATACCCTCTTTTTTTTGTCTTTTAACTCACGCTCGCTACATTGCTGCACCCCATTGTTAGAATTTGTCATACACAGTAATTCCAAGTACCTACCCTCGTTTTGTCTCTTTCCTCTGGTCTCTTATATATGTGATTCCCCACCCTCGTTCAAATTTACCCTCAGTCCCTTGCATGACCTGGGGGTGCGTCATACACTACGATACTATACTTGTTACTGGACTTGCACTGAAGACCCACCGAGTCCGTTATGTTTAGTGTTTTAAAAGGATATTCATTTGCGAGATTCAAAACCGTCTCCTGCGCAGCCCCTAACAATTGATGGTTCTGAACCTTCCTTCTTTCTACACCTCGCACAACCCACGCATGCATGAGAGCCATCTCCTGGGGGATGGGAGGCTCGCGTTTGGGAGAGTGGTCATGAACATATATTCAGACAGATCGATCACGGCCAAAATATTTCGAGTCTCGATACTGGATTTACATAGATATGTATGTGAAATGTTTTCTCGGAGTCCTGCTTGACCCGCTTCACCTGAATGGAGCCTTGCCATAAACTCGCGCGTATTTCGTTCTCCAGCGTTCACGCATTAATATTGATCTCGATCTTTCCAACCCTTAACCAAAGCCACCCTGACTGATGCAGAGCTCCTCATTTATAAGGGACTGCGAATCTATGCAAAGGTTGAGCGCTGATGCCTTATGGTAAGGCTTGACAAACATGTTGCTTGGTGTGCCTATGTAGATCTCCCAAAGTCGAACCTCCGTCGGCGGAGTCAATTGTCGAGCAACGTCCTTTCTTGCCAAGGTACATGTTATCTCCCATATCGTACCATCAACGCTGAATCCTGATGTTGTGTGCCAGGTGAGGCCCGTTGTTCAGTGTAGCATCAACTCCACTGCCATAGCAAGCCATATTGCAAAGCAGCGCCCTTTGCCCATCATTTTGACATATGCAGAAGCCAACGCTAAAATACCGCCCCAAAAACCATGGACGGAATATTCCAATCGCTCATGTCGAATCTAAGGTGATAGTCGGACAAGTAATTGACAAGAGTCATATCGTTTCCTCAGTCCTCGTCAAGTGGCTCAGCGAGTTGCAAAGTCTGAACGAGCTCTCGGCAGCATACCGGCGTTGCATCCAAGCTTACTCTTCCTCTATCCGGCGCAGACTCCGCATGTAAGTCTGTGCGCAGGCCTGTGGCGGCGATCGAATCAATACGCAACGCGAATGTCATGGTGGACGCGGCGATGGTTCATGTGTATTGGTGGCCGGAAACTCATAGTATGATGAGGATCAGATTTGGTTATCTTGAAGCCTATGTACGGGTCTAGAAGGCGCAGAATGATACGCATAGGCTCTGTGTTGATTGTGAGTCCTTGCAAATAAGTTTGTGGTCAGATTATTACACACATCAGCATAAGGTGAGGCTTGAACCGTTTGGTGAGTGTGCTCGCACCCCATAATCGGCTGCCCAGACTACACCAAATGAATTTCCCTTCGTGCTTCCTCCTCTTCTCACTCCTTTACTGCCCCACCTCCTTCAATACCTACATAGAAACACATGACCCGCCCAACTTCCCTACCTTGCGAAGGGTTGTTGAATTTCATTTTTTTGGGAGGGAGATATCAATGCCTTCGGGGAAGGAAGAAAGTCTTGTTCTGTGGATGACGTCGCTGGAGTTCGTGGAAGGTGTGGAGGTTAGGGAGAGTATTGAGAGGATTGTAGTGGAGGAGGGGCGGGGCATGAGTACTTGAGTGTACGAAGGGTATGCAGCGGGAGGCTGGGTTGTTCGCAAGGGAGTATTGGAGTGGTGCGAAGTTATGAGGGTATTGTTTTCTTTTGGGGGGGAGGCCCGAATCAAAGACTCGGAGTTCTAGCTATTGCATTGTGTGAAGCATTTATGATATGACATGAGATGCAGGTCTATGTTGAAAGTGATAAGGCAAGAAATTCATCAAAATGCTAATCGAGACCGTACATTGGTGTTGTTCATCACGTGAATACAAGTGTCTCGGTGTCAATCGTGTCCACCCCGTCACAATCGTGAAAGTCATGATGCATGATCAGGGATCTGGGCTATTCCACGTAGAGTACTCCAAGGCTTCGACGGCTGGGGTTTGAGTGGAGTTGCAATATTAATGTGCTCATCACCTTCGCGCCTCGCGCCCGCCGCTCCTCCCGCCGAGCTCCCGTCCGCCATCTGCTTTTCAGGCTGTACCCGCTCACGCTACCTACTAACTTGTGAGTTACATTCATTTATTTATTCTGCTATTTTATTGCAATGGTCTTCAGTGGATAGTCTGCTGCACCCTCCTGATTTCCAACACCTGCTACCTTCTTGTGCCTGCTATTGCTCTCCTGCACCTGCCGCCCTCTCCTGCAATGATTGTTCTCTTTCACTAATTGAACCATCGAGTGCCTCCTCTCGTGTGTTCTCGTACCATCTTACACGAGCCCTCCCCCTGCACCTCGTGCCTGCTGCCACCCTTGTGCATGACCTACACTGTTGTACACCTATGTCTCGACTGTCAGGCTTGTGCCCCGACACCTTCCCCCCACTCATGTGAGCTCCTCGCCTGTCTCCGTCCCAACATTCGTGATTTAACTTAGTTCATGCATAGAGCAGTTTGGTTCGGTGTGTTTGTGGATTTCTTCGTACCATGTACGACTTGAGTACTGGTAGACCAAATTTATTGATATGAGAACACCGTCACCACACCGCCGACCATAAGGCCTGAGGCCTGAGAACGGGCTGTTTCGTGAGTACCACCGTCAAGCAGCGTTTAAATTCCGCCCGAAGCCAGCTGTCGAAGCTCCAGACTGGCCCCGGAATTTGTCCCCAGAGTCTACGTGGAATAGCCCCGGAGTGGCCATTCCCCGGATGTTCTCATCCCGTCATGCTGTGCTGCGCAATTGCCCGGATCTTTGCGTGCGCTCCTCAGAGAGGATATCATAATGATTGCTAGTACAACCTCAAGGCAAGGCAAGGTCTTTGGGTATAACATCTACATACTTCCTCACGGAACATATCTGAACCCTGATATCGCACTCACTCGAGGGCTAGCGTACGAGTCCCTGATTCACTTTCCGCATCATGACATGCTACGTTGCTACACTTTTTTGCTATTGGTCTATGCCGTAACCCCTTTCCTCTCTTTCGTGCATGTACATGAGTAGTAAGTATTGGAAAATTCGGACCAACCCTAAAATTGCGGTGTGAGCACATGGGAGGTTTAGCATGCGTCCACCATACACTATCAGTATTTGAAGCTTCAGATCAGACCAGCGTTTTTCTGCGAAACTTCTGTCCTGCACAAAATCGTCAACCAACAGTCAGAACAACTCTGATCGCGTGAAATAGAAAGTATACAAAAAGTATACATACAGTAGCACTACCGCCCGAAGGGGATCGTTTGTAGGATATAAGATGGATCCGAGATGTGAACGTGCGTGCATCTGCTGGTATTGCACATGTGGTCGAATGCGTCACAACCACACAAGAAAAAAGCTTGGACATTCGTTGAGGTGATGCTAGTAAGGGGATAAACGGTGTATAGGTTCTTCCTAAAACCATAAAGAACGCTCTTCAGCGTATAAAAGCAAAGTGTTTTCCTACTAACCCTTCAGATTTATTTCATCCCACGTCACATCCTCATACACAATGCGTTTCACTTTTGCAGTTATCCTCTCCGTTGCTGCTGCTTTAGCATCATCAATTTCTGCTACGCCCATTGAAGGTGCCACCCAATGTCCCACTCTTTGCTGGTGGCATAAAGATTGTAAGAGCTGCGGTGTGCCGATTTGCGTGAGTATCAGGTTTCCCTGGATTTGATAGCATGACTCACCTGCATGGCAGGACTTTCCCTTCTGTCAAAAGAATCCTCCGCCTGTAAGCGTTTCTACTTTCACAACGATACACTATAGCCGCTGGTACTGACATGCGAGTTATTGTTAATCTGTAGGCTTGATCACCGTGCCGTCAGGAAAAGTTATCGGTGGAGTTGGCGTAAATTTTGTTTGATTGGAAAATTAGACAAGATGAGTTAGGACACAGAAAGAATACTATTAGGTGCAGATAAGTCTACAGCGGAGCGATAGTGACTATGGCTCCTGCTGAATCACCGTAGATAGGCCTGTATATCATAAAATTATAAGCATATGCGCTCAACGGGCCCGATACAAAAACGCACTCGGTTACACTCCATCCAGACATCACCATGAAAGGAGCAAATTACAATACCCACCGTGAGCACCTCAATTCAATTCTGACTTGTGCGGCGAGGCAGTTGCGGTTGTGGCTGTCCGGGCACGTCACACAATGATGGCCGCGATTACCTTGGATGAGATGGACCTGCGGGTTATACAAATGTAAATAAATGCGCAGTGCGCACAACATCAAAGGGTTGAAAACACACCTGCCTGCGGGCTACACTCGCGACCCTACGACTACGACTTTCCGGAACGCTTACACTGTGTCAAATTCTTTCTCAGCAGGATTAGACAAGATATAAGCGCTGCGGTAAAGTTGTGACTATTTGATTTTACTGCAGATACCGTGAGCAAAGAGCAATGTTAATGAGCAATGTTGTGTTTGCTGTGGTGCGGCGATCTTAGTAGCGGTAGCAAGAACAAAAGGAAATGCTTACTATATTGAAGCAGCTAGCTTTCGGATGGAAGTCCCCATAGCGGCCCCAACTTGTGCAAGAGAGAGCCGAGGTGAGCTGCGATTCCCAATGCAGTAGGAGTGAGAGCGACGCAGTGAAGTGAACCTCGGATCCCAAATTGTAGGAGCCGCAGGGCACTTACTAGAAGCCTGTAAGCCTTGTCACCGCCCTTCGCTTCTCCGCCGCAGTAAGACACTTCTTCTCGGGATCTTTGCCTTTGAGCGCCCCACCCTATAATTTTGTTGTCAATCCGCTGTGCATCTGAATTGCGAGAAGTAATTATGACACCAGTGTTCGATATTCCGTACCAGTACAGGTTTCTCATATCTCTTCCTTATGGTTCCATCCAGTCCAGGGTATCAGTAAAACCCTGAGCATAAAGCTCGAAAGGGCATTGAATGTCGGAGGAACTCGGTGCCACATGCCAGGAGGTTTTGCAGGCCAAGCATAATCCAAAAGTCAGCCTAAACGAATCATGAAACCACGGGAAAGAACAGACTGATACATAGTGAGAAAGTCCCTGAGCGTAAGGAGGAGCAGAACGTGACATATCCACTCAGTAAGAAGCGACAGAATCCCGGACACAACAAGCACAATTATGGTTTTAGAAGACTCCGAGACTTCGGTTTGCAGCTCTGAATCTTGAGGGTCTTCAAGAAAGGGAGACATTGGCTCCTCCAAACTTGACTTAGGAAGCGACAGGGTCCCAACCGCCACAGCTATAGTTTTAGGGGAGGGATCCAAAAGTTTAACTTGACGGAAGTTCGAATCTTCAGGAATGGACGAAATTGTCTCTGCCAAACTTGACCTAGGAAGCGAAAAGGTCGCATCCGTCACAATTCAAGCGTTAAAAATCCGAGGCTTCGACTTGAAGGAAGTCTGAATCCTGAAGATATTCAGGAAGGGGCCAAACTGGCCCTGCCAGATGTGACCTAGCAAGCGACAAGATCCGGAGTGCCACGGTTATAGAAGAAGAATCCGAATCTTCGGGTTCAAATCTGGAAGCTCTTCAGGAAGAGGACATGATGGCTCAGGCGAATTTGACCCAAGTGTCCTGGGGACTCGGCGCTGTTGGCTGTTGGTGCACCCCATGATCGGTGTGATGGCACTCTTCCTAGTGGCAGTTGAATGTTGAATATCGAATGTTGAGTAGCACGTTAACATGAAGTGGTGCCGCCGACCCCGCGGCGGACAAATGTGGGAGATTATCGATTAGCTTTCACACCTGAAATGTTGGACGATCTTATGCAAAACTCTGTAGGTATGAATGACATGGTGCCAGCACAGAACAGCACCAGATCCGAGGCCTAATAAACAACGCAATTTGAGCGTGCGAAGGGCTACACAGGAGCACAAGTATCAATGTTAGCTAGCAAAAGCGCTCACGACAGTGTATCACCGGGATTCTGAATCAGCAGGACAGAAAAATGATACACACTTTCCGCTAACTTGAGCGTGTCCAAGAATCAATTCACCCTGTGGCTAGCCAATGGCACAATTAAGATACTCCTACCATCCAGCTCGGCCTAGAGGCTGTGATGGTACGTGATTTATCCCTACTCATAGACGGAACTCACAGCGTGATGAGGATCAGGGGGCCGGGACGGTGGGTTGGGTATCTTGAAGTTGTGCTGGGCTGGGAGATGCTAAGGTGATACACAGGGTTCTGTGTGGGTTATAAGAAAGCTAATATGGGCAGGTACAGGCGACGGGACGTGCCATCATGGGTCCAGAGCTACCCAATCCATCGACTTCGGACTAAATGTTCCGAGCTGGGATCCAACCTGGCCCTGGAGTGCACACGCTGAGTACTTGGAATCCTCCTGATCAATATCAACTTGCTTCAGTGCAATTCTGATTGAAACATTTTGACGTGGGTTACAGGCTATGTATGGCAGGAATCAAGACTGCATATCTGAGTCTGACTTCACGAGTTGCAGATAAGTGAACAAGTTCCGTCCGACACTTGCTTATGTCATGCGACGTTTGTAGCAAAATTGGGTTGAAGTTCCTTGTCAGGCTGTCACTCATACGTATATACGCGTACTCATCATGGAAAGTGTAACGTGGGGTCTGATGAGCGCGCTTGAGAGCTGCTTTACCTGCTTTCTTTCCATCCATCCCCCTTCATACTTCCCACGATGGATTTCGGTAAGTTTGACTTCTGCTCACTACACCATGACTCGCACTAATCTCGTCTCTAAGCACATCCTTCATCTTCTAGCGGCTCATGGAACCGTCTATGCAATGTCGTAGAATATAGTGGCATTTTCGATTCTGAATATCGCCAACCCCACTCACGGTGCATGGAAAACACACGCGTTGCCCTTCGGGAGAGGATCATACAAATCCTCAACCAACATGATCGGACGAACATCTGGCTCAACGGTCTCGCCGGTGTTGGAAAAACGTCTATCGCGTTCACCATAGCTGAGGGGATGAAAGTAGCCAAGAGGCTTGCTGCCACTTTCTTCTTTTCGCGCAAACATGCACACAAGGACAAAGCTGCCACTATTATTCCTACTATTGCATACCAGCTGGCACTGGCTTTTCCACGCATTCGAGAGGATATTGTGAAAGCGATTGAGAACGACGATAACCTCCTATCACCTGGAAAATCTTACGCAGATCAGATACGAGAGCTCATCATGAAGCCACTGCAGACGTTGAGATTCCGACAAGAGCTTTATGTCATCATTATCGATGCTCTTGATGAATGTTTCTCCTCTGAAGAGGCGGCAAGACTTGTAACGCTGTTGACAGATGCCTTCGCGGGCCCAGACCTGCCATTCATCCACATCATATTCACAAGCCGCCCTGAGGCGAATATCCGCGCTGCCATGCCCTCCGGTGTCCACGAGATTTTCCTTACCACTCGTGATGAAGACACCATACGGGATGTCCGTTTATTTCTGCGAACATCACTGGACAACACACGGACAATTCGTCCTGCTGTTTTCGGTCAGCCACCCATCCCCTGGCCATCGGAGGATGAATTCAAGACATTGGTGTTTAAGGCGGGCGGTCTGTTTGTTTATGCTGCCATGGCCATGAATTTCATATCCGCCACTGGTCATCACCCACAGGAGAGGCTAGAACTCTTATTACGCGAGAGGCCGACTGTCGGTGCTGACATCGATCAGCTTTATCGGCAGATCATTGCAACCTCGGAGGATCCACTTGCGCACTGCCGGATGTTAGCGTCTATCATCCATCTAGCCAGACCTTTGCCACTTGCAGAACTCCAAGAACTCTTTGATGCGGATAGAAGGAGCCTGGCCATGATGCTTGAAGCATTTTCACCCGTGATCTTGAATGATGGGGTCGGAAATGTTGAAATTTACCACGCTTCACTCCGGGACTTTATGGACGACCCTCGACGCTCGAAACAATATCACATAGATACTGCACACGCTCATGAGCACCTTGCATGCTGCTGCCTTGATTTCATTACACGCCAGGACTCCAATCGGACTCGTGCCATTCTAGTGTCGTCATTGTCTTATCCATATCCATATCAGATGTGGCAGGTCCATCTTTACTTTGCCTATCCTAGCAGAAAACTTCGAAATCTGCTGGCCCTATTTACAGACACAACACTACGATATTGGGTACCGACCTCGGACCCTAAGAACTCCTACCTTGCACGCACTATCCAGGGCGCAAGAAGGACCTGTTTATCCTCGGTGATTGTTCTGAACATGTTGAATTAGGGACGTGTACTAACCATGAATTTTTCAGAATTGGATCAGGGGTCCGTCGGACATTGTGGTTGCATGGCGTCTTCATAAATGTTATAAAAAGTTTGCAAAACTAGCGATTGCAAGAAACCAATACTAGCCGATACAACACGGAGCCCAACTGACTAGAATTTCATAAATGCGACCGTTTGATTCAATTCTCGCTACTCGGACACTACTACTACTAGCCAGTGTAAATCGTCAACTTCCTTGAGGAAATAGGTTCAGCTTGTCAACTATCCATTACCATCATCTTGTGCCGCGACTCCATAAGCCACAAGCCATGTCACCAATAATTAGTGATCGCTTAACGTTGAACATTAACCTCGTCCATGAAGAGGGACTGTCTATTCAGAGCATCTCAACCATTTCTGCAGTCTAGTCAGTAGGATAGGATGTGTAGCGAGTTAAAGCGGCACGATTATGGTTTGATAAGAATCTCGGCGAGACTTCTGACCTGGAGCAAACTGTCAGCTTGGAGGATTCAAATTAGCTCTGCTAAATCTGGCTCGGGTGTCGGCGTTGGTAGCTGCTGGCGCATTCCATAATCTTGTGAGTGTACACATGGTAGCCTTGTGCGATACTTGCTTGTGTCAACAAAATACCAGCGGCCTATCGGCAGTGGGTTGGTTTCCTTCCACTCTATGATCACAATTATGTTTTCCGGTTCTCAGCCTCGCTATGTAGAAGTTGGTATTATCAGCAATGTCAACGTCCTGCCGACGTCCTACTCTTGTCGTTTAAGGTGGTTCGGCAAATAGCAAGTACTATTGTCTACAAGTGGGGGGTGACGAGAGCTTTGCGGTGTGCGTAGTTTACTATCATTTACTGATTCACACTGGGCAATTAGGGTGATACATATGGAGTTGAAAGGCTGAAATATAAGCATAGTGGATGCAGCCGGCCATTGCTATGGTGCAATAGTTCTCTAACTGGGCTTGACGCCTGAGAGACGCATGTGTTGGGCTACGTCGACGATCTGCATGATGCAACGTCTTTTATATTAATATCATCAAAAGCCAGTTCTAACCATCATCATCTGACTCCGATAATTGCCACGCAGGCGAAACACTGATATTAATATGCACATGACAGGGAACGTAGGAACTTGCGATTGATCAGGTGCACAAGACCAGGTCAGCGAGCTGATATTATCATATATATACTCATTCCCAGCATGAGACCACGCTAGTCCCTCTTGAACACAGCACCCACGATGGAACCCACTAAACAAACTCTCTTGATCGGCGGCCTCGTCGTCGATGTCTACTCCCACCCCACTTCGAGCTCCAGCTCCACAGACCCCATCCACGCGCTCTTCTTCCTCCACGGCCGCTCCGAAAGTGCACAAGAAGCACATTTAGTCGATACTGTTAAAGTTATTTTTGATGGGAGTTATGGCTCTGGATCGGGTGTGAGTGGTGAGAGGAAGAAAGATCTTATCGTTGTTGCTTTTGTGAGTCACTCCTTACTTCATCTTCGTAGGGAGGGGATGGGTGCTGATGGTGGGTGGGCGAACAGGATCACAGGAACCATGGGACAAGACTTGTGGACCAGAAGCGGAATTTGGCATGGAGCGAGGATCCGGCTGAGAATAATGATCAGCATGCGTACGTATCGTGGCACGGCATGGCATATGAATGCTGACACCCCCCTCATTCAGCGTTGACATGTATACCATCCAAAGTACGTTCAAGCCACAAATGTGCGTCATGAATCTGAATCTGACCCCACTTGAAGCTGGTACAGCAGAAGACGTGTCCTTCCTAATCGACCACCTTTCTTCCTTCCTCTATCCCTCGGGTGATCGAACGATTGTGGAATGGGGTATAGGTGGTACAAGTCTTGGAGGACATTCGACATGGATTGCGCTTTCCCGAGGTACGTACCCAGTGTTCCTACGTAGTCTCACTTTCCTTCATCTAAACTCCCAGAACCCCGCCTCACACTCGGAATCCCCATAATCGGGTGCCCAGACTACACCAAACTCATCTCCCAGCGCGCCCAATCCTCACACATCCCCTTCTCCCCACCTTACTTCCCCACCTCCTTCAAAACATATATAGAAACGCATGACCCTGCACAACTGCCATATCGCGCCAAGGACGCGTCCAATCCGTTCCTTGGGAAGAAGGTTTTGGTGCTTTCGGGGAAGGAGGATAGGCTTGTACCGTGGGTGGCGTCGGCAGAGTTCGTGGAGGGTCTTGAACTTGGGGAGGGGGGTGTTAAGAGGGTTGTGGTGGAGGAGGGGGCGGGGCATGAGTGTACGGACGGGATGCGGAAGGAGGCTGGGTTGTTTGTGAGGAAATGGTTGAGTGGTGCGGGGTTATGAGGGTATTCTTTTCTTTCTTTTGGCGATGAGAGCTGTATCAGGGATATACGATCTAGTAGAATATGTATGGTATGACACAGGTCTATATTGAAAGTCATGAGACCAAACACTCAAAGTGCTGAATGAGTTCATCATAAATGATACCGCTGCAGGGTATGGCGTGCGCCACCGTCATCTCACACCATCCTCCTCACGTATGGCACTCCTCATGCACGTGTGTGGCAGAAATCAAGGTTCCATATTCGAGTCTGACTTCACAAGTTGCAGATAAGTGAGCAAGTTCAACGTTCAGCCTGGTCAGCGATCTCATCTTCGTTTTGAGTTCGCGGGCCGATACTGCTTATGTCATGCAACGTTTGTAACAAAATTGGTGGAAGGTTTCTGCGCGCCCGCAGTCAGGCCTGACAGTACTTGTAACGTACAGGAAAGGCCATGGCATCTGATGAGCGCCCTATAACTATTTACTGCCTTCTTCTCGTCCATCCCGCTCAACACTTCCCACGATGGATTTTGGTAAGTTTTGCCTCCGCACTATGACTTGTACTGACCTCGTTTCTCAGCACATCCCTCATCTTCTAACGGCTCATGGAAGAATCTATGCAATGTTGTAGAATATAGTGGCATTTTCGATTCTGAATTTCGCCAGCCCCACTCACGGTGCATGGAAAACACACGCGTTACCCTTCGGAAGAGCATAACACAAGTCCTTGACCAACGTGATCGGACGAACATCTGGCTCAACGGTCTCGCCGGTGTCGGAAAAACGTCTATCGCATTCACCGTAGCTGAGGAGATGAAAGCAGCGAAGAGGCTTGCTGCCACTTTCTTCTCACACAAGCATGCACAAAAGGCTGTCGCCATCATTCCTACCATCGCATACCAGCTGGCACTGGCTTTTCCGCGTATCCGAGAACATATCGTGAAAGCGATCGACAACGATGACAGCCTCCTGTTACCTGGAAATCTCACACAGATCAGATGCGAGAGCTTGTCATAAAGCCACTCGAGATATTGAGATTCCGCGAAGAGCCTTATACTATTATCATCGATGCTCTTGACGAATGTTTCTCCTCTGAAGAGGCGGCGAGACTGGTCACGCTGTTGACAAACACCCTCGCGGGTCCAGCCTTGCCATTCATCCACGTCATATTCACAAGCCGCCCTGAGGCGCATATTCGCGCTGTCATGCTCTCCGGTATCTACGAGATTCTCCTTACCACTCATGATAAAGACACTATAAGGGATGTCCGCTTCTTTCTGCGAGAATCACTGGACAGAACACGGACAAGTCGACCTACTGTTTTCGGTCAGCCACCCATCCCCTGGCCATCGGAGGATGAATTCGAGACATTGGTGTTTAAGGCGGGCGGTCTGTTTGTTTATGCTGCCATGGCCATGAATTTCATATCTGCCACTGGTCATTATCCACAGAGATTGGAACTCTTACTACGCGAGCATGGCGACTGTCGGTGCTGATATCGATCAGCTTTATTGGCAGATCATTGCAACTTCGGAGGATCCACTTGCGCACTGCCGGATGTTAGCGTCTATCATTAACCTTGACGAACCGTTGAAACTTGTGGAGCTCCAAGAACTCTTTTACGCGGATAAAAATAGCTTGGTTGTGACGCTTGAAGCATTTTCACCGGTGATCTTGAACGGATGGGGTCGGGCGCGTTGAGATTTACCACGCTTCACTCCGGGACTTTATGAGAGACCCTCTACGCTCGAAGCAATATCACATAGATGCTGCACACGCTCATGAGCACCTTGCATGCTGCCGCCTTGGTTCCATTACACGCCAGGATTCCATTCGCACTGGTGACATTCTAATGTCGTTCGAGTCGACATTGTCCTATCTATATCCATATCAGATGTGGCATATCCATCTTTATCTTGCCTACCCTAGCATCAAACTTCGAAATCTGCTGGCCCTGTTCGCATGCAAAACACTCCGATACTGGGTACAGACTCCAATCATCGATGACTTCGACCTCGCGCACACTCTCCTGATCGCAAGAAGGACTTGTTTATCCTTGGTGATTGTTCTGGACGTATTGAATTATCAGGGAGGTGTACTAACCATAAATTGCTCAGAATTGGATTAGGGGTCCATCGGACATTGTAGTTGCATGGCGTCTCCATAAAGGTTGCAGTTTGCAAAGCTAGAAATGGCAAAAAAAAGTAGAAGATAGCAAGAAGCCGATCCTTTATGGAGCCCAACTAGATACATTTAACAAAACCATAATTATATCGGCCTATAGGTCTCATGACTAGCTTATCATGGACTCACGAATTCACTGATGGCGACCCATGCATCAAGATGACACTTTGCTCAAGCAAAGACCTTCTGGTACGTCACTACGTTATCATCGGATGGTGTAAGGAGACATCCTTGTTGATATTAACACTTCACAGGCCGGGCGCTGATGATTTGGTACGCTACTCGTTCTTATCTCTGCTCTTGAGGCGCTGGTGTAGTTCATTTCCGCCTCCTCACATCATCGTCTCATGGGCGCTAGTACTATATTTGAATAGTACAATACACATCACACTATTCAGGCAAGTAAAATTTTCTTGATCATCAGAGCACGAAGAAAGGCTCACGCCGTAGGCCTGCACCCTATCAACGGCAGTATGGTCGTATGATAAAGCTCCACATGGTCAGTGCGACTCATGCAACATCAAGCCAGTCACGAGAGCTAGCAGTCGGAATACCTTTGGCAGATTCCACTGAGTTCTAGGTGTTATTAGCGTCCAGTCGGCCGATACCCACTGTGCGTTCAAGTTGGGTGTGCAGTGTGCACATCTGCTACCTAGAACCTTACTCCCGAAGGTGCTTTTTTGATGCAATCTTGACGAATTGCCCTCCTAAGCATAGTCTTGCAAGAATTAAACTGTGGTACGTTGCTACGCTATGATTGGATGGTGCAACAGAATAAGCCTCAGTGCGTCGCAAACGCCATCGACTTTCGATGTTACCGGTCAGTTTGTGCTCCAATGAAGCTCTGGAGTTAATTGGTGATTAGACGACCACTGATGGAACTGATGCAGAACGTGCCAATCATTTTCAGCGCCTTCCAATATTTCGCACGTTTCATTTAAATCCCAAATCCCCCAACCATGCACTTTCCTTCCATCGAGGGCTTCTGATCATGGAATTTCTTCCCCGTTCTAATCATTTCATTGACAATAGTTGCTGTGATCAATCAAGTATTCTCAGGGAATCAATATACAAACCAATCGCTATAAAAGCGCTGGATGGTGGTATGTCTGCACAAATTCTACACGCCCCATTCAGATATGATCCTAGTCTTAAATGATCCCGTTTGGTTGCCGTTTATCAGTGGTGCTAGTCTTTTCAGCTATCTTTTAGGTCTGTGGAGAGCAAGTGGGATGAAGATGGTGGCATCTCACTATCGCTGACTTTTTTTGCAGTTGTACCTTCTGCCGCGGTGGTTTACGATTGGGGTGAGCGAAATAATACTTCCCGAGGGTATCATCAATTTTTATATGGTATTCAAGCATTGACATTCGGACAAGAGGTAAGTTGATGTCACTGGCGCAGCCGTCTCACTAAGAATGCTTCAACAGTTCGAACTGGTCTGGGTAAGCAATGTCCTACTATACCAGATGCAAACTGGATAATGCAGTTGACTTAGGGCAGATTCAACGCTGGTCCTTCATGACCGTTCTTTATATTTGTGTACGTTATGTTATCATGAACGCAGTTGACATGTTGTACTGAGTCGACTTCAAACTATGCTAGGTGCGCTACATTGGAATACTATATTCTGTGTAAGTTTTCAAGACTAACAAGTCGACACTGCACCTGATAAGCCGTATCTCATAATTAGTATCATCATACTATGTATGTGTCCCCAACTACACCACGCTCGTTTATTCTTACTAGCGGAATGTAGGGTATCTCCCAGTCTCGGCAACGGACATAGTGGGTGTTCTGCGAGTTCTCCCATTCCCATTCATTTGTTAACTGCACCGCAACACAGGAGTGAGTAATATTCACAGCCGCCTTGTTATGTTGAACATGATGGCTGTCACAGCTGCAAGTTCATTTGAATCATCGAGTCCATCAATGCACATCAATAACCTGGGTTTTCAGGCTTTACCATTTACTTCATATGGAATTGAACACCTGTCGTCGTCAATGCTATGCTGGGCGGTGAGATCACCTGCAGTACCTCATTGATACTGACTTGACTGAAATATCATGCAAGTCATCATGATGATTCGGATACATGCGATGTATGAATGATCCAAAAAGATGCTCATCTTTCTCATTGTAGTCTTTCTGGCTTCCACAATCGCTTCCGGTGTCATCAAGTAATGGCAAACACCGGTATTTTAGTGGGTAGGTTTTAATTTTTGACGAAATCCTCAAGCACATAAGACTCATGGACAAAATCTAGAGGAATCCATCCTTTTTGGCTACCATAACTGTCTTGCCGAAAATGACGCATACCAGACGGGTCTGGGTTATGAGAGTTTGATACCCACCGCTATATGGGAGATCCTCGCCTTCGTTCTTGCAGTCTGGATTGTCATAAAACACTTGCGTGAACTGCGACAATCTCTGACAGGATCGACCATTACGGACTGCTTTACAGTGTTAACTAAAAGTCACGCATTGTACTTTGTAGCGTGAGTTTGGAGATTTGGAGGTTATTATCTTGTTTCGCTAAAGTTTCACACACATGCGTTAGCTTTATTGCTGTAGCTTGCTTCGCCCTAGGCTCACTGTCTACAATTATCATGGTGCGTCATCCTGCAATTAAACATTTGTGTCTGTCCACTCATCATCATTTCTACAGGACTCGACGTCTGTGGGAGGTGCATTTTATTACAGTATTTTGCAAATCGCCCAGGTGTTGCAGATGTTTGTGCTGGGACCGCATCTAATTCTCAGGGTTCGCGAATATAACGCTAAGCTCGTTGCAAGGTCCGACGGGGGAACAGGCATGACGTCCATTTATTTCCAGGCTGGTGGTGATGCGTGGACTGGTGGAGATGTTTAGCACGGGAAACGATCCAAATGATACTGTATGGGGATCATGTAGATTTTATTAGTTTTGTGGTGGTGTTTCAGCAATCAGGAGGAAAGGAGCTTTATCATGATATTTATTCAGTGTTGCGGTGTGATTTGGAGGATAGAATCAGGACTGTCATGCTGTATTGGAATTATCTGTCCAGTGTCCACCCACACACGAACGGAGCCTACGGAACGTCTCGCAATCAATGCATGCGGATCACATTCATTCCTACTACCCGTGACAAGAAGTCTAACTTACTCGCCCCCAGATATTTTCAGCGATATATCGCATCGCCACATAGCAAAATACAGGGACGTTGATCCTCGTGGTTTACCTACATGTACATTCAAATCAGCTCTATGGATCGGTACGTAGATATGAACTGGCTATCCTCGATAATAATTTAACAATTACTTTTATGTTCTTTTTCAGCCAGGAGGGGATGTAAGACCGAGTGCACCGAGGGGTACGTTGGAATGACGTAGTAATACTAAGCTTCCACGTGTAGGCTCGGAAAGTTGAGGGTTGCCAGGCCGGGTAGCGGAAAATGAGGGACAAACGACATCCGGATGTCAATGTCAGAGGTGATATGACTTCAGCATCATTAAAGTAAAGTACAATCCATGGCACCAAGAACTAATCCCAATAACTTATTGTTCTTCTTCGTCAAGTATTGTAGTGGGTAGGCTGGCTTACTCACCGTCGAAACACGGCGCCATGCTGCAGATCCAGACGAGATGCGGTGAAATGCTTGAAGAATGATGAGTCCGTCGCGCAGGTTTTCGAATAAGTTGAACGGTGCTAGCTCGACGCCGAGTGAGTTGAGCCATGGGGTACCCGGCCCTGTGCATAATTCTTCCACAACGCCAAAATTCTTGGCTTCTTATTCGCTCAGATGGTCAACGGCGGTCCGTGTGTTGAAAAGAGTTGCGACGAAGGTAAGGTAAGAAGGCGTGAGGTATTTACGGCAGCCGCATCAACGATGTTGTTGTCCGGGCTGGCTGACGATCGAGGCCTGGCTTGGCTCGGCATCAACGGCACGTCGGGCTCTGAAATTCGGTATCCGCTTGGCGCACTAGCTGCCGGTGACCACGACAAAGGAGTTGCTGTCACTAAACGCCGTTCGTTAGAATCGTTTCTATGTTCCTGACTCGCGAAGTGTGACAAGGCAAGAAACGAATGACATTGCAAATGATGGTAACTAGCGGACGCGAGTGTGACAAGAGTAAGCAAGGGAAAGACTACGCTAAAGGATTGTTTTGGGCAAAGCCCGCAGGGCTTTCGACCGAAACACGTTTGTGGAGGGGGGGCAAGAACGAGCTGAGATACCCAGGAACTACTAGGAGCAGAATGACGCATCTAGCGTGAGCTTGAGACCCGACACCCAAAGGAAGTTCGAAATGACTTACTGAAATGCTCGAGAAATCAAGGTAGAGTTAGCCGCGTGAAAGGCTCGAGGACAGGGTTGTCTTGTAGATAGGGAGCCAAGACCACTGTGTGCTGTCTGAGGTAAAGAATGAAGGTGTCGCTATTCCACCGGCCCATGGCCTTAACACTCTCGAAAGAGATGCCGCGCAAGAGATACTCGAGTGCTCCCCTGATCCTAATGCCATGGCCTTTCAAACCCTCTAGTCCTAGATGATCTCCCACTGCCTGCAGACATTTGAGGAATTCCCCTCTCGTCAGTGGTCTCAGACCCCTGGGGTGATGCCAGCTAAAAAGGTGAGCTGAAGGTGGAGGGTTGTTGATGATGAGGTGTTGTTGTAGAGCCACTTTGGGGTCTGCCCATCCTGACTGTTCAGCCCAGTAAACATCCTCCCCATCTAGCGACATTTTCGTCCACAGTAACCGAAAGATGGTGACTTTGAAACCATTCTGATCTTCTTCCTGTTGTATACGTACAATTCACCTGCATGTGAATTTGAGGATTGTCACGAAAGCTCTGAAGGGAAGTGATGGTGAATTCGCCAGTCCATGCGATGGTAAAGAACAACATAGTGAGGCACATGAAAACTGCAGTGTGCAGGGGTTGGTTCAAGTCTAGAGTTGAGCGAATGGAGGTGATGATGTCTATAGTGAAAGGAGCTCACTTGGGACACTTCGAGGCAGGCGGAGGGGCACCGTTGCTCTTCTGGTACCCCACGTGAGTCGCAGAACACGTGGAATACTAGCAATCCCGAGCCGTATGTCTCCCGTGTGCTCGGTGCATGTGAATGGCTGATCACTGTAATGATCCTGTCAAGATCACTCTCCAAAATGCTGATGGGACATCCTGCGTTGTCAAGTCTTGAGCATGACAATGCTGGCATCCAGAGCTGAAGGTGTTTGCGGGTCAAACAATGAGGGCAAAGTGCGGAAACGATAGGAGTTAGAGTGACAGGGTATGGGCGAGGGTGTGTTCTAGTCTGTGCTGGTGGGAGTGGGTTGCTTGCTGTGAACCGAGAGATGTTAGTCCTGCCAGGCATCATGGTACTGAATGAGCTCTTCTCCCCAGTGTCATATCCCACAATCTGGACTCACGTTCCATCATATTCCCACGCCCTCCAAGCCTACATCCAGACCCCATATCCAACTCATTCCCAGATCCCCTTCCACTGTGTACTCCACACCTCAGCAGGATCGACTATACTCCAGATTTACCCCTGAGCTCTGGACCTCCAGATCCTCACTGCTAGCCTGATCCATACAACCCTATCCTGTCCACCCTATGCGCACTCCATCCAGCAAGACATCCGGACTTCACCTTGTCTCAGATTCTGGACTATATCCACCTTCTCATATTCCGGTCCTGTATCCACCTTGTCTTCTGGATCCCCAGATCTCCAGACCTCCGGATATTAACTCCGGACCTATTCCCACCCTCTGTCCAATATCTTGCGCCTATCCCCATTTAGGCATTCTCTGCCTTCTGGCTTTCGGTTACCTCTTGTTCCGTCTTGCTTATTGATCCTTGTATGAGTCCTCATCTCCGAGTTCATTTACTTATGTTCTGACTTACTTACTAATGTGTTTCCACATACTCGTACATAGCCTTGCTCCTTTGCTTACTGATCCCCTCAGATATTGTTCAGTATATAACCCCTGTAGATACTCCTGTAGTTCCTTAGTTTGAATATCAACTTAGACTTGCCCAATCCTCTCTCGGACTTTGGTCCACCTAAGTCTGTCCTACCCATCAGGCCTAGGGATTGATTCCCTAGGCCAGAGCCCCACCTTTCTGGCACTTGCCCTCTTTCCAGACTTAGGTCCAATCCCTGTCTCTCTGACTCTACCTTAGGGTAGTCTACCTCTGTTTGCTTCTACATTGGACAGAGTCCAATGTAGCCCCTATTCCTTCCAGACCTCTGGACCTCCTGTCCCTCATACCTCTGGGCATCCTGTCCTTCGGATGTTCCGCCCTCTGTACCTTCAGATGTTCCACCCTCCATACCTTCAGATGTTCCGCCCTCCATACCTTCAGATGTTCCATCCTCCGAACCCTCGGACATCCTGTCCTCCTGTCCTCCAGACCTTCGGACCTCCTATCCTTCCATCCTGTTTCCTGTAGAAGTATTACCTTGCAGTGGGAACTCTCCTGCGCTCCTCCGGACATTTCCTGCGCTCCTCCGGAAGTCCTCTAGCGCTCTCCAGCAGAGTAGCCAGCCTCCAGAAGTCCTCCGGACTTCATTGGACCATCATTGGACCTCATACAAAATGAAGGGCATATACTTGGGTAAGGGGCACAGCATACGAGCTGAGGCCAAGCCCCTCTGAGTCAGTCTCTCTCCCCCTTGAGCAACATGGTTCTTAACACCCAGCTCCAATTCTCCGTCTCGTCCAACTGTTCCCCATCAACTCGATGATGGCTGTGGATGTTGTTGTTGGGTGGTGGGATGGATGGATCCGTGTCTGTGAGGAGTTTGGGTAAGTTTCCTGGTAGGATGACTGGGGGTAGGAGGAAGCGCCTGGGAGGGAAAATACCTCTGGAAGGGCCATCTGCAGGGTTATCAGCACTGGGAACATACTCAAGGTGGAAGCTGACGGGAACGTCAAGCTGTTCAAGCCATCATTGGATGCATCTGAAGACGAGGTTGGTCTTGCAATTCCGACTTTGTCCTGTCTTCCAGCCGAGTACAATGCCTTGATTGTCACAGAACACTCGAAAGTGTGAGGGTGCATTGTTGTCGATGAAATTGTCCAGGATGGTGAGGACAAGAAGCTCAAAGCTGACAGCTTTGGCCCACCCAATGTTGCGCTGACCATTGAGGGTTCTCCAACCTGGGCAAAGAGTCCAGGCGCCCCAATGCCCATTGATAACAGTTGCGATTCCAATGGATGTGCTTGCATCTGAGAATGCATGAAGGTCAATGAGGGATGGGGGTTGAGGGATGGGATGTTCAATGAAGGGCTTGGACAATTTTTCTTCCCACCAGTCGAGATCTTCCTTAAGGTGTTTGATGGTGTGATGTGGCATGAAAGGACTGTTAGTGCAGACTCTGAGCATGGTCTCCAATGACGTGAGGTAACCCCTTCCTGTGGGGACCACCAGACAGGAGTGAAGCAGCTTTCCGTACAACCTTTGTACATCAAGGAGAATGTGCGTAATGCGAGACCACCACTCCGTGATCACTGTGAGACACTTCATCTTCTTGGCAACTGAGAGCTTGACCATGAATCTCGCCAGGTTCCATAGAAGCCCCAGGTATAAAACCATGATGGCGAATATCATGTCCTTGGTGGGTTCCCAAGGGAAACCCAGGGGAAAGGAGACCCAGTTGATATCGGTGTAACCAAAAAGGAAATCGGCATTGCTTTCTGAGCGCAGGGATGACAGTGAAAGGTCTTGTAACAGGAAAGAACAGTCTTCAGCATAGACATCAGAAGAGCTGTCTTCATGGACTGTACCTTTGAACCACAGGCACCCTCCTGACTGGAGTTGACCATTGGGTGCCATGGCTGCTTGCACGCGTACTTGAGAGGCGTTGTAGCTCTCCAGATATTCCCACCGTATGCGGAAGAATAAGTGGTCATTGACCCATTTGACCATGGGCCCCAAACCCTCTGCACATAGATGTCAATTCCTGTGTCAGCAACATGTCCATAGACCCCAGCAGAGGGTCCCATACCAAAGGAGACACAGGTGTCTGCACAAAATTCCCCTCCTGGAAGGCATACAACCATTGCAGGCCATTGTGAATGGTGCAATGGGATAGTCCTGTAGGCTTCTGCAATGTCGTGGGTGGCAGCTTGTGACCCTGGTGGGAGGTTTCATATGATAGTGCAGACGGTGTCGAAAGTACCCCAGGTGCAAGGGAAATCATTGGAATTGAGTCACAAGTTGATGGACAGGTTGGGATGTTCCAACAATGTGACAAGTGGGAAGGAGAAATTCTGAATAATGTGGAATTTTCCTGGTTTGCCAGGTTTCAGGATGATGGATATGGGCAAAGATTGAAAAGGGCTGAGTAATGATTGTAGAGCTTGAAGAGAGAAGGGGCCGATATAGCGTCTGGTACCAAGTTCACAGGTAAGAATGGACTGGAAAGCATCAAGGAAAACGTTGGAAGATGGACTATTAGATGGTGTTTGCATGTCATAGATGCGGGGAATATTAATGTGAAAACCTTCTTGAAGGCCTCATGATAAGTTCAGATATTTGACAAGTAAGTTGAATGAGCGCAATTTTGCTTCCCAGGCTGAAAAACTATACAGCATGATTGGTTGCAACCACCTGAGCTCGAGGGCAGCTCTGGGCTCCATGGGTGGTTGTGAGGCAGCCTGAACAAATGTGACATTCACTGTGGGCATTGCTGGAGCAGCTGCTGATGTGCTGCCAATCAACGCAGAGATGTTTGTCAGAGCCTCATAAGAGAAGGTGTTTGTTGGTGCGTGTGGCAACTGCGGGGAAAGCATTGTCCCAAAGTCTCCCAGCGGTGCACTCAATGAAGCTGTGGCTGTTTCTCCCCAGGCAAACAGCACACACTGCTGGGGAGTGAGTGCTGTGTGTGCTGCCCTGAAAACCTGAGCAGGTTCCTGTAGAAACATGGGAGTTGCAAGGGGCAGTAGATTTCTTTGTTGGAGAGGCTGACCTTCTCCTATTGTGAGGAGATGCTGAACATCTCGAACGTCTTCCATGCATGTTGGAAGATGGTTCATTTGGTCCATTGTGCGCATTTGAACTCTAGCTCTTCTGCTGCAATGGACCAAGGACATAAGTGTCATCATGTATGTGTGTGTAAGGCGACCACAAAGGCAAATGCAAGGGAGAAAACAGATGCACAAAATGCAAATGCAAGGAACTCGGACGCAAGTAACACAAACACAGGGCGACTGTGAACCAGTGTAAGATTGTACACGAGCGCAAATGCAGTAAGAGTTTTCAATACACGAGAGAAAGGAAAAAGGGAGAGGTATTGTCAGTGACCCTCCTGTGTAAGAAATGTTTAATTGATGCATACCTTGTAGTCGCTGCTCATATCCAATCTGTTACATTCTTCTCAATAGACTCTGTTGCATGTGCGTGTGACAACTGTCCCACTGATGATTGAAATATCCTATGCGTTGGCTGGAATGGGGATTGCGTTGTGCCAGGCACATTGTTGTTCTTCTTGGAAGAGCATTAAACCCTTGTGCACTGACTTATCTCTGGAGTTCCAGTGTCTGTGCATCATCAGTGCTCCCCAGAATTGAGCAAGCATTATGACTCTTTGCTTGGGCCAGCCCTTCTCTTCAAGAGAGTGGATCATGCGTGGGACAGCCTGGGCAAAGTCTACAGATGTGAGATTGCAATCTGCTACCACACCAGTTGATGGCCTCGTGGCTGCCACACTGACCCATCTCATTGATCTGTCTTCTCCCGTGGTTGGTACCATGCCGTTGTTGTCTTTCATGTGGTAGTTGACGAGAGCATCGTCTAAACCGTCATTGGTCCAATAGTATATTTTGACATAGTGTCCTTTGTCGACCTTCCTCATAGCAAAGTCTGAGATGAGGATTTCGTCTTCTGCTGTGGTGGGGCGTGGGCATTCTGGGAGGACATGGTATTTGCTGTGGTTCTTCTTCTTTTCTTCTGCTAGAGTGGTCTCTTCCTCTAGTCAGAGGGCTTGAGTTTAATGTTCTTCTTCTTCTTCCGCTAGACATTTCTGTTCAGTGCAAAGGCGCTCGTCTTTGGCTACCTGTTGTTGCCACTGTGCACAGAGTGCGTCATTGGTGGTTTCCCAGATGGTGCAGAGGTTGGCAGCTGCTTGTGCTTCTGTAGTAGTAGCAGTTACAAAGATAGTGTGACTGGCACAATACCATTCGTCCATGAAATCTGGACATATGTTTGTGCTGGGGTCACTAAGGAGTCTATTCATTTGAAAGGTCGGCAGAGTTTCTAATGAGAGAAAGGTTATGAAATGCTTTGAAAGGAAGCAGATCAGAGAGCTTCCAAGCTACGAATGCTATCGATGAGACCTAGGTTTAGTAGGTAGGAGGAAAAGAAGGCGTGTGTAACACTTCAGCTCGATACGGACATAGACCTAATTCTAAACACGTGCTCGTTCCTCGTGCTTAGTGAGAACGCAAACTGCCCAGAATTCAGCGATGGCAAGGGCGGGCACACTGAAATCCCCTACCAAGCACGCAGCTGCTGAGACGAAAGATAACTTTAGATCCTCAGGAGGCTTCTGTGACCGCGACAGTAGGCAAGAGATGGATTGTTCCTGTCCAGGAAAATGATACACTCGGCCGATCGTTTGTATGGGCTAGTTGGTCCAAACCTGTACAGACTCGTTACTTTACTCTCATTGAGGAGAACAACATGTCGGAAATTTCCATTATTATCTTGACCATTTACTGACTTGAATTTACAGTCCAATTGGAGCGATACGTATGAAAGGCTGAAATATAAGCATAGTGGATGCGGCTGGCCAGTGCTACGATGCAATAGTTCTCTAAAGGCTCGGACGTACGTGTTAGGCCATTGACCGTGACGATCTGCGTTCCTTTATATCATCAAAAGCCACGATGGCGCTTTTCAGAACTATCCGATACCGACACCTGTCACCGATAATTGCCACGTAGCAATGTACACGTGCGAGCAGCTGGAGATATACAGCATACAACCGATCACCATCTGAGGGAGGTGACGCCATCAGTCACCCGCATCCATATATATACACCCATCACATGGTATCACACTGATTGATCCTTCCCTCGAATACCGTCTATCCTTTGCAGCCCACCCCCACAACAATGGAACCCACTAAACAAACCCTTTTAATCGGCGGCCTCCTCGTCGACGTCTACTCCCACCCCACTTCGAGCTCCAGCTCCACAGATCCCATCCACGCGCTCTTCTTCCTCCACGGCCGCTTCGGAAGCGCACAAGCCAGTTACGTTGTCGATACTGTTAAATTTATTTTCGATGAGAGTTATAGCTCTGGAGCGGAGGGCGGAAGGAAGAAAGATCTTGTCGTCGTCGCATTTGTAAGTCTCACTTCATCCCTGTGTAAGAAAGGGAAACTTGAAAGGATGGGCGGGCGAAAAGGATCATAGGAACCATGGGTCGAGACTCGTGGATCAGAAGCGGAATTTGGCGTGGAGCGAGGATCTGGCTAAGAATAATGACCAGCATGCGTACGTATCGTAGTATGGGATGGCATATGAACGCTGATATCCCTTGATTTAGCGTTGACATGTATACCATCCAAAGTACGTCCAAGATACAATCGATATCAAGCGTGCGTCATAAAACTGAAACTGACCCCACTTGAAGCTGGTACAGCAGAAGACGTGTCCTTCCTAATCGACCATCTCCCTTCAATCCTCTATCCCTCGGGTGAACGGATGGTTGTGGAATGGGGTATATGCGGTGTGAGTCTTGGAGGACATTCGACGTGGATTGCGCTATCTCGAGGTACGCACCCCATCTAGCTACTTCATCTGATTCCCACACACTCCCAGAACCCCGACTCACCCTCGGAATCCCCATAATCGGGTGTCCTGACTATACGAAACTCATCTCCCAACGCGCCCAATCTTCACGAATCCCCTTCTCCCCGCCATACTTCCCTACCTCCTTCAAAACATATATAGAAACGCACGACCCTGCACAACTGGCGTACCGCGCCAAGGATGCTTCCAATCCGTTTTTTGGTAAGAAGATTTTGGTGCTTTCGGGGAAGGAGGATAAGCTTGTGCCGTGGGTGGCGTCGGCAGAGTTCGTGGAGGGTCTTGAAGTTGGGGAGGGGGGTGTTAAGAGGGTTGTGGTGGAGGAGGGGGCGGGGCATGAGTGTACGAGTGGGATGCGGAGGGAGGCTGGGTTGTTTGTGAGGGAATGGTTGAGTGGCGCGGTGTTTTGAGGGTGTTATTGGTTGTCTTTTGGGGACCAGAGCTGCATCAAGGATATATGATTCGGAATATGTATGATATGTAAGTCTGTTGAAAGTCGGCCCAAGTAGTAGCCCATACCGCTGCAGGGTACTAGTGCACCATCATCGTCCCACACGCCTCCTGCGCCTTGTACATCGCGATGCCTGTAGAAACGACGGGACCTTGCTCTCCAATTCGCGCGAGTAGAGGTACGTATCAGGCGGGCAAAGCTCTTTTGGATTGTTCGTATCTGTGGGGTAGGGTGAGTGCCAGAGAGCTGATTACCCAGGAGCAAGATCCGGGGAGGGCAGTACGAAGTAGTTGAGGGCTGAGGCTGCCGCTTGGATCATGCGAGCAAGGGGCGCTCCTTTGGAAGCTACAGCGGAGTATAGTGTCCGTGTGCACATGACTATGGCTATCTTTGAGATGAGTAAAAAGGGACTGGTGGCTCCGATATGTGGCGTGTTCAAGGTGATAACGAAGAGCTCCACCAAGGGCTAAAGGAGCTCCATGTGAGAGTCACTTACGCTATCCCTTGAGTCATGTATCGTCAAGGCATTTGCTGGCTTAACCCTAACCTAGGATTTCCAAAAACAAACGGGGTTATGACATCACTGAAATCAGTGAAATCAGCAAGCAATATTAAGCAACCAAATCCAATAGCAGAACTCGATCGTGTTTGGCTTTCTTAGCATAAAAGCCAGCTTGGATACTCACAATCACAAAAATCATTCTTCCCCTTCTAATCTCACTACCAAGTCTCACCCACTCGCAATGCCTGAAGGTACTATGAGAGCTCTGTGGTACAACAAGGTAGCCATCGTTCGCTACCGTGTCACCATCGTCTAACCTAGCGACAGCCACAAGACTTTGAGATAAAGCAAGTCCCAATACCCAAAGTCGGCGACGATGACGTTCTCTTGAAAGGTACATCTCACAACCCTCACCATATTCATTTCTGATCACCAAAACCCCACTAGTATCGTGTTGCGGTCAGTAGCAGGCACGCTAAACCATCTCGAACGCACACTTATATCTTCTGCACAGGTGTGTGCGGCACAGACGGACACATCCACGACGGGGAATTCATATCCAAGTTCCCAGTCAGTCCCTCTTATCAGTTGTGACGTCAGTCCATATTAAGCTTATCGCACCTAGCTCATCCCGGGTCATGAAGCTATCGGAAAAGTCGTCGAAATGGGAAAGAACGTCAAAGGGTTCGAGATCGGTGACCGTTGCGTCGCTGATGTGGGCCTAACCGTAAGTCTAACTCAACACCCGAAGCGATCTCCTTACAATTATGAAAATCGCAGTGCGATAACTGCTTCTACTGCAGGCGCGGGAATTCCCTCTTGTGTGAGAACTTCAACGCCAGAGGCGTTACTCTTGATGGCGGCTTTGCCGAATACATCGTATAGTAAGCACAGCCCATCAGGATGCCCGTGCTTCCACTCACATGTGATTTCCTTCGTAATTCCAATTCTAATCTCATATCTCAGCCATCAAAAGAAGCTATACAAGATCAAGCACCTCACAGATGAAGAATCCACCCTTCTAGAACCAGCCGCATGCGCAATACACGGCCTCGACAAACTCAACCCCCCCGTCGGCATCGAAGTCCTCCTTCTCGGCGCAGGACCTACCGGTCTCATCCTCGCACAGCTCCTCAAGCTCAACGGCGCCTCCCGCGTCGTCATTGCTGCTAACAAAGGCATCAAGATGGACATCGCGCGCCAACTCGATGCTGGTGACGAATACATCGAGCTTGACCGCCAAAACCCCGATGCGCAGTGGCAGAAGCTCAAAGACGATAATCCATATGGCTTCGATGTGGTGGTGGAGGCTACGGGCGTGGAGAAGATCGCGGATATGTCTATTGGATATGTGAGGAGAGGTGGGACGTTGATGATATATGGGGTGTATGAGAACAAGGCGCTCGTTCATTGGCCACCGTCCAAGATCTTTGGGGATGAGATTACTGTAAGTTTTATTTATAACTTCGATGGCGATACGATGCTGATCCCCCGTCTATCAGATCATCGGTTCCTTCTCGCAGACATACTGCTTCCCACGAGCAGTCGCATACCTCGATAGCGGAAAGGTCAAGGTGAAGGGAATGGTGACGGACGTGTTCAAGCTTGAGGATTATCAACTTGCTTTGGACAAGATGAACAGCAGAGGAGCGCTGAAGATCGCGATCAAGCCATGAGTGCGCTATAGTCCGCATCGTGCGCCCCGCATCTCCTGCGATAAGTAATATGTTGTACTTTTATCCTTTATCTATCGTGGCTGGACGCTGTGTATGATACCCATCCCTGTGTCATCAAAGTCAATGTGCAATTCCCAACTCGTATATGCAATCATATTACGGCGGCACGACTCGATGTGTTTGACTCTGAAAACGACACAGCTACTGTAACACATCAGAAGGAAACCGAGCGCTGAGTCTTGACCTGTACAAGTCGCACACGTATAATCGAATTCAACGGGTTGACGCTCGAGTGTTCCTATTATACGCATGCGTCTTGTATTCGGTATTCCTTCTAATACAATCTGCTCAGTGCTCGATAAAGCTAGGACAAAGTCTCACCGGACGTGATTGACCTGTACAAGCCGCACACGTATAGTAGAATTCAACGAGCTGACGCTCGAATGTTTATACTATACGCATACGCCTTGTATCCGGTGTTTCAATCTGCTCAGTGCTTGATAGAGAACGCTGTGTTGAATCGATCTGGGACAAGGTCTAGGCTACATGTCAGCCAGAGTAACGAGGACATGCATACCTCAGCGGACGTGATAGAGAACGCTGAGGCAGGACTGGCGAGGCAAAGTATTCAAGTATCGAATGCCAAGATGTCCGAGACGGAAAGATGCTACCGGTGACAACAACGCCGGTGGAAACGACATGTGGTGCCGAAGGTGTTAAAGACTCGAAAAAGGAAAGGAAGCGAAGACAAGTCCTGGTGGCTATTGCTCCGGAACTGATGGCATGCATACGTATCCCATCGCCAACAGCGCTGTGGAGTTGTCCAGGTCTCGCACAGAAGGGTGGTAGAGACCAAGGTCGAGGCGTCTGAGTACTGAGTCACAAGACCCATATTTAGCCCCCGCTCGCTATCTTGATAGAATCATACTTGCAATCAGAGCTCGATCCGCTACTGATGGAGGATTCTCGAGGAACAAGAAACTCCAAAATCTCCTTCTAGCTTGTGAAATACCATGCCGAGCAGTGAACGCTGCGCAGTGATGTTTGGGTAGTGGGTGAACAACAAGATGATGGCAACCATCAGCGGGAGGCTCACCCACTACCCAAGACTACTAACTAAAACGAAATATCCATCCGCCAGCTTGGCTAGTTCGTGGTAGAGCTATCATCGTGATCTTTGCAGTGTCTGTTAAAAGTGGTCAATGTCATACTGGTATGATGACAGCTGGATTCTGATATCCTGAAAATGCATGCAAGTGGCAGCTGTACGATACGATGCTGTCGCTCCAGCGTGTGTTTGTCATCACTATTCTGGTAAGAGAGAAGCACTGTTGAGCTCGAGTCTAGGCCCTGCAAGCCGCAAACATATAATAAAATCCAACGTATCGACACTCGCTTATGCGAATGCGCCTTATAACTGGTTATTCGATTCCCGAGGCTGTGGTAGATGCGGTTCTAGATGGATGAGTTTATACTCCCGCACGGTGATAGAAGCAAGACGAAGACGAAGAATCAAGATCGAGATCAAAATCGTTGGCTCGGTGGGTTCGCCTGCGACTTGTATGCGGCTCCCCTCTACGCCCGAGAATCATACAATGGCAATTGTCAATTTGAGGTTGATTTGCTACTGAGCTGAGGGGACTCACCGAGGGGTTGGACAGTTCTTCATTGAGAATTTCCCAGGCTGAGCACTGCGAATTGAAAGGGAGGAGAGGTGATATTTGAGTGCACTAACGACCATGCAGGAGCAAGCCACCCACCACTGAAAACTGGTCAGCTATCGATAATCGAAACTCCGAAATATCCTCAAACTCCTCTCCAAGTACGTTGTTTCGTGGTTTTCGAACCACCTCGGACTCCATCGATAGTCTGCATAGAAAACGAGTGCTGGAGAGGTAAGTTCAAGTTAGAACCGAACCACAGCTTATTAGTCAGCATGGGCAAGGGACCCTGAGTCACGGTTATTATTAGTCAGCACGGGCTGTCAGTGAGGCCGCCAGGTAATGTTCAACTACTGACTCTAGCATTTTTGGACCATGAACTCATTTGGCTGGTAAACTGTCGCATCAGAATGATTGGACTACTAACATCGGTAGGTCGTAGAAGTCTCACCCACCCAAATCCATGTCTCGCTCTCCTCCACCACACACAATCTTTTCAACGAGGTTACGCCCTTTCTCGATTTCCTGACCGAAGGACCGGTTTTGGAAGGACTCCCAGTTCAGGACGCAAACCCACCCTGGAAGCTGTGCCATCCGAGTCTGCTCAGGATGAGACATCACGATTTACATACGAGGAACAGTCCTCCGCTCATGATTCGCAGCTTTGGGACACGAGCCAGAGAATGCCGTCCAGCAACCCGGAGGAAGGTTTGAAGCACCTGTTGCTCAATAATAACACGTTGGTTATCACAAGGTGTGTTTTCTTATTGAACTACACTGTCGAGCTGATAAATTCGTCATGGCTGTAGAAAGCTTGAAATGATGAGCATATTCATGGGTTTTGAGCAGTCAAACCGGTATACTATTGGTGCGTGATACTCAAGTCTTATTGTGCGTCATCTGACAATTGGAATCATCAAAAATTAGCAAACGAAGCTGGTGAACCGCTCGGCTATATTGCTGAAGAGCCACGCGGTATTTTGTCAATGTTTGCCAGGCAAATCTTCCGCACGCATCGTCCGTTTCGTGCATTAGTCATGGACCTCCATGGATCACCAATTCTCTGGGTGCGGTCCATAGCTCTCCTTCCCCAATCATAATAAATTCATCTAATCCCGCAGATTCGCCGACCATTCGCGTGGATAAACTCACGCATGTTCGTCCAACGGTTAAAAGACCTTCATGAGTATACACCAGAAGGAGAACCCGTCCTAGACACATTCGCAGAAGTCCAACAGGAATGGCATCTTTGGCGAAGACGATACCATCTCTTTCTTCGGTAATGCAATACATCGCTTGTATGTGTTGCCAGTACCGATTCCCGAGACTTGTATCATAGTGATCAGCCCAGGCGCATTCTTTCCACCGCCTCCGAGCGCCAGCCTGAGCCTCCGATAAATTCGTTCACCCAATTCGCAAAGATCAACGAAGGGCTCTGGGCATGGCACTTCAACATGCTCGATGCGCATGGGACACCCATTGCGTCTGTCAACAGGGCATTCCGCGGCTTTGGAAGAGAGGTAAGTTCCACATCCTATCGCCGCATTTCAAATGTCGTTCAGGGGCTCAACGGTCTTCTCTTCTCCGCAGATTTTCACTGATACAGGTTCTGACATGCCATGTTGCTGAGGTGCCGATCTTACTGATGTGATGGGGGCGTATCGCGGTTGATAGGACAGTATGTGGTGACTTTTGACGGCACTCGCCCAGACGTATCCGATTCCGATCAGATGCGGCAGCAGCCCATAGTGATCAGGAATCTCACTCTTGACGAGCGTGCGGTAAATATATCTTGGTTGTTTCATTGTTATCACTTTTCTAACACTTTTCTTTTGTGCGGTATTGACTATTGATATTGTAGCTCGTGCTTGCGGCGGCAGGTCAGTAGCTCGAGTGTTTTGATGGTGTTGGATTTTGACGTCTGGCAGTTAACATCGATTATGATTATTTCTCGAGACATTCACAAGGTCACGGATTGGGGTTCCCGATGTTGTGGAGCTCGGGGGAGTGAAGGTATTGGGTCATTTTATCGCACTGCTTTATGGCGCTGTTGGGACGCAGCAATTATATTGATGCAGAGATAATATCAATGTACCACAGGTAGTCACCTTCTCCCAGTGTCCGACAACTCCAGATCCTCCTGCTCGCGAGCACGCTGGCATTAAAGGTGCTGCAGTTGTTGCCTTGATCGATGAACGCTAGACCAAACTCCATGAAGTGAGGTGAATATTGTATGTCAATAGTAGCAAGATTCTAGGCGGGAACGTCTGAGTTACTTCCTACCGACAATCCCAGAGTCAGACGCTTTCATGATGTCCGCTACAACATCGACTTGTGTCTTTGTTCAAGCAGGCGATGACAGATGGGAGCGACTTCTAGTATTCCCGACTCTCAACGTTAGTGGAGGCAGAGCACACGTAAACTACACACTAGAACGATATAGTTTGATCAATCTACCACTTTCAATCCTTCCACCTTTAATTTTCACGTCACTCTCAATCACACTGGAAGAGTCACCAACTAAATGAGTGTCCGTCGATGAGGCTTCAACGATGCCCTGCTCATTCTGCGGAAGAGCTTCAGTCTTTCTGGGAGCTTTTCGCAGTCTTACTCCCAGAACTCTGGTTATGGTTGATCTCTATATCCAGCTGCGCCCACTCCTGGTCCAGTATCGTACTTGTAGTTGCGGATTGTGCGATGAGATCGAGAGCGGTTAATTGGGTGCATCTTGTCATCTGGTTCTGTCCCTGAAGTCACGATGTAGGAATTGGGCTCGTGTTATTGTGATAATTGAGAAAACTGTAATGTCATTGATACGCTTTGTCCAGTATGAGACGCGTCATGGAGGGTGAGTTGTAAGAAGGGTGGCATCCGGAATACAAGTAAATAAAAATGTATGTGGTCACGGTCGCAGCTCATCTCATAGTCCAACTCCAAAGATCTTCGTATTCAAAACGCATATGTAGCCACTCGTGGCGAGGGCTGTATCTCCGTTGATATGATGCAGCTCCATTTGTTCTTACGCCAAAGCTGAGTGAGAAACAGTTGAGGTATCGTGAGTGATATGACTGAAAGACTGACTAGAGAACCAAGCACGTAAACTAGCCTTTGTAGCTTCATCACTTGCGTTCATCATAGATAGGTATGATTCCAGGACTTCTCCAAGTCTACCTGCCCGAAGGAGTGCAACGCACTGTTGCTTATTGGCAGTTTGCCACAATGACTCGAGGTCCCACCCGAAGAGCTGCATAAAAAAAACTCAGTTGAGCACGAGAATGATCTTCGGTTGGACCACGCCATCATACCACGGTAAACTCTTCGTATATAGAATGAATTGGCGATTGCGAGAAGAAAGCGCTAGCATTAACAGCGGTAGTGAAGTGCCCAACAGCGTCGTTGTGGTGCATGGCATTCAAGGCGATGGTTCCAAGTTGGACATGTAGATATGCCTAATTTACGAAGCGCAGAACAATGAGTTATAACACGAACTTGGGCTTGGCTGAGTGCGTGGCACTCACTTCTACGACACAACAAGCAAGGGGATCAGTATCGGGAAAATCGGCAGCTAGCTCTTGGACGCGCTGGATCGCTTCTTCATGTTCATTTGCATTGAAGAGTGCAATAGCCTGAAACCCATAATGATTAATGAAGCAAGGAGTGTGCAATACGATAACAACCTGCCTTAATCAAAAAAAGGATATGAGCCTTCTTTGGATCTCCATTCGCGGACACGAATGCGAGGTCAAAAACTTTGGCAGAGTCCCGGACTTGACCCTTTCCGCAGAGGGCAATGCCGTGGGAGATAAATCCTGTCAAGGATGGCTGAATGGTGACAGACTATGTCACGATGAAACTTAGTATTTCGTCAGGAGCCCTGATGGGTTAATATATATCACCTCGATTGCATCCTCGATTGCCCGGTCCCAGTGGCATTTGCGTGCCATAACGAATGAGCGGTTGGCATACGAGGTGTAGTTGTTGTCATAGGCGTCGATACCTTGTGTGAGTAACTCTTCGGCGGTAAGCAAGTCGCCCGCGAGGCATGCATTGCGCACTGCAGTGTTGATAGTGAGGATCTGTATAAAGCATGCTCAAGTTGTGGTATTAGAGTCGATGATGGAAGCATGCCTTTGAATCAGAAACTTCGGCTTTGAAATCAAAAAGACGCGAGACGAGACGGCGAAGGGGTGGGAAGTAGATGGGGAAGTACTGCCGGTTTCCTGAGAGCTTCCTCTACTGCCCATTTCGAGATCTTATTATCTACATCTCCACTGAGGATGTACTTGCCGTCCACGGAGAAAGTGACGCATGTCGCACAGCTTGAGTGTTGGAAGATGGCGATGGTTTGTTGATCTGAGAGCCGCCAGACGCGGACACGGTGATCATATGATGCGGTGGCAACGAGCGAGCCAGAAGTGTACATAGCAATGCAGGGAACACCATCAAGATGTTCTGTCCAAGGAAAACCGACCTGCTGCCAGGTCGATGTATTCCACTCCCAGTATGGTAGGATCCATTTCATCGCCCCCTGAGAGAAGGCGAGTGCCATCAGGCGTCCAGGCGAGTGACAAGTTATATTGAATGTGAGCCTTAAACTGTGCGACGCGTTCCCTCGTTCTTGGATCATAAATTTCGATATGGCTATGCGTTGCAATTGCAAGAAGTTCACCAGACGGCGAATATCGAACACAGTGGACATGGTCACTACATTTAAATGGATTTCCTTGCGACTGCCATGTGGTTGTACTCCAGATCTTCGTCGTTTTGTCTGATGAGCCTGTGGCCAGTGCCGTTCCATCAGGAGAGAAGTCCAATGATACGAGCCAACTGGGGTAGTGAGCTTTGACTTTGGTGAGAGTTTCCCCAGTTTCCCCGTGCCAGACAATCAACACTCCGCTCTCATCACCGCTTGATACCAATTGCCCGTCTGGTGATACTGCCAATGTCCGCACTTCACTGCGGTGACCCTCCATGTATTTCAAGACAGCACCTGTTTTCAAGTCCCACAGACGAAGCGAGCTGTCCATCGAACCGGTGACCATACGTCGTTCATCCGGAAAGACTGCGACGGCGCGTATGAAGTCTATATGACCTTTGAAAGTTTAAAGGGGTTTGGTGCTTGGTATGAGGTGCGACTCCATTTCACTGGATTCAGGTTGATGGTGTCGAACGCGGTTGAAGTGCGTTTATTGTGCGATTGATTCTTCACTGCATCATGATTGACACGGCATTAACCTAGACTCCCAGGACTATCAGACGGCCAGGACGCGTGAGACTGCCTCGGCCCTCCACACCTGCGTCAATATCAATATTGTGATAGGATCGCTCACACCTGGGAGCTCTCAGCTTATGGGAGGGCGTCTCTGAATTGGCTGGTGATAAAGAGTCGACCGGTCCGAAGCGAGTTCAAAAGTTGTACTGAAGAAATTGCGTATGGCTCAGAGCACGCGTTTATAACCGCTTATCCGAGAGACTTGATACCGTTTTTGGACGCATGTGCCATGCGTGGGATTCGTGCCGAGACTCTAGCTTCCCTCCTAAAATTTGAAAATTGACGGTCCCAACTTTGCAGGAACTTCAAATGTCGGCAGTCGCAATTCTGTGGCAACGTGCTCGCATTACTGCCGCTTATCATGCCTCTTATTCTGACCAGCAAGTGCATATCTTCCTGATCGAACACATTTTTGCCATGACTGCAAGGGCGCTATAGCTAACGCTCACTCCCCTTGCCAAACACGGTAAATACAATGTTCAATTGTCATATCGGTACAGCTTACAAAGAACCGCTGATCGCCAGTTGTAGAATTGTATAAGCGCCACCTTCTCGGACAGGCTCGTATCGGAGTTTTCTCCCGTAGTATAGTATGCCCGCTGGCAAAACCATATCAATGATCGATAATGCGCAGATTATAAATACAGATCAGGACTCGGTTTCAGTGTTCGTTCAGAGTCAAAGCAGTTTAATCTTGCTACCAGCGTCACTCACAGGCTCTCGCTGTATTTCCAGTCCCGAGTCTCCAGGATGGATACTTCCAATTCTCATGAAATCATAGTAAACGAGATAACACCTCTGTTCCCTGCAGAGGCCTCGAAGAAGCCTAAAACACCTCTTCCCAAACGCCAGTTAGGCATACTTATGATGCTGCAACTTGTGGAACCCATCGCTTCAACATCTATACTCCCCTACATCAATCAGGTATGATTTTACAATGTCGATATTTTTCCTTGACGCACTTTTAAAAAAAATTTCACTCCTTTAGCTTATCAGCGAACTTGGAATCACTGGGGGCAACGATGCGGCTGTAGGTTATTATGCTGGAATCATCGTAGGTGTCGACATGATGACTTGCGAGAATGGTTTTCTCATAGTCTATTGTCGGATATACTCAACAGGAATCTCTGTTTTTCGTCGCGCAGGCACTGACGGTACTGAGATGGACTAGGCTGTCTGACCGTATTGGGCGTAAGCCGGTGTTGGTAATTGGGCTCTCAGGTGCTTGCATTTCGATGCTGTGTTTCGGCCTCTCAAGGACCTTCTGGAGTCTTGTCATTAGGTGTGCCTTCAGCTGAAGGAGATACCCAATGCTGACGTACTGGGTTTGCTTAGCCGTTGCATGTGCGGTTTTCTAAATGGCAATGCGGGAGTTATGAAGACCATGGTGGGGGAATTAACGGACTCCTCAAATATGGCTCAGGCATTTGCCTTGTTCCCGATTGTCTGGTGCATTGGAGGCTTTATCGGGTATGTGAGGCTGTTGATTACGGAGATGGCGAATGATTAAATCGGCACGTCAGTCCTTTCATGGGCGGAATATTCGCGCGGCCGCAAGATCATTGGCCTGCATTATTCGCCAATCCATTTTGGGGAAAATTCCCATACTTTCTGCCTTGCGCAGTCGCAGCCTGTTGGTTCGTCCTAGCCCTTTTAATGATGACAATCTTTTCAGAAGAAGTAGGTTCTACATACCTGCATTGTCTCACACGTTACTCACGATCGGGCAGACATTATCAACACGGCGTCGACCAATGGCATCAGCCACGCTCGGAGATTCAAGTGGTGAATCACTGCCTCAACAATCAATGGCATATACCCCCTTGAAATCTCTGCTCACGCCTACCGTTGTTGTTCCAATTGCAAACTACGCTATGCTCGCTTCTCTCGACGTTGCTTTCGGAGCTCTTTTACCACTGTTCCTTTCAACACCAACCTATCTTGGCGGCCTTGGATTTACTCCTTCGTCTATTGGCTCATGGCTAGCGTTTTTTGGAGTCATGGACGGTGTCTTTCAGGCATTATTCTTCGCCAAAATCGTCGATCGACTTGGTCCAAAGCGTCTATTCTGTATGTCAGTGTCATGCTTCCCGTCAGTCATAGTCATGTTTCCGATAATGTCATGGCTTGTAAGCGCAAGGGAGGGAGTTGATCATGCAGTCAAGTTTACCTTGCTTTGCCAACTAGTCCTGATGATCATATGGGGTATGGCCTTTGGTATGTGTTGCGATAAAATCATTGTCATTAACTTGTAACCCACTTCATTACAGGGACTGTCTTCATGTTTATTACAGCCTCTGCACCTACTAATACTGTCCTTGGCGCCATTCATGGTCTTGGCCAAACCTCTGCGTCAATGGCTCGTGCGGTTGGACCTGTCTTGGCGACTTCACTCTTTGCTGTATCGAAGGAACGCAATCTTCTTGCGGGAAATGCAGTATATATCGTTTTGTTTATACTGGCTGGCGCGTTGATATGGTTAGGGTCGCAGTTACCAGATGAAATACAAGACAGGAATGAGTGAAGGGTCGGCACCCCTTTCGCGATCTCTCACTTCACCATAGAGGAGTACCCAGGAACTTCAATTGGAACAGTCAATTTTTACAGCGAATGCCACCATTCAAACGCGCCTCATACCTCTCTGGCACACTCCGCGTGAAGAAAGCAATATTAATTCCATGTAGATTCGAAATATCACCTATATTTCAACATCGGCTGCTTACCCAAGTAGTGGTGTTTTTTTTAATATCCAATTTTAAGTCCAATGAAAGTGAGACTAGTACTCTATGTAGGGCAGTACTAACTAGTCTTGGAGCTCCGTGCTCCGTGCCCTCCCTCTAAAACTCCAAATGCACTGATCTGAGTCGGGCGTACCCCTGTCGCTCCCGGCGGCTGTTTCAGATTGGTAATTTAAAACGGCATATCTAGAAGCTAGAGGCGAGCACACGCGACGGGAGAGAGCTAAATAGAATGTATTCTACGTGTTCGCTAGCTCGGTATCGAGACGAAAATTCTAATAAGACTTAGATCTCAGTATCTGGTAAGAGACTGAGATGTTTAAACGACGGGGGCGTTCTTTTGTAGTACGGGTAAAGTAGGAAAAAAAACATATGAGCTTGAAACATCCCAGAGACGAACCTCGGCCGATGTCATTCATTATGACATGCGCTCGTACCTATCCCAACGCGTCCGATTCCTCTGCGTCCAATGGCAACAGTATAGCCTTGCAACGCGAGGAAATGACCTCCCAATCGTTCGTGCGTGAGCCGTTCAAAGCGGGTGCCTCGTGCCCACCCTCAGACAGCAACATCCTACAGTGTAGTTCGGAGTCGTACTGCACATGATGTCAGACTCTGATATGAAATTTAATCCGGAAAACAGCAACTAAACCGCACTTCCAGTCAATTAATTTCATTGTGAAATGCGGAAGAATGAAGATTAAGTGCGGTATTCAACGTTACTTGTATATTCTTATATGTATATATGCTATCGATTAATGAAGAATTAATTATGGCGAGGTAATTGGGAATCATGGTAAAACAATAGCCGGGGCAGTTCGATGAAACTCAATCCAGGAAAACGCTGCTGCTCGAATCTGTCATGTGAAGGCTGTCGGCAAGTTTATCGAAAGATGTGGATCAACGAGGATGACGTAACAGTGGCACAATTCTAGAATGCTTCGTCTGCTGTGTGATTTAGCAATTGCTCCGTTCCACAATTGAGTGAGATGGCCGAATGCGTATGGAACCGAGCAGAAATGGGAGCGATGAGAAAAGCATCCTACACTGCCACCCGGACCACCTAATATGAGGCACCCGAAGTCAAGAGTTCCACGATCCTTTTAACCCACGGACGTAGATGGTGCAGTGGGAATGCAACGCGAATTTCTCCAAGTGCGACGACTTTAGAATAATGAAGCAGCAAATGCAAGACGGACCGGTCCCGCTTGACGTCGAAAGCTACCCCGTCGCACCAGGAGGGTTAGACCTAGAGCAAGTGCACATATATGTGAGACATGGTGCGTCAAGTTCGCATTCGCATCAAGTTGTGTCATCGCTGATAACTTCCATGCATACTCTACTCTAGGCGAGCGTACGCCGGTCAGAGTGCGCATGTCGAACCCTCCAGCATCCATACCAGCAGACTGGCAGATGTGCAACACTGCGAAAAGCTTTCACGAGACCGTTGCTGGACAGAGTCCTACCATAGATGACGGATTGTGGTATAGGAAGTTGTCGAGAACAGGCATGGAAGAACAGCTGAGGGATTATGGTACGTTGATCTACGTATATGGTTACTTGCCATGCACACGTTTCAATACGGCATATAGCCTCCTAGGGGAGCTCACAGATATCGGGAAAAAGGTAAGAGGGTTCTATGCGAGCACCTGATTACTTGGCTTACGTGTCTGAGAACAGTCCACATATTCCTTCGGGACGGCATTGCGAAGCCTCTATGTAGACAGGTAAGCATCCAAGCAGCTTCTTGATTTCATCTCACTCGCATCTTTCCGAAGATTGAAATTTCTCCCCTCAAAGCTCGAGATGAGCGTTTGACTTACTTCCGGTAAGTCCATTCACCTTCGCCTCGTAACTCCTGATGAAACTCCCACATGCAGCTCTACAAACATCGCGCGGACGATCGAATCTTTGCAGCACATAGTCCACGGAGTATACCCTCCATCTTCTTGCGCTCCGGGTATAATACCCTCTATTATCATACGGTACGTTTTCGCACAGGTCACAGAAGCTAAACGCGAACTCGTTACTCACGATGTCTTTGGTTTCAGTAATGGAATCGATGAGAATCTCGTCAGCAATACCTTGGCCTGCAAGCGACTGGCCCTCTTAGAATTGCAGTTTGCTGAAGGTAATCATATACTTTTGACCAGTATTCCGTAGATTTGTCTGATATGTTTCAGCTGCTGTGGCTGTTTGGAACTCGCGTTTAGAGCCGTTGGATAAGAAAGTCTCTAGGTATTTAGGCGGTAGGCCATTACGCCTTGATGGAACTCCTCGAGCATCGGGGATCCTTGATACAGTATGTTTTTCAGGGCAGGACAGACGCAGCTGAACTCAGTGCTTTCACTTCAAAGGTACGCTCGGCAGCTGCTCACGGCTTCCGAGTTCCACCAGAATTCATGGATGATAACGTTATTGGTGTAATTGTGCGATAATTTCATTCCTTCATCGCATTCATCTGCTCACTTATGAATCCCTAGGAAGCAGCTGTAACAGCCGAGTGGTTTGACAGTAAGCTCCTAGTCCTGTTACTTTACATCCGCACACGAGTATTGATTGTCGTCCTCTAGTTTGTAAGGATACTTCCTTACGTTCACCGAAGGTTCAACTAAAGTTCTTCTATTAACCATTAGTCAAATCAGAAGACGGTCGCCGACTAGGAATGGGTCGCCTCCTCGCAGACGCTTCAGAAAAAATGCAACGCAAGATTCAACTCGATTCAAAAGACCCAACAAAACTCCTCGTGCACACGACGCATGACTCAACACTTGCAGCGTTGCTCTGCACATTCGATGTATTCGATGACAAGTGCGTCGGTCCCACCACTCTTCGTCTTCATACTAATAATCCTCATCTTCTCGGGTGCAAGGTGGCCACCATTCACTTCATCAGTAACATTCGAGCTCTTCCGAAAACGAATACCAGCTTCACAACAAACCAATATCCCGGGCCTGCGTGCGCTTTCATCGTTTTGGAGACCACGGGATGAGCATTGTGAGTATTCAAGTACGTATTGAGAACAAGCCTCCGTGACCCGTCACAGATGTCCGTATGCGCTACAAGAACAAGAACATGGTGCTGCCGATGTGCGCCGAGGAGGGGAAGCATTTGCCGGGTTCGCCAGAGTTTTGCACGTTGGAGGCGTTTCGGCAGAGGGTGGGGGAGTTGACGCCCAAGGATTGGACTGGAGAGTGTTTTCCACGGACGTGAGCGTGGCGCTGACGTCAGTACCGTTGATAATATATTGTTTAGTATTTATTCATGCTTTTGTGATGAGTCCCCCGAACCTCGCTTTGTCTTCGGATCAGTCGCACGCAAACTCGCAGCGCTGATCACAATATCTCGTATTACTTGTGATTCAGTTTCTACGACTTCTAACTAAATGCAACGAATAGTAAGCGATAACAAACGACAACTGCTATGCTTAGTATGCAAACGTTGTCAATGGAATGGTAGTAGGCAGAGGAAAATCTCCAAGGGGCCCACATGAGTAGTAGAAAAGCGTACAAGAAAGAAAACAGTAGTGACCAGGTAGTCAGGTTTAATAATGAGAATACCTGTCTCGTTGCTTGAAGGGATATCAAAGCTTTATGAATACGCCAGGCAACCATGATATCCGACAGACCCCTGATCCATTTCTAGCCAGTTTATTGTTAGTATGTATTCCTACTCAAGATAAGCAAAGCAGTCACCAGCGATAAACAGGTCCTTCTTACTTCTTTGAGACAATATTCCCGAGAGAAGGCAGTGTTGTTTAAGGTCTGTATCCAACGTTGCAGTGTTGTATCTGTAAACAGAGCCAGGAGATTTCGAAGTTTGCTACTAGGATAGGCCATAGAAAGATGCACGGACCACGCCAAACTTGGGTATGGCAATGGGGAGGAGTGTCCACCGGAGGACATTGATATAGGAGGCCCTCGCAACATAAAATGAAGGCAGCAACATGCAAGGTGCTCGTGAGCATGTGCAACATCTACGTGATACTGCTTCGACCGTAGAGGGTCGCTTATAAAGTCGCGAAGCGAAGCATGATAGATTTCAACATTTCCGACCCCATCGTTCAAGATAACGGGTGAAAATACTTCAAGTATCATAGCCAAGCTCTTGTTATCCGCAGTGAAAGAGATCTTAGAGTGCCGCAAGTGACAACGGTTTGGAAAGGTGGATGATAGATGCTAACATCCGGCAGTGGGCGAGTGGATCCTCCGAAGTTCCGATTATCTGCCGATAGAGTTGATCAATGTCGGCACCGACTGTCGACTTCTCGTGTAGTAAGAAATCTAGCCTCTCCTGCGGATGATGACCAGCAGCTGATATGAAATTTACGGCCATGGCAGCGTAGACGAACAGACCGCCCACCTTAAAGGCTAATGTCTCGAATTCTTCCTCCGATGGCCATGGGATGGGTGGCTGACCGAAAACAGCAGGGCGAATCGTTCGTGTTTTTTCCAGTGATGCTCGCAGAAAGAAACGGACATCCCGTATGGTATTTTCATCACGAGTGCTAAGGAGAATCTCGTAGACAGGGGATGGCATGGCTGCGAGGATGTGTGGCTCAGGGCGACTCGTGAACACTACGTGGATGAATGGCAAGTCTGGGCCCCGGAGGGCGTCTGACAACAGTGTAACCAGTCTTGCTGCCTCTTCAGAGGAAAAACATTCGTCAAGAGCATCGATAATGATGACATAAGGTTCTTGACGGAATTTTAACGTCTCGAGTGGTTTGATGACAAGCTCTCGCATTTGATCTTCGCGAGATTTTCCAAGTGATAGGAGCACGCCGTCTCTCTCGATCGCTTTCACGATTTCCTCTCGAATGCGCGGGAAAGCTATTGCAAGCTGGTATGCAATGGTAGGAATGATGGCGGCAGCTTTTTGTGCGTGTTTGTGCGAAAAGAAGAAAGTGGCAGCAAGCCTCTTTGCTGCTTTCATCTCCTCAGCTATGGTGAACGCGATAGATGTTTTTCCAACACCAGCAAGACCGTTGAGCCAGACATTCGTCCGATCACGTTGATGAAGGACTTGTGTTATGCTCTTCCGAAGCGCAACGCGGGCGTTTTTCATGCACCGTGAGTGAGGCTGGCGATATTCGGAATCGAAAACGCCGCTGTATTCAACGACATTGCATAAACTCTCCCATGAGCCGTCAGAAGATGGGGGATGTACTTAGAAGCGGGGTTAGTACGAGAATGTACTTAGCGGAGGGAATACCCACCAAAATCCATCATGGGTGGGGGAGTTGAGAGGAAGCGGGGCGGGAGGCAAATAAGGTAAGCTTTCTAGCACGTCGGACGCCCTGGAAAACTTCTCTTTCGCCTCCATCAGGTTACGTGACATAGCCTGATATGCCCACACAGGATAATTTCTAACTCAGAACTAGAGCTGGGTGAGCACATGGAAATATATCAACTGTCATGGTAATACCATATGTTAGGTCAGGTATTGGAGACTAGGGCGAACCTGCGGCGAAACTTTATGATCGAATTTGCTGGTGTCCAATTGTGTGCGGGAATCAATAGGCAATACAGGATTCTCAAGTTTGCTGGTAGTGGGGAGGTGCAGAACCTTACAGCTGAAATTTGTTCCCACGATTATTCAGTAGCCTAACCTACAGTTGGTTACATGACACACGAGTCACAGCGAGTAAATGAGACAGCACAACACCATAACACGATCATCGAAAGGTTCAGGTAGATGAATGGCATTAATTCGAATATTTTGTTCAGATTAAATTTGGATAATCTACATAATGCAGTGAGATACAAGCCCAGATGCTGGCAAGATGCAATAAAAATTGAAAACAAAATTGAACAAAATGTTCATATCCATTAAAAACATGTATCCACATCTAAAAAAAATGGGGTTGTGTGCTGCCTCATCTCAATGCTGTCTTCAATTGATCCCTTGTGCCTCTTCTCTAAATCTCAGTGACTGTCACTTGCTCAAATGCTCAGCTCAAAGGAATTTCTAAATAAATGAAAAAGTGTTCACCTGCACAGATCAAGCAGCTTCTGCATGCACAGCAACAAATCAAGGCCACTGAGAAGGAAAATCATGGACTCAAAGCAAAATCATTACCTTCCCATATGACACAAACAGAGACTTGTAGTGCCAGTGTACTTGTGAGTATAAAGTCTTGCTTGAACAAGGCTGTTGAAAAGCTGTCTGTATGCACTCTCAAGGTCCATCAGCAGAAACAAGAGCTTGCTGTTATGGCGAACTAGGATAGGCGCAACGACAGATACTCGATAAGAGTAATGTCTGCGGTTGGGTCAAGGCCTCACAAATGTAAGGCTTCTTAAGACAAGTCGGAGAGAGTGTCTCTGACTTGAATATTGGTATCAGACAACTTAGGATTGGGGGTCCTAAGTGAAGGATATTTCAGGTGAGAACCTAGTAGATTAAAGTGAAGATCTGCTAAGTACATGTCTGAACTTATATAGACGTAGCTACTTTAGGGCAGGTACGTATATGTCATTGAGATGAGTCAGAGATAAGGATGAGTCATCTAGCAACGGCAGCAGCGATTGTGATGTAATACAGATATAGTAAGAGGCTGGTCTAGTGATGGCGCAATGGGGCACGGTCATGACGTAGTACACAAGAAAAAGAAGGAAAATGAGACAGGGGTGGACGTGATTGTAACACTTGCAAAGAAGACAACACTACTCACCAATGCAAATAGCACAATACTAGTGGTACTCAAAATAAATTTTGAAACTCTTGAAAACTCGCTAAACTGCATTCAACTCCCTTCAACTCCCCGCTTAAAGTTTGAAAGAACTCATGCAAGTCCGAGAGAAATGTGCTCAGCACACATCGGCATGTAGTTGGACTTTAAAATGACACTTGTGATTTTTCGAGGCATGCTATGTACATAGGGGAAAGTGGTAGAGTAGTGGTCCAACATAATTGTATTTCAAATGAAAGCATTAATAAAATTGTAAAAAAAATAAGGCCCACAGGAATGAAATCAGCTGTAGGTAGGGAGCATGGGAGGGACCAAATAAGTGCTGAGTGGAGGAGGGGGGGATGCTGAGCAGTGGGGGGGGGATGAAAAGCGTTGGGAGGAAGATCTGCATGCCTCTGCAGAGATGCAAGATCAAGTGAAGGTGTTAAGGTTGTGTGCTCAAGGGGGTTGGATCACAAGGGCTTGGCCTCAGCTCATATGCTGTGCCCCTTTCCCAAGTATGTGCCCTTAATTTCTGGGGGCTAGAACAGCCATCTGGAGTTTCCAGGATTTGACTAGGGTGGACAACAGACATCTGGATCTGAAACGTGAGATAAATCTGACAGACATCTGGATGTTACCTGGGCAAGCGGATAAGACTAATCTGGATGAAGTCCAGACTAGAAACTAACAGAGGATAGACTACCTTAAGGTAGAGTCAGAAATGTAGTCTAGGATGCAATCCTAAGACTCAGAATATGATGAGACTTATCTCGAGTCTGGAGGACACAGGAATGAGCAGGAACTAAGATGATATTCGAACTGGAGTATTTCTGAGAGTTATAGGAGGTTTATATACTGTAGGTATCATATAGGAATCAGTCAGCAAACATAAAGGCTATGTACAAAGCATATGCAAAGTCTATTAGTAAGTAGGACAGATCACAAATAATGAACACCAGAAATGAAATGTATGTAATGGATCAATAATCAAAAGGGAAACATGGTTAACTGGAGTCCAGAGACAGGGGCAGTCTAAATGGGGTTGGGCACTGATATAGGGTTTGGATTCCGGAAGGGAGATAAAGATAGATCAGATCATTTGAGATCTGGATATCCGGAGAAGTGGATTTAGAGTTGAGAGTCCGGAATGGCATATGACAGAAGGGTGGACTCCTTCTGGATGTTGTAGTTGCTGAGAGTATGGCCATCTTCGAGCTGCTTTCCAGTGAAGGTGAGATGCTGCTGGTCAGTTGGGATGCCCTCCTTGTCCTGGATTTTCGCCTTCATATTGTCAATGGTGTCCAATGACTCCATCTCCAATGTGAGGGTGCCTCCATGGAGACAGATAAGGAGGTGGAAGGTGGACAGGCCGTTTGCCAGTAAGGGTGAGGTGCTGCTGATCAGGTGGGATGCATGTGGGATCCAGATTATAATAGATTTCCTATAAAATAAAAGTAAATGTTAGTTAAATACACACAAAAATGACTTACCTTGGGTGGATGGCACCCAAAAAATTGATGGTGGCCTTCTCGGCGCTGTGGATGGGCATCGAGGTTCAAGGGTGAGGTTGACAATGACAACAACAACAGCATGCTCAGTGCAAGATGAAGCCTCAGAACTTTCCAAAATTTCAAACTCTGCTGAAAACTGTGTCACATATGCACCCAACAGATAGGAGTTTTGATCCCACACCCACTGTAGCCCCCACCATGCCTCGTCCATCCACACGTAAAGACCTCCTCAATGCTGTTGATAAGGCTGCACTTGCACTAGCCAAATTACAATACCAGAATGAACTCCTAGATGACTTCTCTGACTCTGACTCTGATTCTGACATGGACTCGGTTGCTACTGATGATGAAGGCACTGATATGACTTTCAGCTCTCTGACCCCACCATCCCTCATCTCTTCTATTTCTGGCCTGTCTGGCTCTTCAGATTCTTCTGGTGATGAATCGGACAATGTTGCTGCCCATTACAACAGGCTTCAACACACTATCGCTGCTTTGTGTGACAAGGTTGAGAGGGCACATGTAATCCACAAGCCTGATGAGCCTCCACCGTGAGCACCCCAGCTTCATATGCTGGTTCACCATGAGGAACATCGCCCTGACTTATTCCAGCAGAAACTTCATGTTAACACAGAAATCTTTGACAATATCCTTGATCAGATCTCCGATCACCCTATCTTCCACAACCACTCCAATAATCCTCAGCTCCCCATCTCCATCCAGCTCCCCATCTTTCTGAATCGTGCTGGCCACTATGGCAATGCCATCACACTTGAGGATGTTGCTCAATGGGCAGGTGTGAGTGTTGGGTCAGTGGTCAATTGCACTAATCATGTGATGATTGCACTACTCAAAGAGCATGATAAGTTTATCTGCTTCCCAGAAGATAATCCTGAGGATGCCCACCTCACTAGGAAGTGGGCTGAGCTAAAAACCTGTCCAGAGTGGAGAGGTGGCTACCTAGCCATTGATGGCTCAACTATTGAACTTTTCACCAAACCTGGTTATTTTGGCAAGGTTTTTTTTGACAGGAAATCCAACTATTCCCTTGGCTGTCAAGTAATGTGCTATTCTTTCTTTTCATTCACAAATAATTTAATTTAATTATAGGTGGTCATTATGCCCCACAACCTCTTGATTGTGGATTATTCTCTTGGACATCCCAGGAGTGTCCACAACACATTCACTTTTCGATCCACTCACCTCTATGAAGAGCATGATACCCTTCTTCCTGATGGTCACTGGGTTTGGGCAGATAGTGCATATCCATTGGAGCCATGGTGTATTGCCCCTTTCAAGAAACCCCGCAATGGACGGTTGACAAAAGACCAGAAGACATTCAATTACCACCTGTCTAAGGTTTTTTTATTCTGACAGTTTTTCAATGAATTAATTTTTTGGTAGATTCATGTATGTGTTGAACACGTATTTGCTGTTCTGAAGGGGCAGTTTCAGTCTCTCCAAGAGCTCCAGTTCAACATTCAGAGTGAGAAAGACCTGCATTTTGCTGTGCAGTGGATCAAGTATTGTATCATCCTCCACAACATGATCATTTGCTTTGAAACCCATCGCCACAAGCAGGATGGAACATATGAGAGTACTCTGAAGTGGGCTCATGTAGAGGGTCAAGATTTCACCCCTCAAGATGTTGAGGGTCCAGAAGGAAATGATGTAGTTGGTGACAGGTCTTATGAGGGAACTCCAGGTCAGGTTGCTTGTGTGAGGCTGATGGATCAGCTCTTCGACAGTCCTCACTCAAATGCACAGCATAGGGAAGGGTGAACCATGCTCACAATTGACCAAGATGTGTACTACCAGTAGTACACTTGTACAAGTAACATGTATGTAACATATGTAAATCAATCAACTACAACACATGTATGAAATCACAACAGGATGGCAACAGAAATAGCAACAACAGCAATGAGATGATGATGATGAGACAACAATGACGAGACAACAATGAGACAATGACAATGATGAGACAATGACAACGACAAGATGAGGACAGCGAAGATGAGATGGCGATGGTGACGAGATGATGACAAGACTCAGGAACCACTGCTACCACCCTGTGTTAGTTGGTGATACTGAATGCGCAAATGCAAATTCTCTGCCTCCTTGTCAAGAACCATGGAATGTGCCTGGTGCACTCAAATGTCGACTTCTCAAAGGTGAATTTCAACATCTCTATTCTCCTGCTCCCACTGATGTTGGACAATAGCTTGAGATGCCTCATGTTGGCGAGCATCACAAAGCCAGGTGTACTTCCTTGTGTTGTGGTGATTTTTGCTCTTCGCCTCGAGTTTTGCCATGAACCGCTGGTCTTTGGAGTTGCGGAGGGACATCACATCAGACTGGATGTTCCCAATTTCGTCAGTCAAGGTGTCCACCTGATCCTGCATGCCACTTGACTTGGCTTTCTTCTTCTTCGTGCCACCATTTGGTTGGGCCAACAATGATGTCTGTGGGGTCAGAGATGATTGGAAGTCAGATGACGTTGTGTTGCAGGTTGTGGATGAGGGGGTTGAGATACTGCATGACATCGACGAAGCTTTGCAGTGCCCCCTGTGACTGGAAGGCTGCTGTGCACCAAACACCAAATGACTGTCATAGAAAGAGGTAGGGAACTTCTCTGGCATTGAGAAAGGGTGAGGGGGTTCAGGAGGGGGCGAGGGTGAGGGCGAGGGCAATGCTACGTTGTGTTGTTTCTTCCCCGCAACTTTCGGCAGGCTATTGAGGAGCATGTTGTCATCCTGCTGGTGGTCCTGCGCTGGGGGGGCAGAAAATGTACCAGCAGAATAGTCATTGTCAGGTATCATATTGTTGTTGTTGTTGTTAGGGAGGCCGTAAAGGTGGACCTGAGGGGGATGGGTGGGAAAACCAGGGGGGAGAGCAGGGGGAAAACCAGGGGGGGGAGCAGGGGGAAGACCAGGTTGCCCATTATGAAAAATGGGGGCAAGAGATGAAGCAGGTTGGAGTAGATGTGGGTTGATGGGAGGATTGTTATGAGGGGGGGCTGAGGAGCAGGTTGAAGTAGATGTGGGTCAATGGGAGGATCATTATGAGGGGGGGGGGGCAGAGGAGCATCTTCACTAGATGAGGGAGGCTGAGGCTGAGTGGCACCCCCCAAACACTTTGAGGAAGCACTAGCCCTACTACATGGCACTTGTGTGAGTGAGAACATCTAACCTGCATGATCGACACCTGGCCTTGATGAGTGCGATGCAACTGTGAATGTGGGGTTTGAGTGCCAAATTGCATCAAGGTCAGAAAACCACTTCCATTCACTGTTGATTTTGGCTAAAAGTGCAATCAGATCAGAATGAAAAATCAGGGCAAAGTACTCACCTAATAAATTTGCATACCCATCACTGGGCAGTACACCAGTGCCAGTTGAAGTAAGGCTGGTCTTGAGCTTGTACCTATTTTTGAGACTGTATGAATTTTAGGAGTTTTATCAGTGTATCTAAGTGTGAATAGGAGACTACTCACCTCATGATGTGGTTGGCAACTGAGTCACAAAATTTCTCTGGATTCTGGTGGTATGTGTTGCCATATTTGAGGTGGTTGGCGAATATGAGACGGGCAAGAACACTGTAGATATCAGATTTGTCCTTCCCCAAGGGCTGGTCATCAGTTTTGGGGATCATATTTTTGCCCTCAGAGTAGAACAATATATGGCTGTTGGCAGGGTGGGAGGTAATATGATCCACCAGGATGTTGGTGAAAGCATCCTCTTTGCCCCACTGAACTGTCAACCTGGGTCCAGAATCACTTGCAGGAGTGGGTTGAGCTTGTGAGGTGGATGGCAGATGGTCCATCACCCTCGTGCATGGATGAGTGTTGGCTCTAAGTTGTGCAGACTGGCATGTTTTTTGAACTCCAATGTGCGATGCTGGCCTGACTTTCAATTGTGGCACATGCTCATGCTGTGTTTTGTTGAAGTAGCTGAGCTTTAGGCAAGTTTTCAAGGAGTTTCAAGATTTATTCTGAGTACCGCTACTGTCATTGCAAGCAAGCCTTGCATCCTCAAGAAAGGAGTTATTTGTTGCACATGAAAGGATCAAGCTTTACTACTCACTGTTATGGAATGAGCGTCACAAAGCTGCCCATGCCAAGGCAGCTGCTACTTGAGCTAATGCAGAGATTAGGAAGCTGCTGTTATAACCAAGTATGCCCCTATTCATTTTCCTTCTCTTACTGTGTATTACGTCACGAGCTGCATGATGCTGCTGCTAGACTTATCTCTTACCTTGTATTACATCACAAACCACTGTTGCTGTTGCTAGATGACCTATTCTTGCTATCGCTTACATATCCTTTATCTCTGACTCACCCCATTCTCACACCTGCCCTAAAGCACAGTAGTCACTATAAATAGTCCTCCTGTACGCTTTAGTTCTTTACTTTAATCTTACTAGGTTTTACCCTGAATATCCTTCGCTTGAGATCCCCAATCTCTTGTCATCTGAACCATACTTTAAGTTAAAGGCACTCCCTTTAACTTAGCTTACACCAAACACTTGACTTATCATCTTGTGTAGAATCTCAACAAGAGGTCCTTGACTCTTATTGAGTTGTCTGTTATTAGAACTACCCTAGTTCGTAACAGCTGCAGGGAGATGTGATTCCAAGCATGCAGAGACAGGCTGCTGCCCAACTTCAGAGGTTGACAGAGGAGAACACTGCCCAGGTTGCCACACTCAGAAAACAAGCTGATTCCAGTGCAGGTGAAGTATCCTGCCTTCAAGCTGAGCTGGTGCAGACTTGCAAAAAGGTCCATGCCTTACAGATGTGTGTCCATTGTGCATCCTGTGCACTTGCTTGTGTCATCAGCAAAAGCCATACCATGCCAAAAAACTCAACTTCCTGGCAACTCTACTGCAAGGGTGCCTATACTGCTAAATTTCATGCACTTGCAAGAAGGCTTGTTCTTGCTGGCTGCACACAGAAATCTGTGGGTCCTATAATTCAGGCCATGTTAAAAGCCCTTCACATACCCCTTGGAAGTTGCTGCATGAGTGCAAGTCCAACAAGCAATGCTGGAGGGAGGCATTGCTGCCAAGGTCCAGCTGGGCCATGAGATCATACAGATAAAAAGTGAGCTTTAAATGCTCAACCCTGAGGAGAACTTTGGCTTACCATGATTCAGGTCTCACATTCAGTTCTGATAGTACAATGCACAGAGATATTAATATGAACTCTTGGCATGTGTCATACAAGGCACTCACATACAGTTGCCTTAACAAATCCACACCAGAGCAGCACAACTGGTTTCTTGGTATCAAGTCATCCAAGGATCATACTAGTGAGACACAGCTGCAAGGTCTGAAGACCACTATTGACAAGATGGCATCAATATACAATGATTCTCCTCTTGCTCAGAGAATAATAACCTCTGAACTCACCACTGTCATTTTCACATCAAAATTGAAGGGCATCAATGGAGATCACTCAGCTGATCAGAAGAAGGTCTTTGAGCTCATCCAAAGATGGAAAAACAACAACTGGAGGGATGAGTTGGGAATGCAAGCTGATGGGTTACCTAATGATAAGCTGAGGGCTGCTGAGTTTCTTGTGTGGGTGGGGTGCTGTATGCACAAGGATCTCAATTTGGTCAAAGGCAGGAATGTAGCAATGATGGATTCCTGGGAAGTGAATGGTTTTGAGTGCCCAATGCTACTGGCCAATAAAGATAATGCCACCACATTACAACAACCATCAGAGATGGTAACAGAGGTGCAGCTAAGGGCACTTGAAGTCTCTGGCCAAGGTGGCATCAAGACATGTAGTCTTGCTAGTGCAATTTTCAATAACAAGGATGACAAAAAGGGGTAACAAGACATGCACCATTTTTATTTTGAATGAATCAAAGGCATCCTATCCACATTGCCTGACACCAGCAACACTTGTTATCAGTCATATTGCAAAGCTGCTGCAGAGTTGCTCACTTAATGAGTACATCACATTTCTGGAGCAGGTCACGGACAAGAAAGAGAAATGAAATTTCAGCCATATCGAGGAGAATCTGTACAACACCCTTCATGATGGCCCCACACTCACTGAACTGGCCATTCTCACCTTGTATGCTGCTGCAATCATGCACCCATATATGTGATCTGTTTGTGGACCTAGTACCAAGAACATCAACATCCTTGATCTTGGTCCTTTGCATGATGAGGTGATGAATCACCTCAAACTTATTATTGAGAACCCACACTTGCTGATTTCTCCAGACACCTCATTTAAACTTGGTGCCATTGAAGCAATTCACAAGTTAGCAGAGGAGGGCAAGCTGCCTCATCTTTATGAGGCCTTCATTGCATTTTATGGAGGTGCACTGGAGACATGGGAGAGATTTTTGATTGAATTTGAGGTGGGAGGTATAATTGATTGATCTTCAAAAGCTGAATGTGACAGTGCCTTCATGGCATCAACAAACAATGCAAATGAGGGTGCACTAGGCTCATACCAGTGTAGAGACTCACACCTCTATATTGCTGCTATAGGACGATATACCACCCCTTCCCACTGATACTCCAGTTCTGATCCTCAGGATAAGTCACTCGTGCTATTGCGCAACCACTGCATTGCACACAAATGCACTTGCATGTCCCATGCACCTGCTCTAGGTCCCCCGCTCCAGTCTGTTGTGGGAATCACAAAACAGCTGGCCAAGCTGCTGAGTGGAGAGCAGTATCTTCAGCCCATGGGATTCTGACTTGGCTCAGTGCTCAGAGAGTAGAAATTATCATCAAAAAGGACTGTCATTCAGACTGGTACTGACACTGGTGAAAGAGATACATGCTTAAGTAAGCAGCAAAAATGCAAACATAAGCTAAAGAAAGTGAGGTAGGTAAAGGTAAGTAAAGTAAGTAAATCTAAGCCCAAGGAAAACTTGACTGTCACACCATCTACCCATCCATGTCCTCACTAAAGTCCACTGGTGCATTTTTATTGTATTCTTATCACTCTGATGTATCTTCCAGACTGATTATAGCACTGTAAATGCACACATGCATGCTTAAGTGCCATTACATACAGATATCACTACCTACTTGTTTTGCTTCTGTGCTACAAGTGTCACTTAGCACTCAATATAGAGAAGGGGCTTATAGTTTTTTAGACATGAGCCTAGCACTCCCCACCTCTGTGTATTAGCAGTAGTTTGCACATTAGAGAAAGTTGAAAGCTTCCAAAAGTCCGAATTCATGTGCTACCTGCTTAGACGTGATCGCTTCACGCCAGTTTGATTCCTTCTTCACTGGATTTAGTTTCCAGATAGCTCTTGCCTCTATGCTTTAGACCCCCATCATGCACACACTCTTACTTCCTATCACCCCAGTGTGCTTTCGTGTGCTTCTCCCAGCATTTGTGCTTCATATATCCTCTAGCACCCATTTGGTTTCAGAGTCATTTCAAGGACTCTCTCAGTAGCTGTCCTTTGGGTTGAGTTCTGTCTTGCATCCAGGTCTTGCTGTAGAGTTCCCCTAGTAGTAGTCAGTTTCTCCCATAGTCCAAAGTCCTCACCTTCACCAGCTTCACACATGTCAGAAACCACTCACCTCAATGCATTCACACAACACATAAGCACAATTCAAAAGGAATGAGACTCAAGCATTTATTGATGCCACATTTACAGCTGTAGATCATCAGTACACCATGTGGAAAGCTTGTGAATGACAGTCCACAGGTCTTGAGGTCAAATGATGTGCTGATCTTGTATGACATGATCAGCAGGAAGTTGTGGCAAAGAGATAGAGGTGGACAGAATACACTGAGAAGTGCACTGAAAAGGGGGCTGCTGAGGACACTTGGCTGGATGGGGTAGCCATGGTGGTAATGACCAAGAGTGAATTTCTCATGCTCTTGAATGCTGTGCTAACTGATCAGGTCAATCTCTGTTGACAACTCGGTCCTCTGGTGCCAAAGAGATATACTTTAAAAAACAAGCAAGCTCTTGTCAGTGCAATCATGGAGTCTATTGCATGTAGTACTGGCTTGATGTCTCAAATTTTGGAGTAATGGGACAGGCCAGCTGATGATATAATCTTTCTCTCATATTCTAATTACATTTTCATTCACATTTGTGTCATTATTCTTATCTTAATCATGTACTTTGCACTTTGTACCATCCTGTGTGTACCCATATAGCAATGGGAAAATTATGTAAGCATCATGCTTTGGAAACAAGACTTGCACCTACTCACTGGTAGTTGGGAATCTTGCCAGGACAGCTTTGACAGGACATCATTGGGCTGTGTTCCTTATGTTGAAATGGAGCCCCTGACTCCTCTTTTGCAGTACTGGATTTCTGCGAGTGTGCCGTGTACCTGCTGTTGTGAGCAAGGCAAGAAGTGTTGAAGACTACACTAGCACAACAAAGCCTGAGTGGCTGACTAAGCCACAGTGCTTGCCTTACTCAACATGTGATCCCATCCTGCTTTGCTGTGCCCATCAGATCTTTTGCTCCTCAACATTCAACTGCTAACACAATAACTTACTGGGACAAAGATGGAGCTAAGAAGCAGTGTTTTCACACACCTCTGTATAGCTTAGTCATATTCCCATGCCCTGACTCATAATGAAGCAATTACATCAAATACCACAGACATTTTTTGAGCCACTGTATATCACCAAATTTGAGCTATCAGCTGTGCAGGTAGGTGCAAATATTAACCAACATGGCTCTTATTGGATGCCATATGATTAGCAGGAATGATGTTGACCACAGTCAGAGTCCTCAATTGGAGCCCTCTTCACAGGCTAGTACTCACATATCCATTTAGGGCTCACTACATATATAGTCCCTAATTAGAGCCACCCTTACCAGTTAGCTCTCATCTGAAACACTGTCTCAAATTAAAGCCATCCTAATAAGCAACTGTTCAATATGGTATGGTCCCATATGAGATCTGCCTTGATAGGTAGCACTTCTCTATATCTCATGCAAGCACTTATACATATACACACAATATATATGTCATAGACAGTGCAGTTGACACTGTCTCTTAAGCAAGTATTTTCAATACAAATGGATGCTTATGATATTGACAATTCCTGTTGGGAGCCATGTAAGTGTGGGTAGCAGCATTTAACTAACTGACTAACCAATAACCAAACCAACTCAACAGTGGTTCAAAAAATTGTCCACATGTTTTTGCAATTTTCACCATTTATAGTATTGTGTGAGAATACACAAACACCTCAGTGACATGCCAATACCATATTGTAGTGTTGCTTCAGGGCTTTCAATTGAGCAGTACATTGTGAGAATCTGCAGAGATATGAGGCTTACAAAATGATAACTCATGCAGACAGTTTTTTGAGTGTATATTAAAATTACATAAATTATTACTTATGACACCATAATAATCATGCCACCATTATATAAGTTATAAAGTTGTCATTATGTTATTTTAAAACCATATCAACCAGAATGTCTTATGTCTCATGGTCATCATCACCATGAAAGCCATCTTCTTTGCTCAAAGGAATAATATCCTCTCTCTGCCCTATGCTGACCTCTCTGCCCACCAGATTTGCTCTATAACTGGAGTATGCAAGCCTACTATGGCCAAGTTTATCAAAGAAAGTCACCCAGACAGGCCTTTGCCTCAGCCCATTAAAACTGAATTATAAAGAACTGGAAAGTTGTTATATGGTCAGATAAGACTAAAAAATAGGATTGGATAAGATAAGAAGGTATATATGTGGAACAAGAAGGGTGCTAGTCTTCTCTACCTATGTGTGATAGAGAGGAAAGGATTGTTACTGACTTGACATGAGCTGCCTTGAGAACATTTCTCAAAGTATGTAAAGAGACATGGGTAGTGATGGTGGAATTGATGTAATGGGTGGCCTGGACAGCATGATCAGCCTTTCCTATAGTGATATGTTGAACAATAGCCCTCCTATTAGTAGGAATGAGCTTGAATGGACATTGTTACAATCATGTATGCCCCTATTCATTTTCTCTCTCTTTACCGTGTATTATATCATGTGCTGCATGCTGCTGCCACTAGACTTATCTCTGAGTCTTGTGTATTACATCACAATCACAACCACCATCATTAAATGACCTATTCTTGCTATTGCTTACACGTCCCTTATCTCTGACTCATACCCCTTCTCACATCTGCCCTAAAGCACTTGTAGTTCACTATATATAGTCCTCTTGTACACTTTAGTTCTGCACTTTAATCTTACTAGGTTTTACCTGAAACATCCTTCACTTGAGACCTCCAATCCCTTGTCATCTGAACTGTACTTTAAGTCAGAGGCACTCCCTCTGTCTTAGCTTACTCTGAAACGCTTGATTTATTGTCTTGTGTAGAATCTCAGCAGAGGTCCTGACTCTTATTGAGTTGCCTGCCATTAGAACTATCCTAGTTCATAACAGACATCCTTCACAGAAGTTTTCCTTGTCTGGGTAACTGTCTTTGATAAACTTGGCCATAGTAGGCTTGCATACTCCAGTTATAGAGCAAATCTGGTGGGCAGAGAGGTCAGCATAGGGCAGAGAGAGGATATTATTCCTTTGAGCAAAGAAGATGGCTTTCATGGTGATGATGACCATGAGACATAAGACATTCTGGTTGATATGGTTTTAAAATAACATAATGACAACTTTATAACTTATATAATGGTGGCATGATTATTATGGTGTCATAAGTAATAATTTATGTAATTTTAATATACACTCAAAAAACTGTCTGCATGAGTTATCATTTTGTAAGCCTCATATCTCTGCAGATTCTCACAATGTACTGCTCAATTGAAAGCCCTGAAGCAACACTACAATATGGTATTGGCATGTCACTGAGGTGTTTGTGTATTCTCACACAATATTATGAATGGTGAAAAATGCAAAAACATGTGGACAGTTTTTTGAGCCACTGTAACTGTATTGACAACTGTTCTAATAACTGTTCTGATATTGTATTGGTAGCACTATGGGCAGTCTCCTGGGGTTGTTAATAACATAATGAGAGAAGAAGGAAACTCTTTAGAGGTGGTGGTGCTTTCCTCCCATATATGTTTTAATCTCATTTACTTCATTTTGAGTGCTCCAAGGGCTGTCTCGATTGTGGTAATAAATCCAGGCAGCACATTCATTCTCCCTGCCATGTAGGTATTCTCTTTACCACTTTCCTACTCTTTATTCTCCTTGGCTTCAGCCAGCTTCCTTTTGCTACTACTGTAGCTAATAAAGATAACAAGGAGAATGATTGTGAAAGTACCAGGCCTGTATTGAAGAGCAATGGTAGGCTTGGGAGCCATGGTTGGCTTTGGCTTGCCTTTGCCCTAAACACACATATTAGTGATCAAGGAAGCAGAGAATAGAAAAGCATAACACTTACCAGTGATAAGAGAGCATATAGCTTTCAGTCATTTGCAGTAGGTGCATACCATACCAGTAGCATTCCTGTAGCATGGGAAATGTGCTGTAGTGTATCAGTCACATGTGACAGCATTGAGCTTCCTTATGTTAGCACTCATGCATAGTATCATCTTCTGGAATAGGTGATGTAATAAGGAAAATGATATGACAAATAAGATACATACCTTCTACATTGGTTTCATCTTCTTGGAAACTGTGATGGTGATCTTAACAACTGACTCTGACTTAATGTAGTTTGTAAATGCCATTGCACACTGGACACAAATGCATCTCTTCCTTAGTACCTCCTTCTTCTCCTGCTCTTTCTATATGTTCTTCTACTGCATGTCCAGCACCTGTGTGTCATGTTCCTGTCTCACTTGGTATCACATGTCAGGCTCTTGCTCCTTGTCATCCCATATCTCAGACTGCTTGTGGTGCTGGTCTGCTTTAGCTGCCTTTTTTACCAGCCTCCTGTATAATATAGATTTTGTGCTAGAATGCATCATATATGTTATTACCCTGTTGACCTAACTCCCATGTAGTGACTGTAAGCTTGAGCAAAAGGTGTTTTTCTTATACAAGTGCTAGGCATGTGGTAAGAGTGGTTTGTACAGAAAATATGTTGATGTGTCAATTTCATGACAGGATGTTAATCACATACTCTAAGCTGAGTCCAATGCTATTATTAATTATCTTTATTAACAACAAGGAAATTATCATCCTTGGGTGGAGCACAATAAATCAAAGTATTAAATTCATAACATAGCACTTGCACCTCCTGTTCAAGAGCTACCTTCTTTTTGACATTCAGCCCTGGAGCAGGAAGAGAAGTGTGTTGATGTTAGTGATGGTAGGAGCCATTGTGAGATGACAGGAATGAAAATTAGGGAAAAGACAGTTAATTAAAAGGTGAAGGCAAGTAACAGTGAACAAAAATCATCCAGCCACTTGTTCACACTTCTATATATTGTTCTGACTCAATTAACAAATGCTGTAATCCACTAACTTTATCTGACACTAGTTATGTGTCATAATCTCATATCATGTGCCACATACCAGAAATTTTATCAAGTCTGAAGTCTGAAGTTTGAAGTCTGTGGACCAAAACCCTTGATGGGTAGTATGTATATATTTATGAAATGTCTTGAGGATTGATCTGTTAGTAAGTTAGTTATTTGGTTCCAACAGTCTCCAATGGGAGCTGTACCAGTGCAATCCTATAAGCAATGTATTACATAAAAGTCATCCTGTTTCATCAGTGTCCTAGTAGCTGCAAGGTACTGAATATAGAACAGTGTGATATGAGTTACAGCTTCCATTGGGACCTGTATATTTCAGGAGTACTAATAGTACAATCAGCTGGTTAGATTATGATGTATCTGTGAGATGGCTCCCAATGGTGATCATCTCTGTAAATAGTTCTGTATAAATTGTGATCTGCCCTATGACATAGTCCCCATTGTTGGGAAGACCTTGTGTGACATTATTGAGGGAAAGAAGTGAAGGAATGGATAGCTCTCTCTGGGAGTCATTGATGATAAGGTTAGGCTCAGATGCATTATTATTGTTAGCAGGGATGGACAGTGCTCTCTGGTAGCCAGTAATGATGAGATCAGGCTCTGGTATGTTATCATTGTCAGCAGGGATGCTGTCATTCTCATACTGTTAGATATACTCAATGGCTGTTAACACAGCTTTCACCTTATCCTTCACCTTTACCTTCAACTTTAGCTATAGCTTAGGTCTTTCCTTTTTTGGCTTGGGTGCCACTACCTTCTTCTTGCACTTGCCCTTTTTAGTCACTTTCTGCTGTCTTTGTGAAGGCACAGCATTTGCATTCACATTCTGCTCATTGGCATCCTCAATGTTATCAGGATTAGGATTGATGAGGTCATTATTAATTACAATGAGATCTTTAAAGACTCTAATTTCAGGGAGGGAGTGAATGATACTAAAGATAGTAGATGGTAATGTGCCCAAATCTCTGAAGACCAGCACAAAATCTATTTTATTGCTGATGTAGAGTCAATCATAGCAATCTACATAGAGGCACATACTTACTTCCTTACCAACACTTTCATTTCTTTGAAGTGGTACATCACCCTTATTGCAGGTCCACAGCTGACTATCAGAGACTCCTCTCCACTTACCTCTTGAACAGGCACTGACATCACACCAAGGCTCTGTCCATGTCCTGATTGTCAGGTATGCTATTGGTTCTGAGCTGTGAGGTAACATGCATGCTTCCAGGAATCATGCTTTCAGAGTCCAGCTGTCCAGGAGCAGACTGTGAAATATTGCTGTAGAGACTCACACTTCTATATGGTCCTCATAGGAAAATATACCATCCCTTCCCTCTCACACTCTAGCTCTAATCCTCAGGATAAGTTACACACACTATCATGTGCTTTCATACAAATACCATGTGCATGCTAATACACTCACATGTTCTGCCCACCCACCTAGGTCCTCCACTATCATCCATCCATGTCCTCACTAAGTTCACTGGTGCATTTTCATTATGTTCTTATTATGCTAATGTATCCTCTAGACCAAAAATAGCACTGTAAGCATGTACAGTGACTTGCAAGACCATTACAATGTTTGGTATCTTTGTAGTGTTGTCTTGATAATTGATCCAACCTCTAATGTAGAGAATGAGATTCCTCCAGGCTGTCATATGCCATTCCAGACTCTCAACTCTAAATTCACTTTTCTGGATATCTGGATCTGAGATCCAGATCTCCAATGATCTGATCTATCTTTATCTTCCTTCTGGAATCCAAAACCTTATATCAGTGCCCAACCCCATTTAGACTTCCCCTGTCTCCAGACTCTGGTTAACTATGTTTCCCTTCTGATTACTGATCTGTTACATGCATTTCATTTCTGGTATTCATTATTGGTGATCCATCCTACATACTAATAGACTTTGCATATGCTTTGTACATAGCCTTTGTATTTGCTGACTGATTCCTATATGATACCTATAGTATATAAACCTCCTGTAACTCTTGGAAATACCTCAGTTTGAATATCATCTTAGTTCCTGCTCATTCCTGTATTCTCTGGACTTGAGTTAAGTCTCTTGACATCATCTGAGTCTTAGGATTATATCCTAGACTATATTTCTGGCTCTACCTTAGGGTAGTCTATCCTCTGTCAGTTTCTAGTTCGGACTTCATCTGGATTAGCCTTATCTCCTTGTCCAATCAACATCTGGAATGTCCACCAGATTGATCTCACATTTCATACCTGAACATCTGTTGTCCACCCTAGTCAAAACCCAGAAGCTCCAGATGATTATTCAGCCCCCAGAAATTAAGGGCATATACTCAGGAAAGGGACACAGCATACAAGCTGAGGCCAAGCCCTTGTGATCTGGCCCCCCTTGAGCACACAACCTTAACACAGGCATAAATTACACATATTTTGACTTATGATAATTGGTACAGTACACCACTCACTCCCTATGACTTTCCTGTGGAATGTGCCAGAGGTGCAACACTATGTGACACATTCATGTGCTCTTTCTGTGCTTGGTTGCCCTATGTTGTACAGCATCCTAGAGCATCCATCCATTGTCCAACCAGTTCCCTGGTGTGTCCCTTTTTATTTATTCTCATGTTTGGTATCTTACAATATATTATTCCATCATGGACCCTTTACTTACCTCACTTACATACATACAGTGCTCCCTATTTGCTTCTGAGCCCTGGGAGCATGCCTAGGTACAGCTTACCTGTTGCCTAGGAAGTTTTCAGTAAGTGACCAGCATAAGCTACTACCATCACCTACCACCACCATAGTTTGTATCTAGCAGTCAGAATCTACCATCATGAGTTAGCATCTATCAGTCTTAGTCCTAGTCCTCAGCAGCAGTCTATCACCATCAGTCACCATTTAGTAGCATCAGTTTACATCTTCATGCCTTCTACCAGTTTCTCATACATTCATGCACTGCTTGCACCTTATTCCCACACTTTGTGCTCCTACACATTCCATATTCCTGCACATGCTTTCATTGCACTTCACCAGAGTTGACCTAGCATCACTTTGTGGATCCTTGCTTTCTTTGCTTTCCTATGGGTTAAACATATCACTCAGCACACTTTGACCAATACTTAGAGAGTTAGAGGCTTTTCTCATCACAGAGGTAGAGCCATCTTTCTTTCTTCTGCTCTGCAAGCCAGCAGAATTGTTAAACCTTCATCAACTCATAAACTTCATGCTCTAGGAGACTATGTCAGGTCAATCTGGCTATACGGGACCATGGATAATTACTCTACACAAGTAGCAAGTATTGGAATCTATCACATACCATTCACCTACTAATGTTGGAACTAGGGTGAACTTGAGCATCAATGAGTGAAGTGATTTTATGCATAGACTAACAAGAACAAGTTCACATGAGGAATTGCAAGACTTCAGCATCATGAGTGCATTTTGCAGGGGATGAAAGAGGTGAACCATGAAAGGGCAGCTGCACAAGAGAATCACACACAGCCTGAGACTGAAGATCTCCATCCATCTCTTCATTTCATTGACCAGGACCCACTGCTGCATTGCTCACCAGAGATTCACTACCAGATGTCCTTATCACAGAAACATTACTTGGATATTTCATCCTGGCTTGGAAAGAATAGAAATGACCAGGCCACAAAGGTAGGTCTCCAAAACTTGTAAAATGACAATGTATTTGCTCACTGGATATGATTAGAATTTTCTTCCAGATCTCAAAAACCACCTGCCAGGTCACTTGTCAGGACTGGACTATGACAGAGACAAGACTTCATTTAGTGCAGCATTATCATTATAATTCTTTATACTGTGGACAGTCTTTCTGCTACCCTTTTGGAGCCTTGTTGTTCTTTGTTGGATCCTTCAGTGTAGATAGGCCTAAACCAGATGTCTGCTCTGTATGTGAACTTTGGGATGGCAATCATGATGTATAGCTGGCACATGAGTTTTGCTGATATTCTGTTAGAGGGTCTTGATAGCTGGCATAGCTGAAGTATGTATTCTGTTCCTTTGGTGATGGTGTGTTCTGCATGATATTTCCAAGTTAGCTCCTGATCAACTATTAAGCCGATAAAGGTGAGGAATTTGGATGGGATGATGGGGGAAACTAAAAACAAGTGATCTTCAGAGCTCCTCCGGCTGTGAGTCAAACTTGACCCAAGGGAATGGCTACTGAGAAAGGATTCCTCTCAAGAATTTGAGGGGGAATGCCAAGAACTAGCTCTCAATGGAGAACCTTGTGGAGCACAAGAATATGGAATGCAACCATAAGTACCAAAGTGTGCTAGATGTGACAGATATGCAAAATGTGCTCTGTGTATGTACTATGCACACTTTTTGGCTAGGTGGGCCTAGTCTTCAGGCTTCAAGGTGGAGGATGATGACTTCTCCCTTTAATTGGTGGGAGAAGGTGGGGAAAATGTGACCTTTAGACACTCAAGTGTGAAAATTGGCAAAGGAGTTTCTAGATTCAGCTACTGGCTGCTACTACTGAGGGATGCTAAAAACTCCTTTGCCAATTTTCACACTTGAGTGTCTAAAGGTCACATTTTCCCTACCTTCTCCCACCAATTAAAGGGAGAAGTCATCATCCTCCACCTTGAAGCCTGAAGACTAGGCCCACCTAGCCAAAAAGTGTGCATAGTACATACACAGAGCACATTTTGCATATCTGTCACATCTAGCACACTTTGGTACTTATGGTTGCATTCCATATTCTTGTGCTCCACAAGGTTCTCCATTGAGAGCTAGTTCTTGGCATTCCCCCTCAAATTCCTTATCTCACTTACATACATACAGTGCTCCCTATTTACTTCCAAGCCCTGGGAGTGCACCTAGGCACAGCTTATCTGCTGCCTAGAAAGTTTTCATATAGAGACCGTCAAGTAACTACCATCAGCTATCATCTACCATCATCATCTAGCAGTCAGAATTTATCATGAGTTAGCATTTATTAGTCGTCACCCTAGTCCCTAGCAGCAGTCTATTATCATCAGTCTCCTCTCAGCAACCTTAGTTCACATCTTCACACCTTCTACAATCTTCCATATGTCTGCACACAGCACACACCTTATTCCCATGCTTCATGCACTTACACACTCTACATTCCTGCATGCACTTTCAGTGCACTTCACCAGAGTTGACTAGGCATTACTTCGTGGATCTTTGCTTTCCTTGCTTCTCCTAAGGGTTGAACCTATCACTCAGCATACTTCAACCAACACCTAGAGAGTAAGTAGGATTTCTCTCACCCCAAAGTGAGAGCCCTCTTTCTCTCTTCTGCTCTGCAAGCCAGCAGAGTTGTTAAACCTTCACCATGGATATCCAGACCTTGACCCACACCTGTACCCAAAGGTACTAGTGGGTATGGGTCTGTGCATGAGTTTGAACAGGTATGGTGGGTATGGTACCTGTGAGGGGTAAACCCATGGGTATACATACAAATTTAGTGACTAGACATGCATAAACTACACATTAATATCATCCCAGCCCTCATCCAACTCCAGCTCTTCTCCTTTAAGGTCAGGCTTACATGTTGTGGTGGTAACATCCTTGTCTTTCACCAGACCGAGACTCCAACTTCCAAGGCAAAGAAGAGCTTGTGCTGTTTGCACTGAAAGTCTTGAATTTAAGCAGGTGCAAACACACTTACAGTGCTATTGTTGGTCTGGAGGGTACATCAGAGTAATAAGAACATAAGGACAATGTACCAGTGGACTTAGTGAGGGCATGGACAGATATATATATGGTAGTGGAGGACCTTTGGTAGGCACACAGGATGTGCAAGTGCATTAGCATGTGTGTGGTGTTTGTGCAATAGCCCATGTGACTTATCAAGGCTATTAAGATGTAGGAGGTAAATGGTCTTCATTTGAGGATAGTTCCTGTAGTATGTCTGAAATTGCTGTTAAGCTAGCTTTGAACAAGTCTAGAGCTACAGCAACCATTATGGCATTCCAGAAGAATTCAGTAGTTAACAAGGCAGCTATCTAATCTTGCATATCTACAAAGGAGTATGATGCCAATGTTGCCAGTGGATCTTGAATCCTCTGTTTTCAATTTGTATTTAACAGAGACAATGAGCCACAGGCAAATGAGACTACCTTTTGGTACTGCATGAAATATGCTAGACAAATTATTACTTTGCCCACCCCAAATTAGTTCACTCACTCAGGTAAGCAGAAGCCACTGGATTGCCAAGGGATGCCTATGAGTAAGACTTAGAGGGATTGACAAAGCACCTTATGCAGCCCCTTGGTTGCTATACTGATATGGTCCTATGTACTGAATTAGCAGGACAGAAATCACATATTCATTAAACATACCATGTGACATGGTGACAGGATGTCATATAAATAAATTATATAGGATTTTTATCAGTAGGTTGGGATTAGGAACAGATTATTTACACATTTTCATACAGGAGATATATATATGTCCATGGTTGCTCATCCAGACATACATATGTCTAGATGTACTATGTGTGATGCATATTTGTAGATAATTGTATAATTATATAATTATTTGATGTCTATTATCAGCTGCCTATATATTGGGTCTAGATGCAGTGGATATAGTATATATGTCTATGGTTGCCCATCCAGACATAAGTCTAAATGCTATAGATATGATATATATTTGTAGATAAATATATAAATATATGATTATGTGATATGTTTATTATTAGCTGCTTATATATAGCAAGCACAGGGTTAGAGTATTGATACAAGTATATACTTTGATGAGAAATAAGACATCTATGCATTAATGTCATATCTGCATATCCAGATCTCAGATCCAATCCACATCTTATCTCCCTCCAACATCTCATCATCCAATCTGCCACTCATCCAGTCCAGTCCATAATCAGCACTTGTCTCCTTTCAGTAATCCCCTAACTCCAGTATTTCGGTTATCTGTATATCTGTCCTACTCACTGATCCATTACCTATGCTTCATTTCCATTTCATTATTTGTGATCCGTTTCTACTTACCAATAGGCCATCCATATGCTTCATACATAGCCTTGGACCCTGCTGATTAATCATTCTGTTAGATACCTATAGTATATAACCTCCTGTAACTCTCTGTAGCACCTTAGTTTGAATATCATCTTAGTTCTACTCATTCCTGTCCTCTGGACTTGAGTATCTCTACTCTCATCACACTCCAAGACTTAGGATTGATTCCTATAGTCTATCCATATCTGCCTCTGTCTACAACAGTCCACTACCATTAGTTTCTAGTCTGGACTTGTCCAGATTAGCCCTATGATACTTATCCTGCATCTGGAAGTCATCCGGATCTGCTACACTACTCATCTGACCCTCTGGACACATTAGTCTTGCCCTTCTGAAATAAGGGGCAATACTTGGGTAAGGGGCACAGCACACAAGCTGAGGCCAAAGCCCTTAGGATCTGTTAGCACTTGAGTATGACCTTAACAATGTCAATGATATTGTATGCACTTAATGCATTCTATGGAAGAAATTAGGTTCTACATTATAGTCATCCTGTCCTTGCCTGGTGATCTTTGTCTGAATCATGGTCAGTATCAAAGGAATTGAAGAAGGGTGTCATGATGATCTTAACCATACTCAACTACTGGCATGCACTAGATGCAAAACAGAAAAAGTATGTCAACACCTTTTGATCACATGTACTATAATGATGAGCTTGCTCTTCTGTTAGTCTCACTAGCCTGACACAGGTAGTATGTTTGTATTGACATGAAGATGGCATATGTACCTATTATTTGTCAGCTCAAGTTATAAATTTGGGTAGATGCAAGGATGCAGAAGCAATGGGGGAAGTAAGTGACAGAAAGCACCAGAGCAAACTGCTCTGTTGCTCCAATGGAGAGCAAGGATGCAAGAGCAATGAAGTAAATAAGACACAGTAAGCATCAGAGCAAAGTGCTCTTTTGCTCTAATAGGAAGCAAGGATGCAACAAGAAATAAGGGACAGGACTCTGGATAGATTGGAGAATAACTTACAAATGATGCTGGAACTTGTTATCATGAAGTTCAAGGGGCATGAGTAAAATGATAGTTGACATGATATTTGAACATCACATCATGCTGGATATTGGATAAGCGAAATTAAAACATAGAATACAGCTGAGTACTTACATATATAATTCTGGGCAAATAAGAGCCCAATCTGCCTTGCTTCTTCTATTATTCTAATACTCATCACACTAGTTGCAACAATGCTTAAGACAGAGAAACACAACAGTATTTCTACTATCCTGGAGGAGTTATGTTATCACATCCTTGCCTATTGAACCCATGTGATATCCTGGCATGTTCTGTTGTTAGTTGTGCTCTGAGTGTTCTGGAATGTTGGATTGAATTTTTATGAGGTAAAGATGTGTAGGGCAAAGTACAACACAGTGACATGCTTCACTGAGCTACAATATGCCATTGAATTAGGACAGCAAAGGTACATCCACAGCCATTAAAGTTTATGTTGTCCTAGTGCCTCAAGCTTAGGAATAAGTCAACTGCATGGTGGACCCTTAGCCCACAGATGACAAAAGAAATTTCTGTCATGTCACATTTTGACCACATGTCTATTGTTCATAATATGTTGTACCTTACCAGGTGGACCCAGTACTTTGAATCACCATCTGAGGTCATATCTCAAGTTGTCAATCTCAATGGTGCCATGATTCCCATGCTAAATACACATTCTGTTAATTCAACCTTTCACCTCACAATACATCACAATACTTGAGAGTCTATGTAACATATTACAATGACAACATTCACAGTTTCTTCTATCTATTATTTGAATCAATGTCCACATGTGCTGTGCACTCCTTGATGGATCACACCTCCAGTATAATCTCAAGCTAAGTCAAGTTCTCACATGAGTTAGAGAGGGATTATACAAGTGTTACAGTATTCAGTGATCATGTTGCTGCCTTAATATCACTTTATAAATCCCACCTCTTCAACCACATAACTGGAAATCATCCAGTGTTTGTGCAATCTTTTGTTGAAATCCTGAATTGGAAGGACAATCATGGTGATGTAAGCACACCAAGTTGCATATATTTAGTTATTAGATATGCTGATGTTGATGCTTGTCAAAGCTATATAGCCTGATACACTGCCCTGCCTATCACAAGTCTGGCAGATGCCAGAGTAACCTCATACAAGAAGTTGTGTGATAGACAGTTTGAACTGCAGAAGAGGGGCCCCAGAACTCAAAGAGGTGGTAGTCCACTTAGATGGAAATATATGACCCAAACAACTCCCAGATTCCATCAAAGTGGCAGTCCACTTAAAAGGACATGCATGGCCCACAACAATGCAAAGATGAAACAGATACAGTAAGCAACAAAACTGTTGCAATGTTTGTATAACATTAATTACTCTGAATATATCATCACAGGGATGGTAGCTATAAAAATGTAGATGAGAGCAATATTGTAGCCCTACATCCAGGCTACAAAAGTAATGATGTGTTATCTGAGAGGACATAGGCTGGTTCTTGATGTCCAGAAGTGCTCTTGTGACTTGAGTGGCATGTTCAGCCTTGTCTGTACTGATTAACCAAATAGCATGCTAAACATAGGAGGAGGAAAGGACAGAAGAACAACCACCAGAGGACTTTTGAAGGTCAGAATGAAGTTAAGAGTGAATTCTGATAATGGTACTATGGTGTACACTAGTAGCATGTGAGATCTCCCTTGTATATTAGTTAAAATCAAATTAAAAAAGGATTGGTTGAGTTTGTCAGCAGAGAGGGCTTTCATAATGATGAATGTTGAGAAAGTTCAACATTTGGCTTTGTTTATATCATGTTGACCATTTACATGTCACATGACATTATAAGACACACTAAATAACATAACTGATGTCTATTGATAGGATTTTGATATTGAAAAATATCAGCAACAAAACTGTTACAATGCATACCATATAGTAAATTACTTATATCCTTTTAAGGAAATGTTTTCACATCTCCAATGCAGTGTAACCATTGTAGCCTGGATGTAGGGCTATAATATTGCTCTCATCTACATTTCCATAGCTGCCATCCCTGTGATGATATATCCAGAGTAATCAATGTCATGTGAACATTGCAATAGTTTTGTTGCTTACTATAGAAGCACTGCTGGCAGTTAGTTCAAAGGGTGTGAGATGAAAGGATACACAAAGAGTAACAGAGTGCCCTACATTGCATGTAAGCACAAGGTAAAGCAAAGTGAGATTACTATAAACTTACCCTTGATGCCAAGAGGAGGGCCTCAATGCCAAATCATTATACAGTGGCTCAAAAAAGTGTCCAAATGTTTATGCATTTTCAAGTAATTGGATAATAGCAAGCCAGCACCTGAGTACAATATAAAGGCATAGGGACAAGTCTAAAGGCTTGACATCATAGCTATAATCTGAGATATATATCGTGGGAATTAGACTACATATGGGCAAGATATGGTAATTCTAATCACATGACTCATTTGGACACTTTTTTGACTTTATATCCAAATCACAAAATCCAACCATTCACAGATATTATTCTTAATAGAAGTGGTGCAATAATCAATATTTGGTCTTATTTTAATATTATTTATATATATGAACCCACATAACATCATGAACTTTAACATAATCATCATACAGCCCATCTCCTCTGCTCCAAAGGATAATATCCTTATTCTCTGCTCCTCTAGTTTGTCTATGAGGCAAATTGCTTCCAAAACTGGTCCTAGCAAGTCTACTATTGCTATAGTTATGCTGTCAATGATAGAACATTGATCTCATGAGCTTTGAGCCATTTTATAGCTAGCTTTGAGGTATGCTTGGAGTCATTATCCAGTTGGAAGATAATGTCTCCTTCATCAATTCCTGACTTCTGCATCCTTCTGAGTAGACACTTCTCTAGAATGGAGATTCACTGCTCTACATTCATGCCTCCTTCCACCTCACAAACAATCCCCACACCATTCTATCTCCTACAACCCCTACCATCATACTTCATCTTCCAAACTTTAGTATGTTCTTGACTTCTCTTTCCCCTGATGGTTCCCCTACCTTGTTTGACACATATTCCAGGCCATCTGACCTCATTCTATTGATTTTTATCTCATATGACCAAACTACCTTCTTCCAGTCTTTCATAGTCCAATGTTAGTGCTTTAAAGCAAAGACCCCTATAGGCTGCTGAAAGAAGAGGCATTTTCTTCTCGGTTACAGCCATAAGATTGGCTGCCTTAAGGGTGTTTTTGACTGTTTGAGTGGGAATGGGAGTGGGGATAATGGAATTGATGAACTTGGTAGCATGGACAACATTTGAAGCCTTGCCAGATGGACTTTAATGAACAATAGCTCTTTTATGCTGTAGAGTAAGCTTGAAAGACCATCCATTTTATGATTTTCATTCTCTAGCATGTTCTGGTTTATGACTATAGCAATAGTAGACTTGCTAGGACCAGTTTTGGAAGCAATTTGCCTCATAGACAAACTAGAGGAGCAGAGAATAAGGATATTATCCTTTGGAGCAGAGGAGATGGGCTGTATGATGATTATGTTAAAGTTCATGATGTTATGTGGGTTCATATATATAAATAATATTAAAATAAGACCAAATATTGATTATTGCACCACTTCTATTAAGAATAATATCTGTGAATGGTTGGATTTTGTGATTTGGATATAAAGTCAAAAAAGTGTCCAAATGAGTCATGTGATTAGAATTACCATATCTTGCCCATATGTAGTCTAATTCCCACGATATATATCTCAGATTATAGCTATGATGTCAAGCCTTTAGACTTGTCCCTATGCCTTTATATTGTACTCAGGTGCTGGCTTGCTATTATCCAATTACTTGAAAATGCATAAACATTTGGACACTTTTTTGAGCCACTGTATATCTAGTCCCAATAGCAGCCCCTCCCAGGCTGTACAGCCCAGGAAAACTCTAGACCGGTAAGGGCATCAGAGGGAGCTGCCACCCCAACTAGCATGACTCTTAAGTACACAAGACACATCTCCCATTATGGGGAGGCATGCACTAAGTTGGTTGGAATAGACAAAAGCAAGTCTGAATGAACAAGAGGGGAAGAGGAGTGCATAGGATGAACAAATTTTTGAGGTACACAATGAAAGGTGCAAGCACCAGGTAGATGGAACAAAGAGACAAGAGAAAGAGAGAGAATGAACAGAAAATCAACCATGACAAAACACAAACAAACATGTCACATCTGCTAAATACACAAAGGTCAAAATAATCATGACTAAATATGGTAAAGCTTGGCCTGCCTCATCCTTCAGCCTCAAAACTGGCATCATAGTTCAATTCAATTAGATACAATACACTATCTCATAATGTATAGTGACAGGAGCTGCCTGTTTACTATATAATATAAGATATATACATCATGAAATAATTCCTGCAGTAGTGTTAAAATGTTATGCTACTTGGTATTCCAGAATTTGTCTCACCTAACCTGCTTTGCATTCTGCAACTCCATGTGACATATTCTGAAAAGGCATGAAGTTTCTTTTCTTGTCTTAAAATACTGAGCAACACAATTCTGGGGTGGGTCTGCTGGTCATCAATAGATGCAAATGCCATCAGCTAGTCATTTACAGTAAGATTCTCATGCTTGCTCAGAAAGCATTGTAGACATTATAAAATTATCTATATTATTTTTAGTTTCTGCTTATATCAGGCAGGGTTTGGACATGACTTGCATTTCTTAGGGCTGCATGTCATTGAGGTTAGAATGACTACAAATTTAATCAACTGATAACATTGTTATGTATGCACCAACTTCCAGCAACTCAGCAGTAGTCCTACTTAGTACAGACCATGTCTCATAGTGTGTGTTGGACCTTCAAAGGTTATACCTGATGTATTGTACAATTGTCTAAGTATCCACCCACATGTCACAATAGGAACTGCCAAAACTCAATACAACATGAGATCTGTGAATTACTAATTTATGTGTGATGAAATAATGTACTGTACACTATTGCATGTATTAGCCTCACTCAATTACATTTTATTTCGCCCATTTTATTTTGTGCAAGCAATATATGATTGACAGACTGTGAGAGCACCATAAGTATTTTATTATATATTTACAGGAGTGCAACACTAGCTGAGATTTGAATGTGCCAACATGGCACACACTGTGATCGCAGATGCATGAATGAGTGTGCAAGTTCATCAGTGTGCTGCAGTCATGAATCATAATGGTTCGCAGTGGACTCCTCCAACCGAAAACATGTACCTGCAAGTGCCAAATGTATTTGAGCAACTTCCCATTCATGATGGAAATAGACATGTCCTCCCCAACGCAGATTTCAAGTTGCCACAGCCCCCTTCATCAAATCAGTATCACAGAAGGCACATCCAGCAGGCTGACACTCACCCCATGTCTTGTCCCAGCACCCCTGCACATCAACCACATTTCTACACTGATCCAACCTCTGGGCTTCGTCAATCACCTCAAAAAATGTGTCCTGAGGGCCTCTCATTCATCCCATCACAAAATGGCAGAATGACATACCTGAAGCTCCCACTATGCCAACAGTGACACCCGCAAAAACACCTGTGCGACACATTCGAGCACAAGCTGCTCCGAAGACTCCAGGTAGTGCTACTCCTGTTCCAAAGCCAAAGTCAATGAGAGGGACAGGAAGTAAATCCAGTGAAGGGAACAGACAGACCTCTGGTAACTTGGATGATGAGATCTCAAAGCTCACCAAGAGCCAGCTCTGTCAGGCAGGTCTTAAGCTTGAGCCAGAGGGACTTGGAGCTGCACCTGTAGAGACACCCATGAAGCTGGAAGGTGCAACTTCAGGGCAAGCATTTTCAGATGAAGATAAACTGAAAGCCATGAAGTATATTACCTCTCCAGAAGTGTGGCCAACATTCAAGCTGGCACAACCAAGCTTGGCCAAAGTACAAGGCTGTGTGAGAGTGCCAAGAGCACACTGGTGGAGGTGATGGAGATGAAGATGGAGAAGGAGATGAGCTTGACAGTGAGTGTGGGAATATTGTTGAAGATGATGTTGCACTAGATGGGATGAAGCAAAAATGCACATCAAAGAAAAAAGTGTCAAAGAAGGTACTGGATGACTTTGAAGCTAGTAAAATTTTCAGAGCCATTGACACTGTGTGAGTAATTATCATTTATTATTGGGAGAGGCTCCTGATAGTTCATCAGTGCTTGTAATGATCCTACAGTGATTCACAGCCACAACATCAACTCAAGCGAGTCTATCTCAGATGATGAGACTCCACCAAAAAAACAAATGCATAAGTCAGCATCATTTGAGGCCAATGACATTTCTGATACCAGCATGCTTCTTCATGACATGATGGGAACTATGAGCAAGCATCATAGATGGCAGGCAAAAGTCAACGAAACTAATCTAGAGGTTGCCAAACTCAACATGGAGGTCACATTGAAGTGTGAGAAGTGTGAGCAGGAGGAGTATGAGCAATGTCAGGCTGATATTTGAGCGAAGAGAGAAGAGGCATGATGCAAGGCATGGCAGGAGGAGTGGCAACAGGCTAGTGAATTTTTGAATCATCCAAACCCTCTGATACAAGCTCATGGCCAAAAAATGGCAGAGCAACTGACAGCGGAGGACACTAGTTCATAGAGTAGTCTATGAGATTCTTGCGATGTAAAGACCTAGACGATATAAATCATCCTCATTAGCATTCACCCCTGTCATCTGCACTGGACCTTCACCTCAAACTTCATGTACACCATGATCCTCTGTGCCATTAAATCCCTTGATAGTCATTGGGTCATCACCATTTTCCTCCAGTATATTATGAAGAATCATTGCTGCTTCGACCATTTGGAAGATGTCTGGCAAGTCAATTCCACTCATGCCATGGAGGAGCGGGAAACAGCCTTTCAAGCGCCTGAAAGCATGTTCAACAAATATCCAAAGTGAAGATAACTTCCTATTCCAATCCTGCCATCGCCTTGCCTCATCAGCATCATTGGTAAGATCAAATTCGTTGAAAGGACATATCAAGTACATTGTCAAAGGGTAGCCTACAAGATCTCAGGTTAGCACATCACAACACAAGTTTCTGAGCAACGTACCTTTATCAACTAGTATATATTCATGTTGCCAAAAGTAAGCTGCCTTTCACCTCTATAAGTGCAAATTTTTGAACACCTGACTATCCTGAACTGATCCTGGCCATCCAAAATCATATGATGTGAAAATTGCCTGATGATCACAGGTTGCCTGTATGATGATCTAGCATTTGGTAGTTTAAATATTCAGCAGTATTAAAGCACAGAGACATACTGCATAAAATTTCTTGCAGCACCAATATGCAAACCCATTCTCTGTTGGTTTATTTTCAAGATGAATATAACTACCATTGTCTTACTACTTGAGGGTCTTATATAAGTTGAGGTGAAATACAATGACTATCACAATTGTACTTCAATAAGACTAAGGTGCCAGCTCCTCAAGTTCATGGTCAACTGATTTTCTACTTCTCAGTTGATAACGTGTTGTTCATGGGTGGCCAAAGGGTAATAAATTACTTCTTTGCTAGATCACTTCTTGATAGTAAAGGGAAGTATATATTTTGTCAGGTTAACTTAAACCTAGTAGGTAATATGGACCTCTGCTGAATCAAATATGATAGACTGTTGTATAGGTGATCCCTGTAAGATAGTATACAACCAATCTAGACTAGAAATACTATAGTTTTCAAAGGCAATCTCAAGGCCTTCACTTTCTTCATAATCTCACACTATTGAGACAGAAAGAGGGAAAACTCCTGCACTTCAAATCTTACGAATCTCATGGTTTGAGACAAGAAAGAAGAGGGAAAAACTTGTTGATTATGTGAGAATGAAGTCCTTATATACATTTTAGAAACCATCCTTACTAAGCAATGACTCATCACTGGATTGGTAAGAATATGCTTACAAACCAAGCCTTTTGGTGTGCTGAATCAGCTGCTTACTAAAGTACATGAGTAAAATATTACAAAGCATGACAAATCATGACAAAACATGATAAGTCATGGAAAAATCCTTACAAATCAGAATATTACCAGTCACATGACATGCTTACAAACATATCTGAGTGGTTCACTGATGTAATCAAGTGGCTGAAACTATAAATACAACTAAATAAATAAAGGGAAATAGATGACTAAGCTCATGAGTGAGAAATATATCCTCATACACTCTCCTAATCATCTCCTTCTATACTTCTTATATATGTCATGGTATGAACTCCATACCATGCATGACACCGTCAGCGATTCCAATACAACCAGGAAAACCCCAGTCAGCCATTTCACCAGAGAGAAACTGCCTCCGTTGCCCTCCTGGCCAAGCTAAATGAGCACTTCGGATATTCCAAATTGCTCAACAAATTCAATAGCAATAGACATACACTGAGCCCTTGGCAATGGACATGACACCAGCAGTTTTGAGTCCACTCTTGGCACCCAGACAACACAAGAATGTTGCCAGTTGGTAGTAAACAGGGTGCTGAGGGTGGTTGCAGGTGCTAACAAAAATGGGGTCAACATGTATCAAGTTGTGGACATGCCAGAAGGATTCCCTTCACATTCTATTGGTAGTCAGTCTTCAAGAACAAATCAGCAAAAATTTGCGTTACTGAAACCAGGCTTTAAACTGCCTTTCACTAGCCTGTCCAAGCAGAATATTGAAGAAGTCCTCAGACTTAGGTTGGTTGTATTCTCCATGGATGCCATATTTCTTGCTTTGTGATTTCCGTCTATGGTCTGCTGCAAGGGCTGCTAGAGTGAGACTGAGAATTTCATCATCACCATCTTCTGCAGTTGCCAGCTGTGCAATTGCAAGGACTTTGAGCTGTTGTGCTGCTGATTGATGATACTTCAGTGACTTGCATCCAAGACATCATAGACATGCCATGATGTATGTATGTGATGTTTGAGGTGCTCACAGCGAATGAAACTCTGTGACAACAGATATCCAGCAGGTACAACATATTATTTTAATTATTGATTTGTCTGGTTGTTCCCCATGGCAATATGCACTCATTTACTGGAAAATAAAATGGGTGAAATAAAATGTAATTGAGTGGGGCTATTAGAAGGTGATCAATGCAGGGTTGAATATTCAAATATTGGTGCATGTTTGTCTAACCTTATGGCACTAAAAAGAATGCTTGCATCCACAAACCCCACCACTTGTCCACAACCTTCACCACCAATTTCCCCACCTGTCATGTTCATAATACCCACAATGAAGATGACTGCAAAAAGTCCACTGGAGGCATGGCTCCTTGGATAACCCCTATAACACCTGACCAGGACTCCTTGATGATGCCTGTTCAGGCCATGGAGGTATGCAATGATGGGTCTGAGCACAACTATGTGCATGCTTTCAAATTCACACTTGATCTCATCAACCTTAGTTTTGTATCATGTATAGAGATGGGTCTAATGAGCCTAACTCACTCATATGCTGCAACAATTGCCCTCATATCATTTGCTTAAACTGTGTGGACATTCCATGAGAGTTATGATGAGTGATCCTGTCTGAGGATGTGATGTTCTAATGCATTGTGTTCCATATTGGCTGCCAACTGCAAAATCAAACTCATGAGCCACACCTTGTAAGTGACTTAACCAATCACACTTGTATTGCTATTCATTGATGCATGGCCTACAGGGTTTCCACAGGAGCAGGCTGCTAGTGTTGAACACATTTCCTCTCATTCTGGTGACTCTTGAAGTGTTCAAATAAGCCCAAATCTCGTCTTCCCCTATTCTGTTTGTTCACCTAACTCTAATTAACCACGACACTACCAGTGGGCCATTCAAACTCACCTACCAGTTCCTTGAACCATACTTTACCAGAGGTTGGATCAATTATCAAGACAACACTACAAAGATACCAAACATTATAATGGTCTTGCAAGTCACTGTACATGCTTACAGTGCTATTTTTGGTCTAGAGGATACATTAGCATAATAAGAACATAATGAAAATGCACCAGTGAACTTAGTGAGGACATGGATGGATGATAGTGGAGGACCTAGGTGGGTGGGCAGAACATGTGAGTGTATTAGCATGCACATGGTATTTGTATGAAAGCACATGATAGTGTGTGTAACTTATCCTGAGGATTAGAGCTAGAGTGTGAGAGGGAAGGGATGGTATATTTTCCTATGAGGGCCATATAGAAGTGTGAGTCTCTATCTCTCTGGGAGTCATTGATGATAAGGTTAGGCTCAGATGCATTGTTATTGTTAGCAGGGATGGACAGTGCTCTCTGGGAGCCAGTAATGATGAGATCAGGCTCTGGTATGCTATCAAGAACTTACAATGCAAGTTGATTATCATATCTGCATATCTAGATCTCAGATCCAATCCAGATCTTATCTCCATCCAACATCTCCTCATCTAATCTGTCCACTCGTCTGGTCTGGTTCACAACTCATCGAGATGTACTCCAAGCAAGAGGGAATAGGAGCATGCAAAGACACTATCTTCCACCACAAATGAGAATATTATCCTGCCCATCATCATACACCCCACAATACTCACCTAACCCCAACCCTTACTTCCACTCTCAAACCCCAGCCTCCTCTAATTCCAACTATCATTATGACTAACACACCAAACCATGAAACTGCCTGACTACATATACAGCATGAAAACCCTAATAAATCATCTACCACTCAATACTGTATACTAAGTGGTCCCTTTACAGCAAAAAACTATGACATTGTAACCATACAAGAGCCACCCCAGATTGGAATGTCATCTACCCAACACATAAGTACACCTACAAGAGTAATTCACATGCAGTCACTCTCATTCACAAATGCATTAACACCAATAACTGGCACCAACTCTATTTCACTTTAGCAGATGTAGTGGTCATTGAACACAACAGTGCATTCAGAAAAATCAACATATTCAACATATATGATGATTGTAAGATATGCAAAGTTATTTCTCTACTAACTACCTATCTAGACAATTAAATCTGCACTATCTATCCCAATCCAAACAACCATATCATCCTCATGGGCAATTTTAACACTCACTACCACCTATGAGAAGAAATATGCAATGCTCACCTATACACCCTCCCCCTGAAGCACAGGAAACCACATAACACATAATTGAACTACTAGCAGACTGCAACATGAGAATGGCCCTACCCTGCAACAAACCTACCCTACAATCCTCCAGCAGCATCAACTGAACAAGACTAGACAATATCTTCTGTACAGCTCATACTCTTGATGCATTCACCTTATGTGACACAGCACCCAGGTGGCGCCTACCATGTACTGACCATGTTCCCATACTTTGTACTTTAGATCTTGTAATGCCATGCACCTCAAGCACAAAAATGTATAACTACCAAGACATAGACTATGACACATTCTGCAGCAGCCTTACCCACCACCTTAGTACAATACCACTCCTAACAAACATTACATCCAAACAGCAATTTTAGAAAGCCACATCCAACCTTAGCAGCATCCTCTAGCAAACCATAAAAGATAAAATACCAACAATAAAACTCAGCTCACACACAAAGAGATAGTGGATGAAAGACTTGACAAAGATGCTGAAAAAAAGAACAAGCTAAGTGGACTATCTTATAAGATGATAGGACTCCTAGATTACCCAGTGCATGATCAAATGTCATCAGATCCACAAAGACATTCCTGGTGTATGAGCCTTCAGATACTAGTTCAGGTCTTGCCCAAACCCAGGATGCCATCCCATAGCAGCAGATCTTCATGTGTACAATCATGAATTAAAAGCTCATCTCCACTGCTTGCAATACCAGTGGAGGTCTGCAGGTATGTGCACCAATATAGACAACAAGCACATTAGGAGGATAGACAAAATGCACTTGCTCACATTGTTCTGGCACCACTATCCCACCTCTGCCAACCTACAGAACTTCTTTATCAAGCAGACCACTGCCTAGTAAGATGCTGAGTGAACTCCCTTGTCTCAGAAAGGAAAGGAAAGGGAAAGTAGAAGGATATCACTGCCAAGATCAAGACAGATTCTGAGTTGGCATGCTATGACCCTGACCATAGTTTCTTAATGGACATTGATGAATCAATCATGCATTATTAACTGGACTGTGATATCATACAAGATGCTTTCATTATATTTCTATATTCCAAACACTTTTAACTGTTGCAGGATTAAATTAAGATCTTAGTGTATCATTGCAGCTTCTCCTTTGACAGTCAAAATCTCCTACAGTCTAATACAGGAACTTAAGCTGTCACTGTCACTTGAACCAATTGCCCATAACACAACAATTCTACAATGTCTGGTCAAAGTACAGTCTCACTATAGACTGTTGTTTTGTTAACTACAACTCCCTGTCTTTCACAAACCAAACATGTTTCATCTCTGTGTACTGTATGCTGAAATGTAGCCCATATAGGACCATTTCACTGACATAGATGTCATTTGATTGTTTCTGGTTCACCAGCTTAGTAGATCAAATAAGTGAAACCTATAGCAATAACTATGTGACATGTTTACTATATGTACAACAATACAATGTTTGCCAGTGCAATGTTGGTAGAGAAATGCATTGACACAAGGTTATCACACTATTAGTAACACAAACAAAATGAATTGTGATTGGTTTCATTGTTTTTACACAACATTGGTCTGTTCATTTCAGATCATTCCATCACTTCTGTAGTGATCTACTATTATTTGTAGGTTGGATCAACTGGTAGTAGAGCACTGACAAGTGCAGGAAATATAGATTCATCTACAGTGCAGCTAAATGCAAGTCAATGCACTTGGAATTATTAATGAAACATCTTTGAGTATATCTTCAAAGCCTGGTTTAGACAGATTTTGAAACTGATGATTTTTTATGCAATGGGAGGACCTCAGAAGCTTTCTTGGCTCAAGTGCCTATTTAAGACTATAACTTCAACTCCTATAGTACAATGTACATTGTAATGAAACAATGTGCTCAATGCTCATTAACACAATCTGTGGAACTTATCTAATCTGGAAGAATAAAATTTCCTGCAGTTAGGATGTAGGGCACAACTGTGAGAAGTCAGTCCAATGGAGAAGAGTGTTCACCAAACATATATATACATGCTATATAGAATATAAAGGCAAACCACCTTGTAGGACCTTCTGATTTTACTTTACACCCAGATGTGGAATCTATGGGCAGCAGAGGAAAATGCAACAAAGAACTTAATGAAAGAAAAAACAATCATTCTTTGTTAGAACTATAGTATGTTGGTGGCACAACACTTGCTTGCCAGGGTGGGAGTGTCTGTGGTCTTGATGAATAGCAAGCCTATTAGTGCTAGAATTGGTCAAACAATGAGTATACAAAGATCACTCACACAGGAGCACAGTTCTTCAATGCTGATCCAATTAGGCCAGAAAATAAGGTGTTCTTCAGTGAGTACTTTTCTTGGGTCTTATTCTCTGATATTCTCACCTTGTAAATGTAAAGTATGAGTGGAATATAAATGCCAAGGGCAAGGGCCTGTTTCCCCCCCCCCCCCTGATGACCTGGAAAAATAGTTTGACAGTGAAATCAATGGGCTTGAAGAGGCATTTTATCAAACCTTGAAAAAAGAAGCACTCACAGCTTTGAAGAACCCAGATGAGTATACTGAGACTCATTATTACAAAGGGGCAAGGTTATTACAAAGATAGCATGAAGATCAGAAGCTACTGCCATATTTCTGGAGCAAGCAGTTGTGGGACTGGGTTACAGATAGTGGGGTCTGTATGTCATGCTATCACAATTTGCTACTAATTCTACATCATGCAGGCAACTCTCTATCTTTAACAAGCCTATGGTGATATTATACTATATCCTTATGCAAGACCTGCCTTACAAACATATTGAGCAGTTCTCACAAGATATAAATACCCTCATTAACATTATTGTTCTGGAACCAAAATGGAATGATATCTAGGCAATCACACAACAGTTGTGGATGGGAGAGGTGACCTGGAGGGTGTTTGTTGCTGACATGATGCAAAACCATGTGTAGCATGAGGCCTCAGATAAGATTTCTGAAAAAACAGGTATGCTATGATTGTATATAATCATGCATGATGGCCAATTTATCTATCCCAAACCCTACCAACATGTTCAATATATTTGAGGCTCAGTTGGTTCTCAAAGGATATGTTTGCAGGCATGGTGTACAGGAGCATGATCAAGCCTTGGACATTGAAGATGACATTCCCTGGCAAACCCTGACCAGAGTCAGCATCAAAAAGAACAAGCCTGGTTGGAGATAGATTGTGTCACAGATCACCTTGGGCAAGAACATACCAGATGTGTTGAAAGCAGCTAGGCCTTGGTAGAAGGAGAAGATGGCTAGATAATATAAGGATAGAAAAGCCAGAGAGCAAGAAGTTTAATATAACCAGGAGCAAGAGGATAATGAAGTAAATGTAAATTAGGGTCTTGCTGAACATTCAGGTGAGCACAAGACACAGTTTCTCAACCCAGTGATCAAAATTACAATCCTTGGTTTCAGGAGATGCAAACACACAGGTGAATGATAACCTTCCACAGCTTCCTGGAAAGCTGCAAAGTGATTGTAAACAGAGTGGCTGCTGAAGTAAACTGGAACAATTATATCTAATCATGTGTGCTTCTCAGGGTCTCATTTAACTGGTTACCTCTTGCCTACATTGTGATCTTGGAATGAGCATGTTTACTTATAACATTGTACTGCATTACTTGTGACTTTCTTGTTTACTTGGACAGTTTTTGTTATACAGCTAGAATATGTCGCATTGATTGTCTGTTGATTTCATCTATCTGGAGCATTAGTTCAAGCAAAAGACTCCTTGGCATCAATCTAACTGGATGTGGACAGCTTATCTGGAAGCCTCTAATAGACAGGAGCTACAAGCCTAACACCTATGGTGCATTTCACTTAGAGGCTGCTTACTTTGTGCAAAACTTCTATGTCTGTCAAAAAAAGGCCTGACTTATTCCTTTAGTAGAAATACACCTTTTGACAGTATGAACATTTCCTCTATAATTTTCATTCACTTGAAATCTGAGGAAGTTATAATTGTTTTTCCCAGTGGTTCAAATTAGCAGGTATGTACCAGAAGTGTTATCCAGCATCAAGAATATGTCTGTGAGACTTGTACTTGCAAGAACTGAATGTCTTGAGCTGGATTTGAGCTTCTGTTGTGCCCAAGTCTGAGTAGTCAGTATTGGACAATGATAATGAACCCCTCCCCCATACCCACATTCTGAATCCCCTGACATAATCCCACCTTCACAGGTTTAACCTTCCACTCTGCTTTCCAGTATTTCAACATCATTGAGTGCTAGATTTTTGACTTGGGCTTTCATGGCCAACAACCTTGCAGCTGTTGTATAAGCAGCCACTTTGCAATTGTCTTTGATGCCCATTGTAATTTGGAGGTGACAGGAATAAGGATAATTCATATTGATTTTTTAATGGTGTTTTTTTAACTAATAGTAGTATTTTTTGGTGTATGTGGATTTGGCAGTGAGGTGCCTATTGCATGAACTAAGCAACCTCTAAGTTAAATACACCATAGTCTTCCTTAAGTAAAAAGGACAGCATTCTAATAATACATGATTGCCACCCTATTTGGAGTAGCACATGAGTACATCTATATTTGGTTTAAACTCATCAACAGCCATGATGTGGTCATGTTACCAAACTGCACAGTTACAAATGTTAATTAAAATTTTATAGATGATTGCAAAGCCAAATAGCCAATTCTTATTCTCTTCCCTGGTAGAGAAACTAAGGATCACACTGACTACTAAGATCCAAGCAATAATGAAAAAGTGTGCTGCCACCAAAGTCCTCAAAGGGGGAGTGGTGAAATCTGAGCTCCTGCACAAAGCTAGGTAAGTCCATCCTGGATAATGTTTTAGAACCTGCCAACCAACTGAATGTATGAAAGATGAGAATCTCAATGGAACTGTGTGATTGTGTCACTTTAGACAGCTTGACTGCTGATTGCTCTAACTTGGTTTTGGATTATGAAATTGACCAAGATGCCCTTACCATTGCACACACCATGGTCAACCCCTGTGAGTGTGCATTTTACCACCAAGGGCAAACAGCTGAAATTGACAAAGAATGATTGTTTTTTCTTTCATTAAGTTCTTTGTTGCATTTTCCTCTGCTGCCCATAGATTCCACATCTGGGTGTAAAGTAAAATCAGAAGGTCCTACAAGGTGGTTTGCCTTTATATTCTATATAGCATGTATATATATGTTTGGTGAACACTCTTCTCCATTGGACTGACTTCCCACAGTTGTGCCCTACATCCTAACTGCAGGAAATTTTATTCTTCCAGATTAGATAAGTTCCACAGATTGTGTTAATGAGCATTGAGCACATTGTTTCATTACAATGTACATTGTACTATAGGAGTTGAAGTTACAGTCTTAAATAGGCACTTGAGCCAAGAAAGCTTCTGAGGTCTCCCATTGCATAAAAAATCATCAGTTTCAAAATCTGTCTAAACCAGGGTTTGAAGATATACTCAAAGATGTTTCATTAATAATTCCAAGTGCATTGACTTGCATTTAGCTGCACTGTAGATGAATCTATATTTTCTGCACTTGTCAGTGCTCTACTACCAGTTGATCCAACCTACAAATAATAGTAGATCACTACAGAAGTGATGGAATGATCTGAAATGAACAGACCAATGTTGTGTAAAAACAATGAAACCAATCACAATTCATTTTGTTTGTGTTACTAATAGTGTGATAACCTTGTGTCAATGCATTTCTCTACCAACATTGCACTGGCAAACATTGTATTGTTGTACATATAGTAAACATGTCACATAGTTATTGCTATAGGTTTCACTTATTTGATCTACTAAGCTGGTGAACCAGAAACAATCAAATGACATCTATGTCAGTGAAATGGTCCTATATGGGCTACATTTCAGCATACAGTACACAGAGATGAAACATGTTTGGTTTGTGAAAGACAGGGAGTTGTAGTTAACAAAACAACAGTCTATAGTGAGACTGTACTTTGACCAGACATTGTAGAATTGTTGTGTTATGGGCAATTGGTTCAAGTGACAGTGACAGCTTAAGTTCCTGTATTAGACTGTAGGAGATTTTGACTGTCAAAGGAGAAGCTGCAATGATACACTAAGATCTTAATTTAATCCTGCAACAGTTAAAAGTGTTTGGAATATAGAAATATAATGAAAGCATCTTGTATGATATCACAGTCCAGTTAATAATGCATGATTGATTCATCAATGTCCATTAAGAAACTATGGTCAGGGTCATAGCATGCCAACTCAGAATCTGTCTTGATCTTGGCAGTGATATCCTTCTACTTTCCCTTTCCTTTCCTTTCTGAGACAAGGGAGTTCACTCAGCATCTTACTAGGCAGTGGTCTGCTTGATAAAGAAGTTCTGTAGGTTGGCAGAGGTGGGATAGTGGTGCCAGAACAATGTGAGCAAGTGCATTTTGTCTATCCTCCTAATGTGCTTGTTGTCTATATTGGTGCACATACCTGCAGACCTCCACTGGTATTGCAAGCAGTGGAGATGAGCTTTTGATTCATGATTGTACACATGAAGATCTGCTGCTATGGGATGGCATCCTGGGTTTGGGCAAGACCTGAACTAGTATCTGAAGGCTCATACACCAGGAATGTCTTTGTGGATCTGATGACATTTGATCATGCACTGGTCATTGGGTACAGTAAAATACACTAGCACTGCTATAGTGTAATCTAAAAGGTCATTGGAGGTGGACAGGACCTTACATAATGCTGACCAGATATTAGTATTGCTAAAGACTCTAATTTCAAGAAGGAGGGAGTGAATGATACTAAAGATAGTAGATGGTAATGTGCCCAAATCTCTGAAGACCAGCACAAAATCTATTTTATTGCTGATGTAGAGTCAATCGTAGCAATCTACATAGAAGCACATACTTACTTCCTTACCAACACTTTCACTTCTTTAAAGTGGTACATCACCCTTATTGCAGGTCCACAGCTGACTATCAGAAACTCCTCTTCACTCACCTTATCACTTTTAGTATAGTAAAAATAAACATAGTCCCCATTGTTGGGAAGACCTTGTGTGGCATTATTGAGGGAAAGAAGTGAAGGAATGGATAGCTCTCTCTGGGAGTCATTGATGATAAGGTTAGGCTCAGATGCATTATTATTGTTAGCAGGGATGGACAGTGCTCTCTGGTAGCCAGTAATGATGAGATCAGGCTCTGGTATGTTATCATTGTCAGCAGGGATGCTGTCATTCTCATACTGTTAGATATACTCAATGGCTGTTAACACAGCTTTCACCTTATCCTTCACCTTTACTTTCAACTTTAGCTATAGCTTAGGTCTTTCCTTTTTTGGCTTGGGTGCCACTACCTTCTTCTTGCACTTGCCCTTTTTAGTTACCTTCTGCTGTCTTTGTGAAGGCACAGCATTTGCATTCACATTCTGCTCATTGGCATCCTCAATGTTATCAGGATTAGGATTGATGAGGTCATCATTAATTACAATGAGATCTTTATTAATTGCAATGAATGAACTGATAAAGATGTTTCTATTGTCAACACCAGTCCTTTGTATATTTTGAACCTGGTTCTTGCTGCCATAGATCCTGACAGCTTTGTACTTTGTGCCCTTTTTAATTGATGTAGATAAAGCAGACTATCAAGACACTGTAGATGCTAACTTATGCAAGAAACCAGTAGCAGATGCAAAGGCAGAGGATGTGGGTTGACTCCTACAAGGAAGGCCATCTTGGATTTTGATCTCATCTTCATCATCTTCATCATCACTATCTCTGATATTTTCTCCTCAGATGGTGCATTAAATCTAGTGCACAATATCTTGTATTTGATAATGTAGTAGTCAGATGATTAATGTCAAGAAAGGATAGGTATTCACATACCTTTATTTTTGTCTAAGAACTGACCCAGAATTATGCCTTTGCCTTCACTATGGTTCACCATGAGCACATTGATGATGCCAAGTACTACCATATTATAGATGAAGAGTTGAGTCAGTTGGAGCTTAGACTACTGATAAACACTTACAAAGAGAATCATAATGTTTGTCACCATAAGATTAAGACCCACCACCCCAATAGTAAGGACACAGCAGGATACACTCCTCTGGATCAGTGTTAAACTTGTGAATGATTTCATTGTACTCATCAGTGGTATGTGAGCCATTGAGCATAAGCACTGAGATATTGTGCAACATGAGAATCTTCAACATAATTGGTCAGCACATAGATCACAGAGTGGTCTGACATGCTTCTTATCACCTTTAGCAAGGGTCTCATCATGAGGAATTCCATACACACCAAGATCTTTTGCTTTTCATCATCATGAGGTCAGAGAGATCATTCTCAAGAGAATGAAGGCTGACTAAATCCAGGTTTATATCTTTGTTACACTTTTTGTCTAACTGTTGTCACTCCTCTGCAGTCAGTTCCATGTCAAGATTCATCTATACCATCCAACTTGCCCCTGTGTGATGAAAGATAATGCATAAGCCATAATATGTGCAGCTCTCTCAGGAAGACATAGACTCACTCACCAGCCAAAGATTTCATGCCCATATTGATGACCTGGAGCTCTTCATTATTCATATGCATAGGAACAATGATCATTTTGTACAGAGGCAAGGTGTTGTTGATCTTCTTGCTGTTGAATCAATAAGACTCAACTGTGCACCAAATGACACATCCTTCAAATCCAGCCTTGATGTTAGAGATCAAACTAGTTATTAGCTCCTGCACACAAATCTTGGATGCTGGCTTTTCATATTTACTCTTAGAGCTAGTGAGTTGTTTAATTGTATGAGATGCAGTAAGCTCTTTATCTTCTTTACTAATAATGTGTCACACAGCATACAATTACTTCCACTCAGAGTCCTCCCTCTTATCACCAAGAGAGCTAATGAAGTATTGGATGCATAGCAGATAGGCAATATTGCATAAATCCTGCATACAATAATAAATACATGAGTAACATAGCACCAGTTGAGTGTGCTAGGCATATACCTTAAGGCTGGTGAATAAAAGAGTGGCAGTGGAAATCAGCTGAAGGTGAGTGGCCTTCATGACCTTGAGCATAGCATACCAACCAGAATTTTGATTACAGGAGTCATGAGCTTTGTTGAGGACACAGATAACAAAGTGTTGCTTATACTATAAGCATGACTTTCCATTTTATCATTTTTCATGTGCCATTTCTCATCAGATACCTCTTTGCTGTTGTGGTTAGCTTTTTCCTTATAAATGTTAAATACTTTGCCCTGCATAGTGAAGATCTAGTATAATATACATAGCAGAGAATTGAGCATGTCATGGAGTACATGGCAATACATACAAATTAACCCACTGAGTATGTGATGAGAATGATTTGATAAATGTGAGACATCATTGAATTTGCCCAAGGTCCTGTCCCAGCTCCAAATGGGATCCATTGTGAATCATAAGACTTACTCAGGATGGGAGCCTTGCACATCTGAGTGCAATTAATATTTGCTAGTATTTATCCAGTCTTTCCCAACACAATCTATTTTACCCAGTATACATCAGTGGTAAAGACAATGGTGCCCATCACCAAGGCAGTCTTGCCAATACTTATTTCATTAGTAATGAGCACCCCTGGAACTGTGTTATCACCAGGGATCTCCTTGGCCTGCCAGATCTTCCTGATAATCAAAGTAATGCCACAGATGGCTGAGCAGCTACATGTCTTTGTTATCCTTGATGAAATATTACAAGGCTCCCTCATCCCAGGTGTACTTCTGGCTGATGGAACAGAACTGTACCAAAAGTACAGGTCATTTGTCTGGAAAGTATAGTTAGTTATTGAGGGCAAGGTCATTATAGTTCTGAAACACATCAATGCCTAGGTTGTTCAAGCCTTCCTACCATTCACATTATTCAAATCAATAGTGGAAGGCTCAGGTTTTGCCAGGATAGTGCAGAAGAGTTGCACATAAGCTGGCCAAATGAGGTTGATATTGCCAGCCACACTCAGAGATACTCTTTTGACCTTGCTTGTATGCACATGGCCCTGTGTTTCTGACTGGGATACTCTTAATCAATAATAATCAATGGTCCATGTAAGTACAGGGACAGTGATACTATCTTAAGGTGTAAGATTAGTGTATTTAAAAATGGTTTTTTTTCCTCCCCTCTAGCCACTCACTAGTCCTAGTCCAATGGGGTTTTTGATGCACTTGGCTTGTGCATGTATAGCTATCTAAAAGTCCTTCTCTGTTACTTATACCAGGTAAGATTGACCTCTGATATGGTTGTAGGACACAGAAATAACAATCACCATTCATATCAGATACATTCATCACTTGGACAGTCCATCTCAACTTTGACATGAGCATCCTACATGACTAGGTATCCTCAATGGTGCTGCAGGCTTTACTAGGCTCCTGCCTAGAATCTACCATACATAAGAAGTAAGGGAATGTAAAACTACCTACTACAGGAGGACCACCTATCCAGCTTGTTACAGATCCAAGTGATAGCTTTGCATATAGAGCATCCACTGACTGTTCATATTCAGTCAAGTACCTGCAAATGATGCAGTAATGTGATTAAGAGACATGCAGACTACTCACTTGATGGACATCCAGTACAGACCTTACCAGGTCTAACATATATCTTTACTGCAGTATGAAACCAAAACCACCCTCTAGGCCACATTCTTACCTGTGCTCAATATTGCATAGGTCCTTCTAGCAGAACTAAATAAGAGGGGACTTCTCTCATATGCTTTATGGGTTGGGACAAATTTCAGGTAGAACTTTAGATGAATTCAATCCAGAGGCAAGCAACAGACCATATCAAGAAAAAGCATACTGATGATGAATTTGATTGGATAATCACACATCTCACTGCTACCATCCAAGACCACATGGTAAGGGCATTAATTATCTTGGTTAGCCATTCTCATAGGTTGAGCTTATCAAAAACTCCTGTTACATGGTAATTCAATACCACAAGACATGTGAGTGATCTCAATATACCAATACTTGTGCTCCCAGCAACAGTCATTGGAGGCTCATCTTAGATGACAATGTTAAATATCCAAACTTTATGATCTGGCAGCTGATGAGAGAAATCATTGAAATTCTCCTCCATACTGTTTGCAGTGTAGATAGCATGTCTCAAAGAACTTTTGGTTGTCCTTAGGGACAAAAATACCTCTTCCCACAGGTGAATAATCTCATACTATAATCTGCGGTTGCTCATTGACACCAACCCAGTGTGAAGAAGAAATAGGAACTAGGCTGTTAGCAACCAGTACTACTTATCCTAAGAGGCGTGAGTTAACAGTTTGGCCCAAGGGGACTGCTATTGAAGCACTTCACCCGAACATATGCAAGGGAAGCAAATGAGTGAAGGAGTTAGAATCTGTAGTGGCCTAAAACTAGAGTGCAGGCTGTAAGTATACTCTCAAGTTCCTATGTCAAAGAATTGACCGTGAGTGCGAGCAAAATCAAACAGTGTTCGTATCACAAGCATGGGTTTAACACTAGAGGGTACATGCGAGCACAGTGGATGCTGGATGCTGGAATGGTAGATGTAACATGCACAAAATCAAGCGTGCTCAATAGAGCAGCTGGATGCAAGAAAAATAGGGCAAGAGAAGGACCCCACACCAAGTTACTGGTTGCAGGTCAGGTGTTCTTGCAAGATCCTAAGTATAAGATCCTAGTGGTACAGAGCTTCAGAGCAGTCAAATTGCACACAATTGTCAAGTATGAGCAACAGAATGGATTGCGCAAGGTCTATGAAATAATGCAAGAGTGACTCTCCTATAGAGCTGAGTCCAGGGGAAAGGGAACTATTCATTTGTATGTACTGCGGTCATTTTATCATAGTGCATGAATGTTTGGAATGCATAGGCAAGAATTGTAGTGTAGTAAGTGTGTGCACTGTGATAATCATACTGGCGCTAGGCATGTATGATCACTAGCATGGTTCTTCTCACTCCCGGGAAAGGAGATAAAGCACTGATCATTAAATCCATATATATCAACTCATCTGCTTTTAGTATGCTCCTTTGACTATAGGTGTGCACTCCTCCCATGACCAGCACTCCCATTTAGCTTCAGTCTGGTCCTAGGAATCCATCCTCCCATGTCCTATCCATGTCCACCTATCTCTGCTGGTGCATTATTTTTCCCAAATATCATTGCTAAATGAGCTGCAGGTCTTATTACATGTTACTCACGTTCCACAGCACATGATGTCTTATAACCTATAGACTCATTGCATGCTTGCTTACTACACTACAATTCTCGCCTACACATTCCAGACATTCACACACTATGATCAAACAACCACAGTACATATGATTGAGTAGTTCCCTTTCCCCTGGACTCAGCTCTATAGGAGAGTCACTCTTGCATTATTTTTGTAGACCTTGTGCAATTCATTCTGTTTGCTCATACTTGACAATCTTGCACAATTTGACTGCTCTGAAGTTCTGTACTGCTAGGACCTTATACTTAGGCTCTTGCAAGAACACCCAACCCATGACTGGTAACTTAGTGTGGTCCTCCTCTTGCGCTATTTCTCTTGTGTCCAGCCACTCTATCAAGCGTGGTTGATTTTGTGTGTTATATCTACCACACCAATATCTAACATTTGCTGCACTCACATGTATCCTCTAGTGTTCATCTTGTGCTTGTGATACTAACACCAGTCGATTTTTGCCCGCACTCATGGTCAATTCTTTGACATAGGAGCTTGAAGGTATACATACAGCCTGCACTCTAGTTTCTTAGGCTGCTATAGATTTTAACTCCTTCACTCACTTGCTTCCCTTGCATATATTCAAATGAAGTGCTTCAAATAGCAGCTGTCATGTTGAAGGAGATGCTGGAGCAGGTCAAGGATGACCTTACCAACTCAACATGTAGTTATTCATTTATACCAGAGCAGCCCTTTTATAAGAAGTGTCATGCCATGTTCTTTTACCTGGTGGATTACTACAATATTGCAATGGTTAACCATGCAGGACAGGTCATCTGGAATATCCTCCAGAATAAATGAACTTCTCAGATACTCATTGTGGGTCTGGGAGCCTCTTTATCATTTTCTTTACATTACTACACATTTCCTGTCATGGCACATTGTTCATCAATCACAAAATGAGCAATACAGATAGGCATTGTAACCTGCAGAGAGCACTGGACTCTAGGATATTAGCAATATATGGTAAACAAGTGTAAACAGACATGCTACAATCCAATGGTGGGAAATAACTCAACCTAGGAATGTCCTATAGAGGTTAGAAAGTCAAGTAAATAGTCAGAGAAATGTAAGGAATGATACTGTCAGTGTAATGGCACATATATAGAGATGGAAGACATAGAAATGCATACTGTAGAGGTGAATATAGCATGCTGCAGCTTATGTGAGTGAATAATGCTGTCTCATACTTCTAGACACCATCCTGTCCTGAATTCTGGACCTAGATTCCCACATTTTTCTATCTCTAGTTCCTCCTACATCATGTGCTCTACACCTGAGCAGGATCTGCACCACTACCTAATTACTCCTGAACTCTGGATGTCTATAGCTAGCCTACTCCTTCTACCTTCTATCTGATCCATACTAAGCACATTCTGTCTAGAAAGACATTCAGACTTTTCCTCCTCCAGGATTCTGGAGTGTATCCATATTGCAATTACATTCCTATCCTGTCTCCACTAGAACTTTAGAAACTCCAGACCTTTAGATCACTATGTCTGCAGATTCCATCTGTACCTATCTCTGGACTCATTTCTGACCTATGTTCATATATGTACTTTTCCTATTAATTATGCTCAAGGTATCAAGTAAGAAGCAAGGAACTGTAGCTGAACTCACAGCATTGTTTCAAGATCTTAAACATGCCCAAATAGATAGTATTTATGTCTAGTATCTCATCTAATTCTTACCAATTCTAAATTACATTATTAGCTAGCCAGGTCTACACACTTAGTCCCTAATACCAGATCAAGACTATGTCTACTGAACCTATCAACTGCTTGCTCACAAAATTTGTCTTTGATATTCACTTACTTCTGTTCATTGTCACTCAGATCATCCTATTGTACATCATAGCCTTTGACTTAACTGCAATGTGACCTTTTTTGACTATGTGATTATTCACAGCAGACAGTATTATGGATCAAAAGCCATTAGATTCAATTGATCTTGTTATATGCATGTAGCCATTCCTGGCCCAATTGTTCAGCATGCTTATAGTGAGGTTCTGGAAATATTCCAATTCAATTAACAGTTTTGCAATGCAGACATACTATTTTGGTTATCTTGCATAGATTGGTTTGTTCCATGGAGCAGTGAATGTGAGAAAGTATAGGCTGACTTGTGAGTTACTCAGTTCCTTATAGTATCATATAATTTAATGTGGTGGAATTTAGCAAACATACTAACATACATTTCTGGGTACTTGGAGAGTATATGATCATGATACATAGCTACCACTGCTCATAGACCTGGATTGTATTATTGGACAACTGGGTGTGACAACTGTGTCATTGGGTAATAATAGGACAAAAGTCTGGGCATTAATTGAAATTGCCAAGATATCAATTTTGAGGTCTATACAATACATGATCTCATGTCAACATTTTATGCAGTTATAGCAGTAGCAAAAATGTTTTCTCACTCTTTGCTGATAATGCTAATTGCTAGTGGATTGGCCTGTAATAGAGAGATCCTCTTTATTACTGCTTGACTCATCCTTCTTGTGCCACTCATCAAGCTCCTTCAGAAACTTCACATCATCCCTATGGATATCACCTTCCTTCAACCAACTATAGAATACAAATAACCACTCTCCACTATCTAGCAATGCCATGTCTGGCCTTTTCTTTGGACACTTCTTAGAAACCATAGATTAGAAGAGTACAATATTTTTGCCTGAGACCAGTGGTTCACTGTACATCTTATTTGGTGTGAGATTAAAAGTGGACTTGATGACTTTCATCTCAACAACTTTGCAGTATTTTGGTGCTGGCACCTCTTCACTCTGTTCATCAGGACCTTTATCTATCTTCAAATTCTTGAATGACAACTAATGCAAGAAGGCCATGTACTTTTCTATTGATAGGTCAATAAATTATTTAAATGTTAAATTAATAGCTCATATTAGTACTTCTCCATTATGCACCCTCTACCATGAAAGTACCCTTCCCACATTGGTATTCCTATGTCTTTTAAGTGTCTTCTGAAAGGTCAGTGTCTGAGCCATAGGACAGCACATCTGATGCAAAATCCATGTCAATCATTATCAGGACACTAGGATGACTGGATTCCTTCTTGAAGGCCTCTACTATTTTTCAGTGAGTTTTTTTAGCCTAGGATCAGTCAGATATTGTATTGAGTTTGATATTTCTGGAAGACTGGTTATTTGATAATGCTAGGATCCATGCTCAAGGGAGAGAGAGACTGACTCAGAGGGGCTTGGCCTCAGCTTGTACACTATGCCCCTTACCCAAGTATGTGTCCCTTCATTTCAAATGAGGTCTGATGATGGTCTGATAAGTCCTGGAGGACTTCTGGAGGCTGGCTACTCTGGTGGAGTGTTAGAGGACTTCTGGAGGAGTGTGGGAACATTCCAGAGGAGTGCAGGAGAGTTTCTACTGCAAAGTAATACTTCTATAGGAAACAGGATGGAAGGATAGGAGGTCCAGAGGACAGGGGGACAGGAGGTTTGGAGGATAGGAGGTCTGGAGGTCTGGAGGACAGGAGGACAGAGGACAGGAGGACAGGAGGATGGAGGACAGAAGGACAGGATGTATAGAGGTATGGAGGACAGGATGTCCAAGGGTTAGGAGGACAGGACACCTGGAGGTCTGGAAGGAATAGGGGCTACATCAGACAGAGTCCAATATAGA